TTACTAATAATTATTAATTTATTAATTCCTATTTATATTATTAATATAAATATCTATATTATATCGTATATTATATCGTCGAATCGCTACGCTTAGGTATTCTAAAATGCCTTTAGCATAATAAGTTATTAATATTTATATATTTAATTTATATCGATTAATAAGTTTAGAGGAAAAAAGAAGCTATCGTAAGGTCGGCTAAGGCATAATCGTTATTAGCCTTTATCCGTCCTTAGTATTAATAAAGAAGTAGCGGGTCGTATAGGTTATCGTAATTTATATTAAAGCGTTCGTACGTCCTTTATATAGTAGGTAGGTAACTATAAGGGGGCTGCTTTAATCGTTAAAAGCGTTATTTATTCGCGTAAGATATACTATACTACTAGTAGTTCGAGGAAGCGGTTAATATCGAGGGCTAAGTATTATCCCTAGTAGCGGTAGCATTACGACGATAGTTTCCTAGGCTTACGGATTCCTTCGTATAGGTAGGTAAATAACGATACGAAGGATGTCCTAATCGGTATAAACGCGGTTTAATCGTCGTATTATATCGTAATATCGATAGCTTAATAACGTTATAAGTATTAAAGGCTAGGTATTATCTTAATAATAATAATATCGTTATAAAAGTTCCCGGGCTTATACGTACCTTCCTATAGTAGATAAATAACCATAAGGCGGGATACTTTATTTAACGTAAAACGTAGGTTACTTCGTAGGTTAAATAACGGCGCCGACGGCGATCGGTATCCTTTAAATCCTAATAGCGTAATAAAAACTCCGTAAACTAAAGGTTAAGGGGTCGAAAAAGTTATAAGGTAGTCGCTATTAAAAAGGAGCAAAGCGTACGCGATATTAAAGACCTAGATAAGTTTACTTAAAAGTATACTCTATCGAAGATTATAATACGTACGATAGTTTAAGATAAGTAAAACTAATATCGCTATATTAATCGAAAGGTAAGGAATCTAATATAGTTATCGTATCTTAGCTATGCCCCTTAGTCGTAAAGATATAATAATCGCTAGCCCGAAGGCATAAGAGGTAAAGAAAGAAAAGAAATAAAACGCAAAAGTTACTTATTCGGCTATAGCGGTACGACGGAGTAACTTAAGCGCCTATAACTAAAATAAATATACTAATCGGAGAACGACGAATCTAATAATAAAAACGAATCTTTAATTAATGTAAAAATAATAAAGATAGCAATCTAGCTAGGTAATAAACTCGATAATAAGTATAGTATATCCCGTACTTACGGGAGCTATAGTTACTCTATATAGGCATAAGGCCTATCGTAGCGTATTACGTAATGCATTAAGAGGGCATGGTTTTACCGCACCACTATAATACTTAGGCTTATTAACCGCCGTTTATGATAGATATTTCCGCGTAGTTCGCAGGTTTTTAATAGCGTAAATATAATCTTAATCGGCGACTTCTTTTAGTTACCCCTAATGTTATTAAAGCCTATTTATACTTTTAATTCGACGTATCTTTCGGTAAACGAATTCGTCGGTTATAATACGTATAAAGCTTTTTCTAAGTCGGTATTTCTATCGGTAGTTTAGCGCTAGGTAAGCGAGGACTAAGCGCCTTTTCGAAAAGCGCTAAACGAATTACGCTTAGCGTAAGTCTCCGCCGAGTCGTTCTAGCTCCTATTTACGAGAATACCCGCGGTACTAACTAAATAAAATCGTTTCGGCTTTAAAGAAACGGTACGTATATACTCTACGCGTAAAGAAATACTTTAGTATAATTTTAATTATTTCGTAACGCTTAATTCGTTAGTTATTTAAACGTACGTTATTTATTACGGCCGAGGAACGTTAAACGCGCCTAACGACTTAGCCGGTAACCTCTCTTTTAAGCTATTACTTTATATAAGCGCTCGAGTAATATTATTACGTAATATCTCTTCCGAAATACGGCTTATAAATAACTCCTAAGGCTTTATTTACGATATAAGTTAAACGTAAGGCGCTAATCCTAAACGCGAGCCGCTAATAATAGTTATAATAGCTTTCGACGATTACGACGGGCCCGGGTTTAAAGATACTTAAGGAAATAAGCTACGCGATTCTCGAGGGAAAAAGGTAGTACTAATATTACGCGAGCGCTAGGAGTTCGATTATAAAAGTATCTCCTATATACGAAAATAATTCCCCTTAATTATCTTATACGTAATAACCGTTTATAAAGCGTAAGGTATTATTATTCTTTACGCTATCGTTAGAATTATAAAGAAGGAATTCGCGTTAGGGTTAAATTACGTCGCCTACTTTAAGGTTATCTTGTTATAAGGCCTAATATTCGACGAGCCGTTTCATAGGAATACGGTATATAAGGAGCTAATAAATAGTAAATTTCTTTTTACGTTCGTTAATATTTAAGCTAATATATATTTCGTAGGTATAAAAGCTAAACTAAAAGATAAAGATCTTCGTTTACGTATATAGTTATTTACTTAACCTCTATACTTACTACGATACCCTTATAAATAACGTACTCTAGCGTTATAAATAACGAATAAAAGTAGCGTATATACGTTAATTCTATCGAGCGAGTATAGTTTATAATACTTTAATTAATCTCTATATAGTTAAACCGTATAAAAATAAAGAATACGGGTATAAAAATAACGTAAATATATCACTTTCTATATAGGAGTACGTTTTTCTTACTTTAATTACGGAGCGTCTCCTAAAATACGCCGCTCTTTTTTAACGTATAAAGATATCGCGACTTCCTTAATAACTAGCGCCGTACCTTCCTTTAATCGCGACTTCTTATAACGCTTCCTTATTTACGAAATAAAATAACTTATTTCCTATTATTAATTACTTTTACTATTTCCTTTCCTTTTTCCTTACGCCTCCTATCCCTCCTATAATTACGTAAGTTTAAACCTTCGTATATAGCTAATTAAGCTTAAAACGAACGCTAACGATATTTCGTAGTTTTTTATTTAATGAAATAAGATTAAAGTAGTTAAAAAAAGTAAGAAATTTAATACGCGCGCGATAGATTTAATTAATTAAAGTAGTATTTAGGATTTCGATTACCGAGCTTACTAACTTAGGCTTCGATTAACTATCGGTTAGCGACGCCCGCCGCGTAGTTAATACTAGTACTACGATAGGTAGTACTAACGGCCTAGCGGCCGCCGGCGGCGGTAGCGACCTTTCCCTCCTTAGTATACCTTATAAAGTAAGTTATGCTTTACGAACTTTATAGTATAAAAAAAAGTACGCGATTAAGTAATAATATACGTAGGCGTTAATTTTATTATATAGAATCTACCTATAAACCGAATCCGCTTCCTTATTAATAGCGACGACGACGACGACGACGGTAACGACGACGGTAACGACGACGGTAGCGACGACGACGGCGACGAGGAAAGAGCGTTACCTTATAAGGTATACTTTAAACGAATTAATCGATTATAAGCGAACGCTTACGTAAAAAAAACCGGTATATAAAATAACGTAAAAAACGCGGAAAGTTACGTATACGCGATAATTAATAAATATAAAAGATAATTACTACTATTATTATTATAAGAGCTATTACGCTTACGTTAAGGTATCCTAGGAAACCGAGCTAGAGCTCGCTAAATTTATGGAATTAAAAAAAGCTTTCGATTTTAAAAAAATTAATAAAAAGGTACGTTAATACGTAATAAAGTACGCTAGCGTAGAAATTCTAATTTAAAGTAAGCTTTTAATAAAGTTTATAAGAAAACTAGAAAGGTAGTCCGGAAGACGGAAAAGCGGGTTATAAAGTAATAAGGATTAGATATTAACGCTCTTTTTAGTAACGAATTATTACGAGAAATCCTACGTATATTACGAGAAAAAAATGTAGGTACGTAGAAAAAAGTAGAAAAGAAACGTAAAAAGAAGTAATAAAGATATAAGTTTAAGGGTTTCGTAGTTTTATTAGGTATAGCGTCCTTTTTTAATATAGAAATTACGTACCTACGTAATTTTAACTTTAAAAAAATTTTTCTATACTAGATTTCTTTTATGTTTTATTCTTCTTAAATTCGTTTTACTATATACGTTTTTTATCGTAAATAATATACGCTTTACTTAATATAATATACGTTAACGTAAAAATTTAAACTAGTTTCGAATTTATAAAAGATAGTTTCGTATGAACTATAAGTTTTCTATATATAATTTCTTACGTTTTCTAGGTTTTCTATAATAAATAAAGTTCGTAGCTCTAAAAATCGGTATTAAATAAACTAAGTATACTTTCTATATCTCTTTATCCTCCGGATAGGTTATTATTTTTAGCGTTTACGTTAAAAATAAGCCCGAATTATTCTACGAAGCAGAATAATTCGGGCCTTATTTTATAGGTACCTAGGTACCTGATGCCATAGAATTATGTACCTACCCCCGTGATGAGCTCCTTCTAACAGGTACCTAGGTACTACCTGAGGCTAGGTGCCTGGCGGTCGGATTCAGGGCTCATATGCTAGGACGCCGTGGCTTAGATGCCTCATCAGGTGCCAAGCTGTATCGTCACATACCTCTCGGACGAGGTACAACAGTCACATACCTTAGGTACCTATAGGAGGTAGGTAGGTGTCTATCGTACCTGTTGGCTTAGGTGAGGAGGCAGAACTGGAGGTATCTACCTACTTCACACTCCCCCCCCATACGGACCAGCCAGGCAGTCGTGTGGAATTCCGCCTCTCCTGCGAACCTACATCAACATCGCCGGACCTCAGTTAGTCTGCCGTTCCTATCAACGACCCCTCCTAGCTGCAACTATATGCACCTACTTGCCTCGCTTTCCTATACCTAGGTATCTAGAGAACCCGGCCCGACTCTTCAATGCCGCCTATGCTTTCTCTTGCCATTTCCTACCCCCCTCTCCGCATCAAGTTAGTAACCGAATATCTACAGCGGGTGCAGCCGTGTGAGGCCATTCCATAGCCGAGACTCCGACTCGGTAGGCAGCTCGAGCAGACGGCCGCAATCATGGCCCTGGTCGCTCCCATCACGGTTGGGGGCCGATACTTCTGGAGAGGCAACGAGCGGGTAGGTCGCCTCTGTGTCTGCACCTACGCATCGCAACCAGGCCAGAGGCTGACGATAATTCAGTTCCTAGTGAATGGGGTTCTGTACCAGAAGTACGTCGACCCCGCGGAGCATGGAGACATGGGAATGGAGATGCCTGCGGACCCCTTAGCCGACGATTCTCTCGAGGACCTCCGGAAGAGTATTCCTCTATTTAAGGAACTCGGGCTTAACACCATATTCGTCCGTAAGTAGCCTGTCCATTCCGCTGTCCTGTGCCGCTGCAATGTTGGCAACGCTCATCATTGGAATTAGCGTACATCGACTCGTCCAAGAACCATGACGCCGCCATGACCATGCTAGCGGAAGCAGGAATTTACGTATTTGCTGTAGGCCATGCTATTATCCAGAATTCCCAGCACACGCGCGCTTACTGGGAATTCCCACCGTATCGTGTGCCCTGAGATTCTTCTGCTCACGGGTGTGTACCCAGAATCTCTCCAGCCCAGACTGTGGCGCCAACCGAGCGGCGCTCTTCAAACCCTACACAGCCGATCTCCTCGAGAGGTATCTCCGAGCCGTTGACAGTATAGCCCACTACCCGAACACGCTTGGCCTCAGCGTTGCCCATGGGGCCATCGGCGACTTTAGCTGCGTGAATGCTGCCCCAGTCATCCGTGCCATTGTACGCGACGTCAAGCGGTATCTCACACTCAGAACGTCCTCAGCGATGGGCGCTGGAGAGTGGGGCCAGAGGCTTCAAAGAGGAGCCACACCCGTCGGCATAAGCTGCTCTGACGCCTTGTCTCTGTTGAAAGTGCAGTATGACTACTTCTGCGCCGGGAGCAGCGACGAAGCTGCTGATTTCTTTGCAGTACGTGCGCGCTAGAGACATGACCCCCGCCTACTCATACCCCGACAGGCTATCGCTCGGGAGGCATGATAGTCTACTACCTGCATAGCTGACATCTACGTAGTTCAATAACTTCTCATGGGCCGGAAAATCGAACCTGTGGGATTCTGGGTATAATCGCCTGGTCCGTAAACCCCCTTCTTACCCCTCCTCGTCTGCGGGCGCGATCATCCTATGTTTCGCCGGCTTTCGTAATGCCATGGCGCTGAATTACGCCAATCCAGCATCCGATTAGAACATGCTGATATCGAATCCAGATTAAGATGTTTTCTGGCTCGCCCGTCCCCGTCTTCATATCTGGATACGGAGCGTACCTTGGCCTAAGGCGCCTCTTCCACGAGACCCGCGCAATTTACTCGCCGCCAATGGTTGACGTGTTTTCTGGCGGCATCGTATACGAATTCATCAACCACCACAATTCCGGCTACGGGCTGGTTAAAAGGGGATCGCGGTCTGCGCAAAATAACACATGCCCCTGGTCGAAGCGCAGGGAATTTTCCTACCTCAAGAAGAACCTAGCGATGTTTTTTATGCAAGCACCGCCTACTGTGCTAGGTAACGAGGTCCCATCTGGCACGACGACTAACGATAACTTCTCTGCTAGTACGGGTTTGAGTGCGGGGACTAGCAGGCCAAAGATGCCAAAGCCGAGTCCATCATGGCCTGTCAAGCGACCAGTCCCCCCATGTCCGATAGATTGGAGCATCATCAATGCCCATGTTGAATCCGATAGTGAATGGGTCGATGTGAAGGAGGAGATTCTAAGCATGGCCGTCGACGATGTTATAGATTCGGTGTGGGATCAGTTATACATCGACGATTCGAATCTCAACTAGGGTTACAACATAAGGGTCTTAAATACGGGCACGTTTACGGCTGGCCGGTATTAATATCCAGCCATACGTGCGGTGACCTTTTCCTCGGGAGCATACTCGACACCTTTCGACTTTCTACCACATAAACTCAGCTAAGCTGCGGCGCAGTTAGTAGCAAATGTACGAGTAGCAGACGCGGTAGAGGTAGCCGGCTCGTCAGCACCGCGGCTATGTACCCATAGTTACCAGTATATACTGACAGATCACGACTCTCAATGCTGAATCCCAATACTGCAGCACGAGGGAATTTCCCAACTCTGATTACTTGTCCACTGGACTTTTATATGCGACTCCTCTCATCCCCCCAAAAGACAAAAACTAGGTTAGGTATCTTTCTTTTCCCACAATACAAATCACCAACACATCGTACCCAGCCATGGTCCACCGAAACCTAGTATGCCCGATCACACGTATCTGTTAACCCATAGATATTAAAAACTTTAAAAAGAAATTTTACCAGGAAAGAAAGGAGAACCCCGGGAGGGGGCGAGCACGTCACGTCTCGGGGACGCCGCTCGGGGCGGCCTCGGCGTAGCCCTCGACCTTCATGTCGCGCAGGCCGAGGTCCTCCTCCTCCTGGTCGGTGCGGTCGTAGTCCTCGGCGGTGATCTGGGGGTCGTCCTGGTCGGGGTCGACGGCCTTCTGGACGTAGCTGGCGGCGAGGGGGTCGGTGAGGACGACGGTGAACTTCTTGTCGCCGCGGATGGCGGCGTCGAGGTCGGCGAAGAAGGCGGACCAGCGGGCGCGGTCCTCGGCGGGGAGCGAGTCGTCGCCGCCGCCCTCGCCGCCGCCGGCGGCCTGGAAGATCTGGCTGTGCAGGTCATCGCGCACCTGGGTGAGCAGGCCCTCGACCGTGGTGAAGCGGCCGCCGAGCGTGCCCGGGTTGACCTGCAGGCTGAGCTCGGGGCACTCGAGCGCGCAGCTCTCGCTCTTGAGGATGTCGCGCGCCAGGTCCTCGGCCGACTCGACGCGCAGCGCGATGCGCCGCCCCTGCGCCGGCACCGCGCCGCCCGTCTTGACGTCGTTGGACCGGTACCCGCAGTCCGCGCACACGGTCGACATGAGCACGACCGCCTTGAAGTGCGGGATGTCCACCATCTTCATCTTGGTCGTGCACGGGTGCATGCACCCCGGGCACGTCGCCGGGAACTCGTACACCTGGTCGGGGATGATGTCGTCGTCGTCGTCGTCGCCAGGAGCGCCGCCGCCGCCGGCCGAGCCCGGATCCGTGGCGCCGGCGTTGGCGGCGAGCCCGAGGGCCTCGTTCTGCTCCGGCGTCCGCGCGTACTCGTGCTTCTCCCACTTGCCGATGCCGTCGCGCATGTTGGGCGTGATCCACGAGTTGCCGGCCGGGTCGTCGACGGAGAGGCGGAAGGGGAAGGCCTCGCCGGCGAGCATCGCGCGGCCCTTCTGGATGATCTCGTCGATTCGGGAGTAGACCTGGGGGGCCTGCTCGCGGCGGGCGTCCTGGCCCAGTGCGAGGTCGTCGAGTATGGTAGTGAGGAGGCCCTCGACGTTGGTGAGCTGGCCGCGGCCGGCGGGTACCTCGAGGTCGAGCTCGATGAACTTGACAACGGCCGTGTCGGACTTGACCACCTGGCGCTCGAAGTCGGCCATCTCAGTGAGCCGCAGCAGGTAGCTCGACCCCCGGGGCTGGATGGTGCCGGCAGATTGTATCTCGGAGTTGGAGAAGCCACATTTGTCGCAGGAGAAGGACATGAGGATGACCTCGCGGAAGTAGGGGATGGAAGTGAGCAACATGCGCGTCGTGCCCTGACCAGCGTTAGCTACTATGAGGGTTTGTGGGGGGATGGGGCGAGTCAGGAAAGGCTTGTGTTCGTACGTTTTCATGGCAATTCATACATAGCGACTCGATCTCGTCGACGACTTTTTCGTCGCCCTGGTCTGTTGTGTGTGCGGCACCATTCGTTCCGTTCGTTCCGTTCGCGTTCGCGCCGTTCGTGCCATTTGCGGTCGGGGCGAGCTGGCTAGCTACCTGGCCGATGGGCTGGAAAATGCCGTTAGACGAAGCGGTAGCAGAATTTGCAGGTTCCTCGGGCGCGGGCATTTTGTATTGCTTTGGGCGTATCTCCTCGGTGGAATTTTATTTTTCCTTTTTTTCAATCTGTTCGACAAGTAGGTGTGTTGAGTGATGAGGGAGGTGATCCGGAAGCTCACTTTATTCGAAAAATTTGGAGGGGCAATGAATCGAGGTAGCGGGGTTTGCAGGCATGACATAATTATCACACTTATCGGCACCGCTATCGCAGCCATGAAGGGCGGCACCGAGCCGCTAAGTACAGCGCCCTACCTGTTATAGGCCGGGGACCTCTAGCGTGTGCCAGCCCCTGTTGGAAAGATCCAGAACGTGCCCCCGGGCCGCTTTAGGGACTAGGAAAGGCTTGCCGCCACTGGCGACCCCCGACGTCCCCGCGAGTGGCTCCCTCTTAGGTAGTCCCTTAGGTAATCGATGCTCATCATCCGCTTCTCTAGAGGTAAGTAGAAGGAACCCGACTCACTTCAGCATGAAGTCTCTCAGGCTCAGACCGAACCCATTCTGGGGCCTGGGCGCAGAGGATTGGGCCTGTTGAAGCAGGGCCTGGAGGCCTTCTTTCCTGCTCTTCGCTCTCTTCTTGCTGCTGGCGTTGGCGGATAGTTTCGCAGACTCAACCGGGGGGCGGATAGCGGCCTTAGGAAGGGTAGCGGCGACAGTGGAAGTGGCAGTGCTCGCAGACTTTGACGGGGCTGTCGCGCGATGCCTCGCTATGCGTGGTGGCCGAGGGACTAAGATGTCCGTGTAGCAGCCGCACATGCCGCAGGTAACCCGTTTTCGGCACCCAACTGTCGGCGCGCTCTGTTCAGCACCAGCAGTCGAGCCTTTCTGCATGCTTCCCTCCTTTTCCTGCCTCCCCCCCTTCTTTCCCTTCCCTCTCCCCCGCCCCCTCCTCTCGCGAGCCTTGCTGGCCCCGATGATCTCGAGCTTGCTCCCCCGGCCAGGTATCATGATGTGGCCACAGGCGCCGCACGCGTGCTGCCGCTGCGCGTCCGACAGCTCCAGGCCGTGCGCGAGCAGGAGCGCGTTGCGCCGCGTCATCATATACGCCGAGGTCTCGGGCGCCGTCTTGGAAAGCAAGTGCGCGGCGTCCGTAAGGAAGCCGACGGTCTGCGGGAGGCACTCGTTCGCCATCTTTGCATGTAGGCAGTCGAGTCGACTTGTAGCCTAGGCTGGTGGCTTTTTCTTGTTCACCCCTGTCTGTCGCGACCTCGTGCCTCGCCAAGTTAGTCAAATTAAGGCAAATGATAAATTTCTCTAAAGATCCACTGTTGAACTTACCCAGTTTCATAAGTACGCTTTAATGCATACGATGTATATACGCATAAACCCGATTCTCGAATTTCATCTGAGATTCACTTTGAGGGCATGTACATTTTGTTTGATTTACGTACCTTTCCGCAATGTTTTATTTCGTTTGTCTGGTTCGCGTAGGCTGTCTCTACTAAAAACATGATGCCACAGCCGTTCAACAGCATAATGGCTTGTTCCAACGAGGCAATCCCATACATATAGAACGAGTATACTAGTAAGAGTGAGGGCATATATAGGTACGTATATTTTCAGATCCAGGCGTAGGTATATGGTCCTCGTTGCACTGCTCAATCCGCCCATTTCCACCCATGGGCCTGATATCATAACTATCGAAAATTCAGCATGCCGATATAGCAATTAGTACGTGCTATATAATACGAGATTTTGTGCCAAGCCGCATTGGGTATATCAACATAAGCAGCGAGTGTAATACTGATTGGGTGTTTTGACAATTTAACCAACCCTCAGGAACAAAGTAAACCAAGTAAGAAATATCTTTGCTACGATCTCCTAGAAGCCGTTACGTGTTCTTCTGCGTTTCCAAGTACTTACTCGTAGGTCTAAGCGGTAGCTTCGCAGCATCGTAGGCCATGTCGATCATCCTCATGGTATTAATCGAGTCAGCGCCGCTAACCCACTGTGGCACCTCGCGTCCACGAACTTTGTTGACAAACTGCTCCAGTTGGTATCGATATGTCAACCAGTGAGGCTCGCCGGGCTGATCGGTGCCGGCCTCGCGAAATGAGTATGTCTTGACCGTCTTGCTACTCGTCCAGCGCTTAACTTCGGCCTTGCCCTCGATGTTACGCAAAGAGAATTCGTCGTCGATTCGGATCGAATGTAGAATTGACGGCATGACAAAATTCGCGAACTTGATCTTGCGTGTCCGCACGACCTCGTGGCCTTCGGGCACGTCAATTCCGGCGTCCGTGTCAGATAGCACAACGGGACGCAGTGTCACGTAGAGATCAGGTGACAGCCGGTCGAGCGGCGCCTTGAGATCCCCTTCCATCTCGCCGCGACCGCCACCGGGGAACCGATACCGCGCCTTATATCGCTGATCGCAGCGAGAGTCGTAGGACGCAGCCTGAGTAGTGCATTCCTCGCACGCCTCCGCCACAGCACCGAACACGCGGGTTAGGGCGCTTGCCGTATATGCGCCGAGATCCATGAGCGCGCCGCCACCGAGATCGTACCGGAAGCGAATGTTGTCGGCGCTAAACATCAAGCGGGGAACCCACATGACAGCTTTGGCGCTGGCGACCTCGCCTGGGGTCACGTATGACATGAAAGTGGACCAGGCCGGGTGGAAGACGTAGTGCGCTGCCTCGAGAAGGACGGGCGGCTTGGGGCCATCGACAAGCGGACTCCTGAAGAGGGCCTCGGCTTCTTCGGTGTTGTTCACCGACGGCTTCTCTAGGAGCACATGCTTCCCGGCTTTAAGCGCGCGGAGAGCCCACTCGAAGTGTAGGCCGTTAGGCAGAGGGATATAGACGCAGTCAATTTCCGGGTTGTCGAGTACACCTTTAGACGACCACAGACATCAATCGGCCGCGTAAAGATATGGCGAATGTCGCAACCTGCTTACCCTGGTACGTTTCCGCCACGTCCGGGATGCCATGCTTCCGCGCATAGGCCTTAGCTTTGTTAGGATCGCGAGCGGCCACGATCCGAACCACGACATCCGCATGCGACTTGGCTTGCTCGATAAGAGCGCTCGGTCTAAGCGACGATGGTTAGACGACTGCAAAACCTGGCTCCTAGACATGGGGCTAGGAGACATGTTAGACTCACGCGATGTCTGCGGCGCCCAGAATCCCGAATTGGAGCGGCGAGGACGACTTGGCAGCGGCTGGCGGGTTCAGTATATACCAACTCCGGCGGGCGAAACCGAGTACGGACGACATATTACGCGGCGTATATGACGAGATGGCGGATGAATAGATGAACGGATGGATGCTACCTAGGACGGCGATGTCGAGGAACGGGACGGCAACGTTGAGAAACGGGAGCAGTGTTCGATGGAGGGGGCGGTCCAGATAAAATACCTGCACCAGCAGCGCAAGCTGGAGTACTTGCGTGTACATACACACCTTTGCGCATACTCATGTACTCGACAAAACCAGCGCGAACAATAAAAAAACAAATTTACTGGAGCGCAAATCGATAAAATACGCAACAAGCTGGTCGATGTCCTTTCTTCTTCTCTCCATCCCCATCACGTACCATACACATTCGTTTTCGTAGGCTCTTTACCGCCAGGTGAACCAAAAATTGCGAATCGCCGGGTTACTATGACTTCACCTACGACATCTAATTGCAGAGGATCCCTCAAACTATGAGGGAATACGGACCCGATACTTACACGATCAACTAGCTCACACGAAAAAGATGTCTAGCCACATGAAGCTGCACGAAAAACCGTCGTTAAATTGCAAGATTAGGCCTCCGCGCGGTAAATACAAATGCTATGAGGTATCCAAGCATCCAGTCATGAGCATGTACTGTTCCCTATCCAAGCACTCCTTTCAAACATCGCAAATCACCAACACACCTGCGCGCGGCCAGAAGCTTCACAGTCGGTACACTTATAGGATAGCGCGGAGGATGCCACCGACGGGTGCGAGGATGCCGCCGACAATCTTCTGGACGTCACCAACCAAGCCAGTGACCTCCTGAGCGACGGGGCCGACGGTGGTGCCAACGGCGCCTAGGGCGAAAGTGACGATCGGCTTGGCGATGGGCTCGATGGTAGCGAGGACGAGCTGGAGCTCGGGCTTGACGGCCTGGAGGACATCTGGTATCCGCTGTTAGTATTGCTGCAAAAGGCGGCCTCGGAGCACCTAGCACGTACCACGACCCACGCTGTTCACGATCTGCTGCGCCGTGGACTCGATACCGTTGGCGATGGCCAGAACACCCCTCAGCACCTCGGGAATACTCTTGAGTTCCTCCTCAACCAGGTTCGGGACGCCCTCGGTGACGAGCGGGAGGACGGCGCCGACGATGCCGGTGAGGTCGCCAGCGATGGTCAGGAGAGCCTGCTCAAGCTGGGGAACCAAGGTGACGTTGGCGCGGACATCCACCAGCAGGTCGGCTGCATCAACTGTTAGCTATCGGCGACGATGATGTAACCCGTAAGACTTACCGATGAGGGCCAGTTCACCATCGACCGTGTTCTTGACGGTACCGACGGTGGCGCTGACGGTGCCGAGGAGTTGAAGCTGGCGAGCGTGGGGTTGGCTGGCAGTCGGCACGGCGACGGCAGAGCCCAAGGAGAGGGCAGCGACAGCGAAGTTGGTGAAACGCATGATGATGGTTGTGTTGTGGGTGAAGAGGGCGTTGTTGAGTAGGTGTTGGAGGCTGAAGAGCTCAGAGATATCAAGGAATGACTAAGTTGGAATATTAGAGAGCGACTGAGCGAGAGACACCGTAGGCTGTTTGCTGGCTTGGGATGAGGAGGACAAGAAAAAGTGTTGATGGAACAGGTCGATGAGGGCAGATATATACTCTGCCCGTCGACAGCGTCGTCCCCATCACACCCCCTAAGTGCCTCCCTTCATCTCAACGATATTGGTTCTGAGGTCCTCCACCCTGGTGAGTTGATTCCCCCCCTCTGCTGTCGTCACTGGCTCAGGGACCGCAATAGCGATGAACACCTTCCTACTTCATCTGCTCTGTCATTAACACCCAGGCTCAGGGTCTTGGCACCATGGATACCACGCGGTAGAGATGGTCACCAACCGGATGGTTTTGACCAGGACCAGCGGTGTTTCATTCCCAAAACTGCCGCCCAAGGGTCCTAACTATGGACAGGGTGTCTGTGGATCCGACACCGTGCATGGCAACCCAAAGGCACGGGTTGCTGGCCAAGGGGTTCACGGCCCCCGCACAACTACTACTGTGGCACTAGCTGTGGCAGGAAGGCCGATCACAATGTTACGCGCCCGTCAATATGCCGAGAAACTTGCTGGCCGTTATTGCGCCAGTGATGGTGAACTGTGCGCCTTCGATATCCCACTCCTAAGTGTAGACAGCTTCCCTAGGAGACGTTACCGAAAGCGGAAAATTCGGGCTGCCGTGTTGGCTGCCCCGTCCCCCTTTTCCCCCGATCTCAGCGAGATATATCCAGAAACATGCACACACACCTGCGGTTATACCATGGTTACCCAGCAGAAATCGAAACGCGCGCAACCCATTTTGCATGAAAACGCAGATTTAACGACATTAGCCTGTTTCTAACTCGAGTGGGAGAAAACATGCCGCCATCTTCGAAAAGAGCCATGGTGATGACTATCAAACGGCCTAGTCAGCCGATCACAACTGGCTGCTCGAGATTTGATTGGGACTTGAGATGGCCTGCTAGCATTGGAAGGCCTGCATCGATCCGCACGTGCCTGATGGTATAGGGAGGGTTTGCAGGGCTCACGGCGAGGGACTCTTGCCGACAACCCTGCATAGATTGATCAACCTGGTATCGCTACCGGTATTCACCGACTCGACGTATCTCAACTCTCCAAGCGGGGGATCATACCGTTCCTCCCCATCCACGTCTCTTTGCATACCGACCTTCACATGTTCTTCCCCTTCTTAAAGGGGTAGCCGCTAGCGAGAAAGGGGTCGTGTACGGAGACATACACCTCGTCCGACCACAGTCACAATACGGCATCACCGATGCGGCCTTGAGCTTTCAATGTTTGTCATTGTGCCGCATTTATGGACGAAGTGTCTCGTACGCCGCACAGCATACTAGCATGGGGGGTTCCTCCGTGGATGCGGGAGGGCAGCCCGAGGCGATGATATCATTCTGAGCAGTCTCCTCAAGTACGGCCCCTGAACTGCCCTGGTTACATTTTCGTTGGGAGAAGCGAGCAAGGATGCCACCGTACGAACTATCGAGCGACCACGAGATGGAACTATCCTCAATCTTTGTGAGTTTACTTGGCGAGAAGGACGCGCGGCAAATCTGGGTACACCTCTTCCTCCACAACAGGCTCGCCTCGCACTTTTCCCTCGCGCCTTCTCCTCCTGTTCTCGAAGCCTCGGTACCCGCATCTAAAAGAATTCAGTGCCGGCACAATTTCCCCCTCGCGAGATTTGCAAGACCGTTGACGTAAGGAAGACGCCGGAGCGGCAGCGCGACACTCGGTACCCTCGGAAAGCTTCTTCCGATTTCGTCCGGCGGCGTTGGCCAGCCCCTAGATCGAGACGAACGTATTTACAATTGTCGTTATAGTCGTTACGTTAGCCTAAGGACGCGAGAGCTCCCGGCGCGAACCCCGGCATCCGGCTTGTTCCGCAGGTTGTGTCGTTTGCAGAACGCCGAGGAAGCGGCACTTTGAAGCCCAAGTCGAAGAGATCGCCAGAAGCCTGGGCCAGCTTCCTATGGGGGCAATGCCACGAAGGGAAAATAGAGGGGAAACGCCCCCTTTTCAACATGCATGCTTGTTCAGGGTCAGTTCGGTTAGGCCTAGCCCAACGGGACCTCCGGTGCCTTTGAAAGGCAGAACGCCACTTAGCTGCGTCCTACCGAGGTTGTAGGCATTCTACGACGGCTCCAAGTTCTACCACGGTCGATCGCCCTCTCTTGGATAAACCTTCATTTTCGTTTCGTGCCTCGGAAGCTGATTCTGGTGCGCTACTCGGCGGACTTCACGAAGGTTGAGCCCTGTAACATCACTTTACTGGTAGCGAAATACAATGTTGCCGAGGGATAGGGTAACCGAATATTCACCGAACCGTTAGCAGATACCATTTTGTTGGACAAGACCTTAGGCGAAAAAGAACTCGATGGTTATACTAGGCGACGGAGACGGGGGCCTATCCGCCTTTCCCGTCCGAAACTTGGATACCTAGAAATCGGCTAGCTTTACGCTGAGATGTTGGGATCGCTTAGAGCGGTGTTGGCCGAGGTGACGCCAAGATATGGCCCGCGTCTCCTTTTCGCCGGGCCTACGTTTACACCACTTTTCCCACGATGTTCTCTGTATACGACCATAGCTCTCGCGCCAGCTCCTTGCTCTTTGCGTAGCTGTCTAGCTTGTTGTTGCTTTGCACGCCAACTGGCATGTAATACGCCCCGTTCACCAGCTCATCCCTTTTCGCACCTGCCGCTACCCAGAGCTGGCTGAGGCGACCTTCGCTCTCGTCCACCACGCTGATTCCCATGAGCCAGTTGACGCCGTATACGAAAGCCTTCCTCCCCAGCGACAAGTTATTTACCATGTCTGTCGAGACAACGCCGGGATGAACGGAGACGGACTTGATGCAAGGGTATCGCCGCGCAATCTCGGCAGCGTATAAGATATTCGCAAGTTTGCTCTGGCTGGAGCAGCCATCGCCGCGTTAGTGCCGGCCAAGCTTCGGTGACAGCCGGCCCCGCTTCCTTGCCCGTAGGAGGCACGGTTTCTAGAGAGGCTGCTGATGGGGAATTGCTCACCCGTAACGCATATTCATGCCGAGAAAGCTAGAACTCTCTTGCTTGGTCCGAAGTGAGGAGAACGCGATCCCGTTCCTCGAGTGCGCTCGCCAGGCGGCAGAGGTGAGAATGACAAGTCGAACGTCGGAATTCGGTATATCTGTAGTTTTCGCCATGACGGGTAGGAGTTCCCAAATGATCATCCCGTGTGCCATGTGATTAACCGCGAAGTGTATCTCGAATCCGTCCTCGCTCAGGGCCGGCGACATATCCATGATACCGGCGTTACACCTATTCAACTTGTTAACACTCCTATCCTCTCAGCGAGATACTTTGCGAGGGGATATGGGGCAAGATACAGGGGTGGCTGACATGAGAAGGTCGATGCGGTCGTGAGAGAACTGAGCGCAGGCTCTCTTGACCGAGGACAGCGACGTCATGTCCATCTTTACGAAGGTAGCGCCGACCGAGGGGTCCGTTTTATTGATCTCCGCGATGACCGACTCGCCAGCTTGCACATTACGGCCGGTGAAGTAGATATGGGCCGGCTCATGTTTCGCGAGGGCTAAGACCGATGCTCTTCCGAGTCCCGCGGTTCCTTCGAGGCGATTAGCTTGGCCCCCTATGATGAAGACGAGGCGCCAGAAAATGCGACGAACCACCTGTGACGAATATCACTTTGCTGCGGAGGGATGGGATATCTTTTTCCGGATCAAAGTTCGCGAACCCAGATAGCGCAGGCATCGCGGCGGCAGGCTTGTCTATCTCAAATGCAGCGCAAGGTGCCGACGTCTAAGTTGGAATGCTTTTCGAAGCTTAGAGAGTTTAGTCGCCCTGAGAAGATGAGAGTAAGGCAAGCTTCTCTAGCTGGGCGGGACATAGGCCCTATTTATATCATATTTGGCGCAACGTCTGGATCGAGGCACGCGTGGTCTGGTAATTAGACATCCAACTCGGTTTCTGTTTGAGGCAGCAGGTATTCACTTAAGTCTTCCGTCTTAGTCGTCGATATCTGAAGAGTCGCGGTTCCGAATGGGGTCTAGGGGCGCTTGCAGGATAAGCAGATAGCAGATCCGGGGACCCAGTTTAGCGTGTCGAGTCTACTATAAGCACCCTTATTCAAGAGGCTAAGTCGAGATCTTAAGATGAAGAAAGATGAAGAAGGATGTAAGTGGGTAACTGAGGAATAGCCGTTAGTCGGATAGGTTAATACCTAGATACTACGTGCCGACGCGTTCTGTCAGATTGTCTCGGAGCATGATTGCATTCATGATCGATTCCCTCTCAGATCCGCCAAGTTCGACCCAGAGACACGCGGTACGCTGTTTGAGGGAGAAGGCCGCGATTGGAAACACTAGGCAGATCCTCAAAGCGTTATCCAGGCAGCGGCATCGCAATGTAGGAGAAGACGTGTCTGGTATCGGAGATGGACCAACTGCACGAGGTAAGCTCGTCCACCCTTGCGTTCGCATCCGGGTCTCGTCCGAGGCCATGAAAGACTCCGACAAGTCGGCCTGCTGACAAGTCGTTCGAAAGGCGCGCCCGGAAGACGACGGCCAGACTGGCCTGGCCGACCCAGCCGAGAGGTGTTTACCCCACCCACATCATGCTCTACACGAGGCCGGCGTTATGCTCGCGTTTATCCCCGTTGCATTATGTCCGCAGGTCGCAAGAGAGCAGCACAAAGACGGGGGCCAGGAGCAGAACCCGCACAGGGAAACAGCAGGATCTCGCTGGACCTGTGTGTGTGGAGAGTGTGCGAGGCGCATATAAGCTAGATATATTTACGAGTTACGTACGCGCGTGCGTGCGTGTGTGCCTCTGTAGCCTGAGTTCAGAGGCGAAGTGCAGAGGAGATACCGCAGGTAGGAACAGAGTCGGTCGCAGCGAGGGCACGCCTCGGTTAGTCGCGAATCCGCGTTGTTTCGTTTGTCCTCTACGAATAGCCGACTCGGTTCGAGCTCTGCAAGGCGTTGGCGTGGACGCGGGGCCCCGCGTATCTACGACACGGCGACCGTAACGAGGTGTCGACTAGCGTCCGAGTCGCCGCCTAGGTTAGGTGGGCTAAGTAGTCACGCCCTCATCTGAAGTCGCGGCCATTCTTGATTTCTTTACTTTGTATTGTTTGACATAGCCTTACAGCGATATTCGGTCCTTGCACGTACGTGGGGGGGACCTGGCAGTAACGACGTCCTACTTCGTACAATCACTTGGTTTATCCCACACGCCCAAACCTTGCCCCAAAGCCGGCAATTCTTCTTGAGAAGGGGCTGACGCCAGCCGGCATCCCCTCAAAACAGACACGGCACGACTGTTGTTCCCCTAGGAAACGTCCTACCCCGCCACGCGGGTAGGCAACAGGCGGCACTTCTTCCTAGGTATGGCTCAAGCGACGGCAAGCTCTCGTTTTCGGTGATTATTTTTTCCCCGCGCGTTATTGCTTAGAACAGGGGGCCGCCTAACCGGATAGACACCGACTTATTCTGCGTGTAGTTGGCCAGGGCCGCTTCGCCGAGCTCGCGGCCGATACCACTCTCCTTGTAACCTACGGTGCGGATTAGCATATCTTCTATCGCTCAAGTGAGAGGATTGTTAAGGCGGGCATGCTACTTACCGCCGAAGGGAAGTTGGTGGTGGAGAAGGTTGTAGCCTATTTCAGAATTAAATTAGCACCAGCCACTGATATGGGGTAGAAGGGTAGATTGTGGATGTCGTTGCAAAAACGAGCACGTAGGTATAGCGAAGCGTCGCCGCCAAACAAAAAAAAAGGGAATGAAAAAAAAAAAAACCAGCTTCGGGCTATCGAGACACCGAGGTCCTATAAGTGGAGAATTATAGGTGGGTCGGGATGGAGGCGACGTGGGATTTGAAGGGGGGTAACTGGAGGAGTAGAGCAGGGGGGAAGAGGGGAAAAAGAACATACTGTTGACCCAGACGGTACCGGCACGGAGGTCATTGCTGACCCGGATGGCCGTGTTGAGATCCTTGGTGTGGACGGCGGCGGCCAATCCGTAGGCGCTGTCGTTGCCTAGGGCGACGACTTCCTCTTCGGTCTTGAACTTGGCGACAGCGACGACGGGGCCAAAGATCTCTTCCCGCATGATCTTCATGTCGGGGGTAACGTTGGTGAAGATGGTGGGCTTGATGAAGTAACCCTTGTCACCGTGGCGCTCGCCACCGGCCTCGACCGTCGCGCCGTCCTTCTTACCCTCTTCGATGTAGCCCATGATGCGGTCGTACTGGAGCTGGCTGACTTGGGGGCCCTGGAACGTGTTCTCGTCGAAGGGGTCGCCGACCGCGTTCTGCTCGGCGCGCGCCTTGAAGGCGGCGATGAACTTGTCGTAGATGCCCTCCTGCACATACACGCGGGAACCGGCGCAGCAGCACTGGCCGTGGTTGTAGTAGATGCCGAAGTTGACCCACGAGATGGCCTGCTCGATGTCGGCGTCGTTGAAGACGATGTTGGGCGACTTGCCGCCTAGCTCGAGGGTCACCTTCTTCAAGTTCGAGGAGGCGGCGGCCTTCATGATGGCGCGGCCGACAACGGTAGAGCCGGTGAAGGCGATCTTGTCGACGTCCAGGTGGGCGGAGAGAGCGGCGCCGGCAATCTTGCCGATACCCGAGATGATGTTGAGGACGCCGGGCGGGAAGCCAGCCTCCTTGACCAAGTTGGCAAAGACTAGACCGGACAGCGGCGTCTGCTCGGCCGTCTTGAGGACGATCGTGTTGCCGGTGGCGAGGGCCGGGCCGATCTTCCAGGCCAGCATGAGCAGAGGGAAGTTCCAGGGGATGATCTGGCCGCAGACACCAATCTAAGACGAACCAAGTTAGCGCTCACTCGTTCACGTACGCGTCCTGCTCGCGCCGACGTACCGGCTCCTGCCTAGTGTAGTGGAAGGTCTCGTGGTTGATGTCGATGGTCTTGCCCTCGATCTTGTCGGCCCAGCCGCCATAGTATCGGAGGCAGCCGACGACGGCGCCGACGTCGCCCCTGGCCATGGTGATGGACTTGCCGTTGTCGAGCGACTCGACGGCAGCTAGCAGATCCAGGTTCTTCTCGGCGAGCTCGGCGAGCTTGAGCAGGTAGATGCCTCGCTGCTGCGGGGTGGTCGTCCGCCACACACCGTTGAAGGCCTTGCGGGCCGCGGCGACTGCCAGGTCGACATCCTTCTCGGTGGCCTCGGACACGGAGCAGATGACTTCCTCGGTGGTGGGGTTGATGACTTCGAAGCTCTTCTTGTCAACGCCTTCGACCCATTCGTTGTTGATCCACCTGGAAGAAGCGAAGGGTGGTAAGCACAGATCCAGGCTGAGAGAGCAGATGCCTGAACGGGAAGGAAGCTAATTCAGAGCCGGGGTTTCATTGGCAGGCCGGGGTCAGGCCAATTGGCACCAGGAACTCGACTTACAGGCCGGTGGGCTGCGTGAACTCGCCAGTGATCGGCGTCTTGAGCTGGACGGACAGAGGCATGATGTATATGTGGTGTCGGTGTGTATAAGGGGAGTTCGGTCGGGTTGGGTATATGGTAGGTAGGGTATAGATCCGTCGGTTATACACGTGTAGCGGGAATTGAGAAATAGAGAGAAGGGGAAATATTGATTAGGGGGGAGAGGAGATGGAAATTGAGGGGGAGGACCCCTTAAGGGTCCTTTTGTATCTGCGTCTGGGGGGGCGGGGTAAAAGAGATTTCCGTGTGCTCACAAGATGTGACGAGCTATGGGGACGCGGAAACCAGCGGTGCCCAGGCTCGCTATCGCCGATCGGAGGTAAGGCGCGTACCTGGCTACTTACTCGGTACCTACGTGCTTTGGAGGTACGGCGCACGAGGACAATGCATGGAGAGGCAGGAGGTAGAAGGACTTGCCTCCATGCTCCAGCGCCACCGTTGTGGGTGCGAGCCTGGAGTGTCCTCCGTGCGTGTTCGTCAGCGGCGCTACGGGCTGGCCTAAGGGGGTTGAGTACCAATCCAGGAATAGCGCCTCTCGCTGGCTATGCGACTCCACGACAGCGGCCCCCTTTTCCCCATCCATCGGTACGCCAATCGCGGGAGGTATGTTAGGTAATTGTGCCGCATACCTCAGTTCACGTCGGGAGCCAGGACGGGTAGGGGACCTCCAGGTAGGTTGGTGCAGACGGGAGTCGAACTGTCTGCTGGCTATCGAATGGGGTATCCCGTCCCTTCGCGGGGCCATCCGGCCCATCCTGCCGGTGCTGTACAGTGCTGGGGCCGCGACATTCACTGTTCGAACGCCTCTCCTACGCACAATAGTTGGGAAACAATCCCGATCCCCGCTCTCCCGGATGCATGGGAGGCGAAAGGGGGCGGAGAGGGGTCATGTGGAGTTGGGGTGGGCGGTCGGGGTAGCCGGGGTAAGTACCGCGCATCCTGCTGCGATTAGTTGCTGGGTACCTAGTTCGGAGGCGAATGGGACCCCGCTTTGAGCCCACGTATGAGTAAGTGTTGCCTGTCGCCTCCACGCAGCACAACCACATAGCTACGAGGCCGATATCGAGGAAAGGGATCGAGGGGAGGGATCGAGGCCTACCTGGTACGCAATCGGTGCGTTGCCGTCACCGCGAAATGCCTACACGTCCATACCTCCGGCGACCGTCTGCCACAATTACGATAGGTCAGATCTTCGTGATAATGTCTCAACCTTAACACGTACATCCACAATATTCCGATGACTTGGGTGGCCCCCGATCCTATGCAGAAGGCCAAGGTCTCAGATGCTTGTTACGCATGCGTGATTTCGAGGTTCTGCCATTGCTTTTCTGCCTTCTCCTTCGCTCCGTAACCTGCCTATTCATGGTACGAGGCGTCTCCGCCGCAGTGCTTGTTCTGAACGTGCGGGCATCCTTGCCCTCCATTAGGAGGAGCGCCATGTTGCCCTGTATAGCCTACCTACCTACGCAGGTATGTACATGCTACCTACACGTTAGAGGCAGGTACATGGACGCTTAGGTAGGTACCTCGTCGTCTCTGGCATCGGTACCTGCACCTGCGCTCCGCTATGCGTCTGAGCCAGCTGACCTGCTGACCCCATCAAAACCGCCGTCGTCAAATTCTTGCCACCCTCCTCATTCTCCCGCCGCCTCCCACGCGTCGTCCACCGCCGTCCGTCCACCCGTCTTACTATTGCCTTGTCCACACGACTCGGCTGCTTTAGCTCCTCCGATCTAGCCCGGATTCGTAAAGTACGCGCCTGTATTTCCCCGCATTGTGGAGGGATCCGGTCTCGTCTCTGCGCCCGGGGGGCTTCTAGGTCGCATCCCCCCTCGATCCTGTCCTAGATCTGCAGCCGGGGTTGGTTGGTTGGCGCAGTTCTCTACCACTGTTGCCCGTCGTCCGCGAGCCATGCGATGCGGACAAATGGAAGAAGGCCCATCCGGGAGGATGACATGAAACCTGCCCATCAGATCGTCGAGGTACGGAGAGCTCTTCACTTCCCTTCACTTCCCTTCCTCACTTTACCTGCCTACCTTATCATCAGGGCTATGATTGCCTCTTTTGGACTTGCGAGACCCTCCTCGAAAAAGCCTGCTAAAGCTGCCTGCACGCGCCAAGTCCTGCCCCCCCTTCTCCCTCGCCACCAGTTCTCTCGCATCACGCTATCCATATATTGCTGGTTGGCTAGCTGGGTGCTGCGAGCTGGGTGCTGCGAGCTCCAGCAATACCCCCCCGCCTCCCTGATTGGATTGGGACGGACGAGCGGTATTGACATTGCAAAGTTGTAGGAGCCTGCGCACCGCCATCACAACAACGACGATAACAACATCCCGCGCATGCCAGTAGTAACACGTCAACCTGCTCACCGGCGAGGAATACGCTGGTGAAACCCCCACGAAACCCACCATGAGGTAGGTAGACATGGTGGCGGGCGCCTTGCGGACCGGCACTTTCCGCCGCGTTCTGGGGGGGCAACAGTTCCCGGCTTATGGGGTCTCGTCTCGCCTACCTCTTAACTTCCTCCGACTCGGCCGTCCTCGCTTCGCGATCGTCAATTGATGTAAACTCTGGCCTCGCTATGAATCGGTCCGCGTCGACGTCGCTCACCAATACGTAAAATTCACAAAGAGGCACGTTGCGCTTGGCACATGCGCTCGGTACGAGCTTGGATCCCGTATGGGCTTTGCGTCATCGGGTCAACAGAGAGCGAGCCCGCGACCAAATATCGGTCGCCTTCATCGTCCCTGACTTGTTTACCAACCTGCCTCTATGCCCCCTACGCACCCATCTATTAATCATCTATCTAAACCTAGGTAGAGTGAGGTAGGCTTTCTCCCGGACGCAGGCGGGCTCGAGGCTTGCTATTAACACCGATACGGACAATGGGTCGCCGATTCTGGGAGACTTGTCAGTTAATAAACCCGCATTACAAATGGGAAAAAGCACGTGTGACAGTTTCTTCGACTGATATAGAGCCGTGCCGGGGTAGGCCCTGTTCTCGTTGATAAGTTGACCCGGTCGAGTCCGCATGTAGGGAAACAACCGGATATCTTGGAGAGCAACCCGTAATGGATACGAAGTCGATACTAAACAATTCCCGGCGAAGGCATTGCGAATCTGCATGCTAGCTAGACGGCCTGTCTAGAATGACAAATTAAGATATCCGCCTGGGCATCGCAAATACGACCGTCCTGACTAGGCCCCATCGTTCATGAGGCAGGTAGGTGCAGATACCTAGGTGCCGAGGTGCGCAAGTACAATTGGCGACATCAGCGCGTTCATACCGTACCAAACATCTTGTCGGGAAGAAAGCGAAGCAAATGAACAGGAAAAGAGCCGTATAATTCCGTTATCGCTGCCGTCTTCATAGAGACTTCTCCCTCGCTCTATCGGACTTAACTGCCAATGCACTATGCAAAACTATATGTACATGGACCTAAGGTAGTCTTACCCCCTTTGCCCATCAACTACGATCCCTGTATATTTCTATTTGAAAGATGTCCCTTGGATTTCAAGTGGAAAGGGTTATGCATACACGTCGTCGCTCGGAATATCATCCGTCAAGCTCTGGATATAAGACTAGGCATCTTAGGTACCTACACCTATCGGACAGGTATGCACCTATGTACATAGGTATACACCGGGGATGTGTATCAGGTAGGTAGGTAATTCCACTACGATGATATTATATAAGCAGTGTTCTCTATCTCCTTCTCTTCTCCACAAAAGAAATTAAAAAGAAATAGGAAAAATTAAATTTCTGGTTTTCGGTGTGTTGTGTGCATGTGTGTATCGCGGCGCGCTAGAGACTCCGGGGCTAGAAATAAGGGCAGCTATCTTATCGGCGCTTGGGCTAAATTTTCCGCCGAAAGCATCAACAAGCCGTGCCTGGCCTTGGACTACGACCGATACACACCGTCGATCCCGTATCTAACATCAATACGACTTGCCCGCCATCATTGCTTCCATCTCCACCGATGGTCCATCGTACCGCGCCTCTACACCTATGCTAATAGCACTGCAAACATCAAGTTGACCGAGCCATGGCTGCCGATGTAGCTGAGGCGATCGCTGCCGCCATGGCTGCCGTAGCGCCGCCAGGTAGTAAGTTGCTGCTGTTCTCGACTGTCTTTCTCCCCCCGCAGATGGCCTATCTACTTACGCCGTTGGGTAAGGCCCCTGTATCAAGTCCGAGCCACCGGCCGCCGACTCTATGGCTATGGACCTTAACCCTGTGCTGGAACGACCACAGTCTCCCCTCAAACGACCACGAACCCCCGACGAAGATGGAGGCGAACGGTCGCGCGACGAGAAGCGATTGAAGGTCGAGGACGAAGGGCCGGAGGCAGGCCTAGGCGATATGGATGAGATAGCTCGTCTAGTGCAGCAGGCCGAGGCCTCGGTCATGCGACAGTTCCGACCGGTGCCCGACAGCGTCGATGGCCTCCCGACTAGCGACATCGAAGGCGTTCACGGCCTCCCCGTCTTACAACCTCCCTTTGACCCGCGCGCACCAACCCAGATGGAAAACACAGAGCCACGCTCTGAGTCCCTGTGGAGCAATCCCCGGGACTTCACGCGTCGGAAACATATCATACCCGCACTGGGTAGCCTGGTGGGTGTTTTGCGGACCCGCTTGACTACGCCGGAGTGACTGAAGATTTCTAGGCCGTCGATATCATCGCAGCCTGGTCCGAGCAGTCTCTGGAAGACACCATAGCGACACTCTGCGGTGAGGGAGACTCGGACATTGCTAAAGAATATGCCGCGCTAAAGGCCGCCTTCGATTCCCAGCGGCGGCTCCTTTCCGACGCTCACCCGCTCTTATATCCCGAACAGCTAAATCTCGCGAATCAGAGCAGGCAAATCATCCGAGTGGTGAACCTGGCCACGGTTTGCGCGAGTGTGTTTGGTACGAATGAGCTAGGTCTAGAAGAGATCAACGATCACTTTCTACGCATCTTCGTCCCCGAGAACCAAGAAGTGCCGCGGGATGTGGCAGAATTATACCTAGGCCTGAAAACCCAGATATTCATCGCAGTGCTAGAGTGCGAGCAAGGAAAGGCGAGGGAGCAGTCCCTGGACGATCTCTTCCTTACCAGCCTCGAGAGTAGTTTACAGGGGCATCACCCACGGCTTCCGTTGACTGCTGCGGAGCGCGAGTTTGTCGCGAGCGCGGAGGCGCGAAGGGCTATGCTTTCAAACGAATCGGCCGATATCGACAGCATTCGTACGTGCGCGCCGTCGAGACTGATGAGCGCATCCGCTTAGCTAACTACGCATACAGAGGCGCTGAGCAAGCAATTTACCTACGAGGCCTTCCTCGACAGTTTAAGTACCTTCCTCAACGATCACATAGAAAGCATTCGAGCTGAGAGCGCGGGAAAGGTGGATATCACGACGGTGACGGAAGATACGGCGCACGATGAACATATCGCTACTGGTGTAGATGGGACATTCGATATTAACGCAATGATTGCAGAGGCTTCGAGGGCCGCTCAGAGAGCTTTGGAGCCTGCCGGTGAAGCGCCTAACGAATTGGATGACCTCTCTGCTTTCCTCGCAGAGAACGTATCCAAGGCGGTCGAGCAGGCTAAGGAGACTACGAGCACCGAATTGCCATCTGCCATCGCTTCTGCAGCCGAGAGCGCTTCGAGAGCTACGATGCTGGCCTTACAGAGTATCCAGCAGAACCAGTATCAACCAACTGCGCTCCCGCAGTCGAATGGTAAGCCGGGGCCCCAGTCCGCTGCGACGGCAAGAGATATTCGCTCACTCTGTGCAGCCCAAACGCACCCGAATTCAAATCACAATCATTGCCAACCGGCCCAGCAAACGCCGCCCCAGCAGCAGTATTCCCACTACCAGCAACATTCGGTAGCAAACGGGTTGCCTTTGTATCACACAGCAGGCCACCTGCCCCCGAATCAGAGCGATTCTACCCCAGCGCTGTACGAACGTGCTCGACAGGCAGCGGCGGCACGTTCATCTACTCACGCCCGTCGGGAGGGGTCGCATTCAACTCGTCGGCCCTGGAGTCCCGAGGAGGAAAAGGCGCTCATGATGGGCCTTGACATGGTCAAGGGCCCTCATTGGTCGCAAATACTGTCACTATTTGGACCTAATGGCTCCATAAGTAACATCCTCGCGGATCGTACCCAGGTTCAGTTGAAGGACAAAGCCAGAAATTTGAAGCTGTTTTTCCTCAAGACGAACTCGGAGATGCCTTACTATCTCCAATGTGTCACAGGCGAGTTGAAGACCAGAGCCCCCACCCAGGCTGCGAGAAAGGAGGCAGAGGAGAAGGCGAGATTGAATTCGGAGGAACAACAAGCTCACGTCAATGGCATCCTGACTTTGGCGGGTGGTCTGCAAAACAACGCAGCGGCATCAAGGCAAGATGCGTCTCCCACGACAGTTCCTAGAAGCGCGACGCCGAGTCAACCATTATCACGTCCGACCTCACATCCTAGCTCTCAACCGGGGACGCCGGGAATTCCCCAACCGCCAATTCAGCCATCAGCGCCTGCGCCCGCCCCCACATCGACGCCTCTACCTCGCCCAGTGATACCTGCACCACAGCCGGTTAGCCTCCCGAATCTTACGTCGATATCCCACCAGCACATGCAGCCCCCATCTATTTCGCAGGCCGAGCAACAGGCAGCGACAGCACCTATAGCCAACCCCCCCGCAACCTCGAATATTGCTTCCACGTCGGGCGCGAAGGCTTTGCCGGAGGCCTTGCCGGAGACCGCATCGGGGACACCCCCTCTCGCCGAGGACTGCGAGCCGACGGTCGAGCTCAGCAGTGTAGACGCCGCGGTTCTCGGCCTGAAAGCCGCGCTAGAAACAGAGCGAAAGGATTCAGCGACCGCCTACGCGCCGTCTACATCAGCTATCAACGGGGAAATTGCAATACCGCCCGACACGCCGGACGCGCTAGCAACGAACACTGCCACCTTACCCTGATGTTGCGTGAGGGACAAAGATCGGAGCTACGGAGGGCTAGTATACCGAGCGAATTTACTCTTATTCATTTTTTTTCCCTTCTGGTTGCCTTTTCTCTCCGAGTCAAATCACATGATGCGCGATGTGGTCCACGGTTGATTGATACCCCTGGGTTCCCTCCTTTTTCTCTTTTCTTTCCGGTAGCGGGCTGCGGCAGGAGGTAAACAGTGCACGCGTGCATGGACGGATCGGATGAAGAGATGTGCGGGTGAATGTCGACTTTTGGCACGTATATATATAAGATAAACATAGCTGCTAACTAGGTACCCTACCTACCTACGTAGCCTATGTAGCGCGACGCCCCGACGGGCAGACAAGCGACGAGCTCACCAGATTTCCCATTCCGCAACGCGATTGTGTGATACGAATTCGCAGCACCCAGACCGCTCCGTTGCGGTGCGAAGGGGCTCGACTCGACCCTGCCTGGGCGTGTGGGTGCGCCGTGCGTAGGACGTGGATGGGCCGGATGGCAGGCGGCGGAAGCGCCTCTCACCGTGCCGCGCAGGCGAGTCGCCCATCTCAGGTTGGAGATGCCGGCCTGGGCGCGAAGGGCGCTGCCCGGAGTTTCCATGCTAGGTCTCGCCCCTTACCCCCCGCGCCTCCTGGTCTTCTGCGCCGCCAGCGGCACGGCGCTGCGCGAGACCCCACGCCCCCCCTTCTCTCTCTCTCTTCCTCTGCCGATGCCGGCCGGCCCGGAACACCCCCCGCTAGCGGCCCGCCGTGGCGCGGTGTGCGACGCGCGCGATTCCCAGCGCGACTGCGCCCCGGGTTCCTGCGATGGGGACGGCCGCAGCGCTAGTAATCCCGTTCTCTCGCGTCCGGGCTCTGTAGACGGGGGCGTCGCGAAGCAGAGACGATAATAGGACTCTAGGAAGTGCTTGCCTCGTCTACGAGTATGAGAGAGAGGGGAGGTTCGGAGCCCGAGCGCGTGCCGATAGTAATTCCCTACATCTGCACTTGCTCCTCTCCCTTTCTTACTACACCTCAGCACACGGCTGCAGAGAAAGCAAAGAAAATGTATTTACATCTACTCGCGCGGGTTGATACTCGCCGCGAATCGATTTTTACGAGCTCGAATTTCCGCGTCAGATATGTCCTCTCGTTACCCCTAGCTGAGCTATCAAAGACAAAAATACACCTCTTCCAGAAATCCTGGTCCCTGCCCCGTCGCTTTACCCTGGAAGCTATTCATCCCCTTCCGAGTTGTTACAGTCAGGGGAGGGGGAAAAAAAAAACGCCCTTTCTAGTGCCCACGCGCCGTGAAATACATCCTCTTCAACGTAGAAGCTGCGCGCAGCATTGTACTACGGTAGGATGACTTCACATTACCACGCAATCCTTTTCCTTCCCGCTGCTGCCGCCCGCCTGCGCGGGGGAATTTCCGGCGACGGGAAGCGGTGGTGGACCCTGGCGCCCTCTTCCCGGTCCGCTCGGTCCGGCGCTGCCCTGTCCGTTGATAGTGGGCCGCCTTCCAGAAGCTGTGTTCCCCGGGCTGCTCTCCGGGTGACTTGGGTGGCCTGCCGGGGGTACGTATGGGGTTGTCCTTGATGCTTGTTCGTAGCTTGGGGGCGCATCATCCGCCGTGCCGCCGCTGGGCCGGTTGGTGGGGGTAATGGGGGGGATCAAGGATCTGACTTGCTGTACAGGCGGTCTACCGCCTCTAGCACCTGTACCGGCCGCCTGGTTAACCGAACTACCTCTGGCTGGTGGCTGGGGACCGCCACTGCCCATACTAACAGAGCTCCCCCGCTGCGGGCCGGCGCGGCCGGCTGGTGTGCCTTGTCTCCCTTGCTGTTCGATAAATTGTTCTGACAATTGGCTTTCGCGACGACGAGCGGCCTGCTCCGCGTGGTGACGTTGCTCCTCTTCCTCCTGCAGCTGCAGAGCCAACGCCAAGTCCCGGTCCTCCTGTTCGTGTTTTGATGGAGGCGGCATGTCGACGTTTGCGTCGCTGTGGTGGTCAGTCCGTGATCGCCGGCTCTGGACAGTTTGCCACCCGCCCTCTCGTGCATCAGGATTCGAGCTTGAGGAGCCCACGGACGATTGCTGCTGTTGGGGGCCGCCAACTAGGCGGAAGTCGCCTGAGTAGAATTCAGTTCGTTCGCCGCTGACATCAGCCAGAGATTCCCAGACGACCTCCTCGTGGGTGTAATAGCCGGCATCGGTAACCAGGGTGAAAAGTTGACGCGTGCGGGGATGGCAGTACAGAGTCGAGAAGTGATCGTTGCGGAACAGGATGGATATAGTGCCTGGGCGCATAGCTTTGGCCATAACCTCGAGGCCCCAAGGCGTAAGCTGGGTGGCTGAGGTAGAGAGAAAGGACTTGATGATGATAATGTCCTGGTAAAGTTGCTGCTCGTCTTCGGTGAGGCCCGTGTCGGAATTGCTGAGCTTGTCCTCGAGCTCCTCCTCCCGGAATAATATGCTCTGAACGTCGTCGTAGGAGGATGCCTGCCGAGCCATGGAGTCGTAGGCCGGGTCGGCTTTCGGGGGCAACCAGCCGTGGATTAAAGGGATAGAGAAGGTAGCATAGAGCTGCATGTCTCGCGTGCTCTCAAAGGTGCCAGGGGCGGGGCCTCCACGATCGGAATGCTGCTGCTTAACCGTTGGCAGTTCAGAGACAGGAATAAACCGAGGGTTAACGTTCATGCCGGTGTGGAGGCCCTTCAGAAAAGCGTAAAGTTCAGGCATGTCCGGCAACGATACCTCTGGGTTGGTATGTCTATGCGTCATAAGCTCGTCAAAGACGGCTTCCAGGAGGAAGTTGAGGCTTATTTGTTCTCGAGACCTCAGGCTTTCCACCAGATTTGAGTCTGTCTGGTTCGCGGGCGTGGTGAGCGTGAGCGCATTGACAAGCGCAACCAATGGACACGGCCCGTTGGCGTTTTGCACTAGGATAGGCGACTTCCGGGGATTCTTGGCAGCGGTGGCATCGAACCAGCTGATGTTCTTAATCTGGTAAGTTTCTGACTTGCTCGAAGCACTCGAAGACTCAGGCCTCGGTGGTTGCGGCGGTGGATCATCATCCGCTGTCTGAGGACGTGGTGGCAGAGCCGGAGGCGCCTCTTGAGCGGCGGCGGTAGTAGCAGGGTTGGCGGCAGAAGTGGCCGTTTCCTTGGGCGCCTCGTCCCCTGCATCCATAAAGTTTTCCCATGTGCTTTTCCTCGATAGAGTTGCGGGTGCAGGCTCCGGAAGGGGGTCGTGGTCAATTAGGTTCCAGCCGTCCGCGGTCTCAGACTGCGTCTGCGAGGCTGCAAGGTCTGGCTGCTTACCCTTATCTTGGGAACCCGCGTCGCCCCAGGCAGGCTGACCACCAAGTATCTCTGCCGCACCCTGAGATTTCGCTGGTAACGACGGCAATGAGGATTTCGGGGCACCCCCTTCGGGATATACAGGCGGCAAGGGAGGAAAATCGGAGGACGGGCCAACAGAGGGGATACTCGACGGCGCGTTCAAGCCCCAGACACTACTACTCTGAGGCGCCTGGCTGGTCAAAGACGGAGTTTGGTGTGGATTGTTGGAGGAGCTCGGCTCGTCTCGCGTCGGCTGCTCAGAGTTCGTGTTCGCCTGGGGATCTGAAACTCGAAGCTGCGAGAAGTCATCGGTTGGCGCAGGGAGGGGCGGCGCGTTGGCGGGCACAGTAGGTGGGGTTGAGGCGTCGTGGCCATTTTGGCCCGTCGCGGGCGCCTGTACGGGCTTGCGCTTAAAGGGATTCGTCTCGAGTCGGACCTGTCCCGGGACGAGCGCCTTCGGGATGCCTTCTGCCTCGGCAGGATCGGTCACGGCTGCGGTGCCGGTGGGTTTGTCGGTCTCGTCCCAGGGGTTTTCCTGGTCGCGAGAGTAATCGGGGGTCCTAGAGGCGGGGCCGGGCTGAAGGACGTCTGGCACATCGCGCACCATGTTCCCGTCCGCCCCATCCGCCGCGTCGGCTGCATGGTGACCATACGATCGCGGTGCCGAAGGTTCGGTGGCCCAAACTCGGTCTAGATCTGACTCGGAATCGCTGGCGGAATAGAGCTCCTGCCTCACACGTTGTAAGCTAATGGCGGGGGCGCCGGTGTCCGTGGAGGCGCTGTTGGGAGCGGCTTGCGTGCGACCATGGTGGTATCTCGGCGAGGCGAATGCAGTCAAATGGCTATGGTCAAGCAATCTACCTGGCGTGGTTATGCTTGGGGAGATCTCGCGGGGCATGGAGAGCAGCAGAAGCAGGAATTATAAGATGCCGGGGCTGCGTCATCGGCTTGGTGGGCTTGGGTAGGCAGGGGGAGTATGGCTTACGCCTGTTCAGCACTCGTCAGAGCAAAGGGCAGAGAGACGAGCCCGGCAATACAGGATCCTGGAGGTACGGATGTGAAGAAGACAGCAACTTGCCATCACCAGACGTAGAAGGGAGACAATGCGGGCCGGGCGAGCAGAGGCAAGCAGTGAAGCGGATGTAGATGTTGTAAGGTGTGTACCTGGGTTGGTGGCAACAAGGGCACGAGAACGACGTCGTGGTGGACGCAGGCTGTAGGTAGGGAGGTAGGTGATGTACTGACGTGGTTGGCAGCTGGAAGCTCTCTGTTGCGGAACCCCTGTCTACAGCACCTTTCGATTACGTACCGATGGACAGGCAGCGAGAGCTCCCTCGTCTTAGGTATATGAGGCTGGTCCAGTGGCTGTACTGTGCTCGCACTGCCCTTGTGCTACGTGGTAGGTACCTACCTATTTCCTATAGGTTCATCGTGGTGGCGACTATGAGTATTGCTACAGGTACCTAAGAGGTAGTACATCCGTGATATGACGACCAAGAACTGGCCTACATGCGTAGGTACATGTACCTATACGTGCGGAATTGCATAGCTGGCGCGTGCCTCATCGGCCAAGACAACCCGGAAGCCAAGCCAGCGAAATGAGAACGGGCTGGCCACGCCCGCCCGCAGTCTCGAAAAACATCCTTTAGGTACCTAGGTAAGGTATGTGCTTCCAGGAACTGTCCACTATAGATACGTAGCGTTAAAATCGTGTTTGGGGCTGTGCATTTTCCGATCATCGCTAGCTTTCGCACAGCTGGCTTGGGCCTATAATAATGATTACTAGTATATGTATACTCGGGTCTGGATAATATACCTAGGTACCCAAGGCGGGGCGAGACCAACTCCGTAGCCGACCCGGCCACGATGACGCAACTAGGTACGCGCGCACATTTGCCGCTTCGCTAACTAAACGATGGCTTCCTGGTGGTATACTCATATAGTTAGCCGCCTCATATGCTGCTGCATGGAGCCGGAAGCTTAAAGGGATGCCGCTGTCCCGTCATGTGAAGTTTGGCGTCGACCGCGGGGACATGAGACGACCAAAGGATAGTCGCGTCTCTACCCAGGGATTGCGATGACTAAGATGGACAAGAGAACCTCATTGGTTCGAGTATCGCATCCGATTCTTCGCATCGGATATTCACCTTCTCCCATCCTCCGATTCCCATCCTATCTAGGTAACCATCGAAGTCCTTCTTCAACCAAACTAAGCCAAGTACCACACCTACGTCATATAATAACGGGCCACCCTTTTAACAGGCTATCTTATCTTTATTCAAAAGCCTTAAAAGACGCTCTTATATAAATTAATTAACTTATTTAAATAAATTCTTAAAATTATAAAAGATATACTAAATTAAAGCACGTTACTTTATTAATTTTTAAAGTATATTAAAGTCTTAGTTATATATAATAATTAGATGTAATATAGTAATTAGTATCTTTTTTATCTTTACTTGATTAAAAAATGAGTAAAAAAAATAACTAAAAGAGAAGTTAATTTTATTAATTAAAAATAATTTAACTACTTTAATTAATATAAGGGAAAGCTTATATAATATGCTATACTTAGTTAAAAAACTGTAATTAATATAGTATTAGGATATGTAACCGCTTCTCTCGTATATAATTAGCTCTTAGAGGCGCGGTTTTAGTAGAGAGTACCTGTCTTCTTTTTCCTCCTCGTACAGCTTTATCCCTTTAATTTATACCCCTTTACCCGGCGAATAGCTCTTGAAACCGTAATACCAGCCATAGCTTACCGTTGCATCGGCGGCAAAACCGCTTCGTATACCTACGCCACCACTCATTATTCTTATCCTGTTGCCTTGGCACTTCTATCCACTCGCGGCTCTCATGGTCTAATCCGCTAACTACGAGATTTCGAGCCCCCTTCGCTAAAGTACCTAGGCGCCGAAGCGGACCCAGCCTCGCCTTCTTTGGTCCCTCCGAGCACACACATCTCAATCCAAGCCCGCACCGAGCTGCGCACCCCTCATCATGGCCATCGTCCAAGACTGGCTGCCCGCCAGCAGAGAAAACTACGAGACCATCCTGTTTTGGTGGAAGCTGTACCCTCTGGTGAGATTTCATACTGTGCTCTCCCCACCCGACTGACTGACCAACCAATCGAACGCAGCTTGCCTCAATGCAATGGCTCAGCTCGTGGTATGGCATGGGGAAAACCTCCGTTCAGAGTAGATTCAACCTGCCGGGGAGGATTGCGTGGATGACGATGGAAGCCCCAGGCTTCACCACCCTCCTGTACATCGTGAGCACCCTCCCTGCTCAGCATGGCATCACCGACCTTCCCTGGCAGAATAAGGTCCTCGCCGGTCTCTTTGTCATCCACTACACCTACCGCGCCATCATCTTCCCCATCATTCAGCCGTCAATGTCGCCCATCCACGTCCTCATCTGGGCCAATGCCATCTTCTTCCAGCTTTGCAACGCAACCTGCCTCGGAAGCTGGCTGGCGGCTTACGGTCCGACCACCCAAGAGGAGTGGGATGCCCAGACCTGGTCGGTACCGCAGTTCGCCTTCGGCCTTGTCGTCTTCTACGTCGGGCTGGCCGCCAACTACTTCTCTGACGAGGAGTTGCGTGAAATCCGCCGGGGCGAGCTCCGGCGCCAGGCGAAACTGAAGCTCCAGGGCAAGGTTGTCGACAAGCACTACGAAGTACCCCAGAACGGACTCTTCAAATACATGCTGTACCCCCATTACTTCATGGAATGGATCGAGTGGCTCGGATACTGGATTGCTGCCGGCGTGGCATGCACCCCCGCCAGGTGCTTCTTGCTCAACGAGTTCTCCGCCATGCTCCCCCGTGCGATTTCCGGCGGTAAGTGGTACAGGCAGAGGTTTGGAGACGATAAGATCAAGGGCAAATATGTCATCATCCCTGGCGTCTACTAGCCAGACGTGCCCGAGGGCATGTATATGGACAATCCGATTTGCTACGTGTTTCGACCAGGGAAAGCAACATCATCAAGGCCGAATTAACGGTACATCTAGGACTCCCCTATCCCGCCCGGCGGTATATTCCAGGGACGGGCTGACCTCGAGGAATTCTCGAATTTTCCAAGCATCCGTCCGTGAGCCTCCTCAAAACGAAGCGGCCAGCACGCAATGTAGAGATGATTTACATGATCTGGCTCTTATTCGAATTTATACATTGGCTTATTTTTACCGTACCTAGCCTATGACAGTCTCCTCCTAGTCCCGATAGGCGGGAAGAATTATCGCCTCCCCTCTCTAGTTTATTTCTCAATTTTGCTACATCTACGCACCCCCATGCTGTTTTCCACGTACGGTATGCCGCCGTAGCACTAGACGGTTCCGTTGTCTCGTAAGACAAGCATATTGTTGTGACATGCAGGGACTGTTTGGGAACTTCATTGTGCAATGTGTATGATGTTTATTTGGTACATAAGTAGTGATGCCCCTTTTCGGAAGGTGAGGCTTGCCAAGGCTTTATTTACCATAACCGCTCTAAGAGACTCGACAGTGTGTTTCCTTTGATCGAATATCGCATCTTTGGCGGGGCAACGAAGCGGTTGCATCTAAGTACGCAGTCCCCATCGCGATGGTGGCGACAATCCACGTCGTGCGTCACGCGCAGGGCCTCCATAATGTGCCTTCGTTCGGATGGAACACCCCCGACCCGCATCTTACCACAGAGGGCCTCAACCAATGTGCGGAGCTACAGAGGTCGTTTCCTTACATGGACAAGGTGGTGTGCGTCCTAGCGTCGCCGTCAAAGCGGGCAATCCAGACGGCGCTACTCGCCTTCGGACAGGCCCTCGCGGCCAACCCCTCGCACGCCGGGCGCCAGGTTGTGCTGGTGCCTGACCTGCGCGAGATCGGCAATTACCCGTGCAACGCCTGTTCGTCGGCCGAAGAGCTGGCCGAAGAGTTCTCAAACGCCATCAACCGCGAGTACCTCAAAGACGACTGGAACGGCGGCGGACCCTCCAACCCCCATTCGCTGTCCGAGGTGCTGGCGCGCGTCGAGCGGGCCCGGAGGATGATCCTGGACGTCGCGCAGCGCTGGAACCATGCGGGCGACGCGCACATCGTCGTCGTCAGCCACGGCAATCTCAGCGCCCGCCTGACCGAGGACATTAGCGGCACCGCGCCCGTGAAGGGCCCGGCCTGGTTCAACGCCGAGCTGCGCAGCTACCACCTCGCGAGGGGCAGCGGCCCTACCAACGCGCCCTACCTGGTCGAGACGGCCGAGAGCAAGGCCCGAACTCAAGGGAGGCACGTGGCTATCCACCCCAGGCCACCGCAGCCGGGCAGGCGAGCAGTCGATGGGTTAATGGCGCCGGCGCCACCGAGAGTAGGACTCGGGAGCGCCAACGCGCAGACCGCCGGCGGGACGAAGCAGCAGGGACCCGGCACGGGACGGAACGTCGAGGAGATGCAGAGGAACCTGCGGAATCTAGGGTTCGGCGCGAACGCGACACCGCCTGCGGCCAAGGTGCCGGCGCCGGCGGCGGGCAGCGAAAAACCGGGGTCTTTGAGCTCTCCAGACGCCCGTAGTGGCGGGTTGACAGAATTCGACAAGGTACTGCAGGCCCCCAAGATCCCGCTTAGCTCCCACCCAGTGCAGGAAGCTGCCCGGACACAGGGGACTGCGCAGACTTCGGCGGCCATGCGGGCTTTGCTCGCTGCGCAGGCCTCGGGACTTGCGCCGGCTTCGGGAGCTACACAGGCAAACGCGGCCCCGCCCGCGCAGCAAGGAACCGACGAGGCGAAGCAGGGTGCTGGGAAGGCGGAGCCCGCGGCCGAGAACCCGGCGGACAAGAGGAGGAGGAGGAGGTTCTTCTTCTGGTAGGTGGCGACGGCCCTCCCCCACTTGGGACGGCGAGGCTCCGGGGGACGAGGTCGTTCGGATGGACTATACCCCCCGGGTAGATCTCCGGCGGTTAGTTTTGATTTACGCGAGTGTCCATGATACCCCCTCCCTATACCAGGTTCAGACGGAAACGGGACATCCAACAAGATGACGCCGTCGACGGCAGGTTTGGGTGCGATAGTAGATAAATTAATAATAAATCTTACGTATACGACCTATGGCTTCTAGCTCAAAACTCTTTAGGAAGAAACTAGAAATTATGCTGTGTGTTCTCTTGATAAGATGTGGTCTGCGAGACAAGTGGGTGGTGCAGGGATGATGTACTTGGTATTAATGCCGTAACTGGGAGAGGGAGAATGTAGATGTGATAGGACAACCCCCCTTTCTACACGAACCCCTTAATATTCGAACAACACCTTGCTGCGCTGTACGCATGGATCCGGATTGCTGGCACTCTCGATTTCCTGTTGCGGCAGGACCCGAAACTCCCGTTCTCGCGCCTGGCGTCATTTACAGGCTACATCCCCCTCTCTCCGTCGTCGGTTCAGTGCGCGAGGTCTTTGGGAATTCTGCGCAAATCTTCCAGTGTCGCCGAGCAGTTGGAGCGGCAGATGATGGGGCGCGGTCCCCTGGATTACTCGGGTGGTATTAGAATGGATCACCGCGGAGACTGTCTCCTTAGGTAGGTTACCCAGTTATCGCAGAATGCCATATGATTCGGAGGCGAGACTCAAGCGTACCAAAATCTATTTCCGTTTCCAGACCCAAGCACATGCTGCTCTAAACCAAGCCGCCAGCCCCGGGGCTGTGCAGCAAGAGTCCCCGGCCTCACATCTTTGGTGGGCTGTCGGCTCCTCAACCTGCAGTATCCAAATCTGCCTTGGCGGTCCATGTGACCCATCAGCAAGGCAATTTAGTCAAAGAAAAAGCCCCAACGGTTGTCCCGATAACTTCTCTTCTCCCAGATCCTTCAACACAGAATGAATAACAGCTAGCTTCTAGGCCTGTAGCACCAGGATCTCTTTGAGACATGGCGCTCAGCGACACCTTCAAGTCCGCCTACGAGGACTTCTTATCAGACCTCAGCGCTGATGATCGGGCCCGCTATAACGCCAGATGCACGCCTGCCGATTTGTTGGATAGCCTTGACAAGATATGCGGTCTATCCCAGAGGACCCAAAAGAGGCGCTTTGAGAGGACCTTGTCAGTGATAAGCGACTTCAATGACCGAATGAGACCGTTTTTTGCCATCCTGGACAGCTCTGTCACCCAAGGCTGTGTCTACGCTGGCGCCGCTTTAGGTGCCCTGAGATTGCTCCTCGAGGCAAGTTCTCGTTGTGGAGGGCGTGGTATCTGGCCTAAGATGGATTGCTAATGTCCAATACTAATAGTTGGCAAGCTGTTTCCCTACGTTCCTCACCAAGCTTGTCCAATGCATCAAGGAACTCACCGAATCCTTTCCTAAGTATGCAGCACTTGAGGAGATAAATCGCGGCAAGCCCACCCCTCGACTTACAAAGCATCTGGGCCAAGTGTATCGAGATCTTTTCGACTTCTTCGATGGTGCGGCCTCTGTGTTTATGTCCAGCAACGGGAGTAGGTTCTGATGTCACTGGAGCTCTCTGCCAGAACTGACCATGCTTGCAGAAATCAAACGCCCGGTTGAGCTGATCGCGACTGTAATATGGAGGCCATTCGATGAAAGGTTTAGGGAGATTTTGGTCAACATGAAAAGGCATCAGAAGGCACTAACGGAGGAAATTCATATCCTACAGCTTAGCGAGACAGCTGACTTAGTAGCTGAGATGAATCATATCTCGCAGCAGGTGGAAAGAAATGAGGCCAGCATTGCCGACCTGAAGAGCGGAATGACATACTACGACAAAGGTAACAGGATTCGAAGGGGGCTCTGAAACTGGCTGACTATTCATTTCTTAGGTGCCACGATCAAGCGAGCTCAAGATTGGTTAGGCCCTCCAGCGTTCGCAAGTACATATCACAAAGCACTCGACCAATGCGAGCAGGACACTGCACAGTGGATCTTTGACGTGAAGCAGTTTCAGACGTGGTCCACAAGCGTGATGGATGCATCAGCGCAACACTCTGGAAAGAGAACTACAGCTGATGGTAGAGTCCTCTGGATCCACGGTATGTAGTGACCATGAACTCTGAGGCAGCCTAACTAACATGGCAGTACTGAAGGGAAGCCCGGAGGGGGAAAGACTATCTTGGCAGCATCAACTATCCACGAGCTTTGCGTTTCACGCTGCTCAGACGGCAGTCAACCAGACCTCTATTACTTTTTCTTCAAGCATGATCACCCCTTTCATACCACACTGGAACTCGCATATCGAGCTATTCTGGCACAAATCCTTCACAAATATCGGCACCATGAAAGCATGATCGACAAGTTTATGTTTGCCATCGAGCACAGCGACACCTCCACTGGCCAGCCAAGAGCAACGGAGGCAGAGCTGAAAGAGCTCGTCCATCTTTGCCTAGGTTCTGTTGACTCCCCTATCCTTGTTCTCGATGGAATAGATGAATGTGTTGAGCCGTCTAAAGTCGTCAACGACCTGAGGTTGTTTCTCTCTATCCCGGCCTTGCGGGTACTGCTTTTTAGTCGGCCCAACGTCGCCCCATTGACAAAGTTCATACAGGTAGGTCATCGGCTAGAATTTGGACAAGAGCTTGTAGACCAGGACATTGCCCTATTCTGCCGACGCCAGCTCACCAACCTGCTTGAAGACGAACTTCTCTACGAAAGCGCAGACATCACTCAGTTGACACAGAGACTGGTTCTCGGAGCCGACAAGATGTTTCTCTGGGCAAGACTGATGGTCACTCTCTTGCACTCGCCCGCGCTGACACGAAGGGAGAGAGAAGAGATAATTCACTCCATCACCCTTCCAGAAGGACTCGAGGGTGTTTACATCAGAATCTTCCGACAAATTTCCCAGCTCGACTTCGCACAGCGACGGATGGCAAGCCGAGTCATCCGATGGACCCTATTCTTTACAAAGCAGATAACCCTGGCGCTCCAGGATTGGCATCAACTTCTCGGAGTCGAACAGCCGGTGTGCAATAGGACAGCATTCAATAAGATCTCCGAGCTCGTCACCGTAGTTACCTGCGGCCTAGTGAGTTTTTCAGAGATATCAAGTGGTTATTTAATGTCGGGGATTGCTTTCCCTACTCGCTGCTCCTTTATTCATCTTTCTGTGTTGGAACATCTCTCGAAATGGACACCAACGGAACCTGATATCGCGAGAGTCTATCCGGACCCTGTGGTCTCCAACATGGAGATTGCAAAGGACTGTCTGGATCATCTCCTGCGGGCTGCCCCTCAGTCTATGCCCCTATGTGTCGAGAGCGGGTCAGTATTGGGCCAAAGGGCAGGTAATCTGGCCAGCTATGGTTCCGTGAATTGGCTTTCACACCTTGACAGGGCGATCCCTCGGAACCAGAGCCAGATTAACGCGGCGCAGCACGAAAGATGCCTGGCTGCCATCACTGGGATGTGCAACTCTCTAGAAAAGTTTCTTGAGCAGCCTCTCGCGGTAGCCTTCTGGATCCAGTGCTTTTATTCCAGCCCAATAGCAGAGCCGAGTCAGCTCCGCAGGGGTGACAGGTTTGCTCTTGGGGGAGAGTTTATCGTCAATATATCTTACCGATTCCCACAGGTACTAGACTGGCTGGCCTGGGTCGGAAAACTTCCACTGGCGGGCTCTCTGGAGGGCCGTTTCGCGTTGCTGAAACAGAACCTCACCTCCTTGCTGACTGACTTGACTGAGATCAGTCTACATTGGGCCAAGAAGCTGTTAGAGTCTCCTTCGCTGATTTGGACCGATGTTCTCATTTTTACTAAAAGCCGGTATCTACCAACCCCTCAATCAGCCTATCGAATACAGATGAACACGACAGCACCCACAGTCGGCGGCGCAAGCTCCCGGAGGCTCTGCCATATATCCGCAACCTCGCCTGACGGGAGCGTCCTCGGCGTCCTTAGCATCTGGCCCTCGGACGACTTTGAGCAGTTTTGGGAGGCCATCGAGCCAGCAACAGCGTACTCCCAGGTCGAGAACTATTGCAAAGGTTGGCATGCCATTTATGAGCTTAGTTTGGTCGGCGAACCAATGCGTAGTTTGGGTTCCGTCACAATACCCCTACAGGCCTCAGAGATCGCTCTGCAGATGAGGCAGGCGTTTCGACAAGAGCTCTTCACGTCCTGGAAGGCCTCTTTCCCTCTCTCGATCAGCCCCGACGGCTACTCAATGTCCATTCTGCGGACAGTTTACCGAGTTTCTATCGACCCGTCCTCTTCAAAGCTACAATTCCAATCTTGCCTCATCCCACTCCAAGATATCCAAGCAATTCAGCATCTCTGGGATGATAGGCTGAAGCCGTTTGATCCAGAGGCGTGCCTCAGGGCCGGGCTGCCACCAACATTGCAACTGCTACATCGGCGCATCTACACATACTGCACCTTGTTCAACGCGGACAGCCGGTATCTCTTCTTCCAGGACAGCAGGCGAGCAGAACCCCCCACGCTGGCTGTTTTTGAAATCATTGAATCTGCGCAAGACCACAGTCTTCGGGCCCAGGTCGTTGCCGTCGCCCCAGGCATCGTAGGGGGTTTTTGGCTGGGCCCTCTGCAGCTAGCAACCGCAAAATTCCATCCTAAGTGGAAGCTTATTGTATTTGCTATCAAAAATATTGTTAGCATATGGGATTTCTCCAACAGTGAGGACTTCAAACCCTTGTCGATGCCTTTTGCTAATCGTCGACTCAGACATCGTGGGGGATTTATCGCAAGGGGGCCCGGAGATTACATCCCTTCAATTATCTACCTGCGGAAACTACGTGATCGTGGCGCGGGGGGGGATCGACCGACAGGAGGTTTTCGACCTACGAGAAAGCATGAGCCTTGACAGTAATCTTCCGAATTCGAACGCAGTGGCACAGCCTCACGAGTCCAAGCGAGTTACTACTTTGCTGGGGAGGAGTGTTGGAGACCTCGCTTCTGAGGCCGGAATCATCAGAGCTGGCGACGCAAGCGTTACGCTCAGGCACAATAATACGAGTGGCGTTGCTAGTGAGGGAACAGTGCAAGGCACCAGCTACCATCTAAGTGCGAGTTCTGGGAACATCATGCTCAGCTGTTCCTCGCTGGCTGGAGACGGGAGGTCAGCGAAACCCGTCGCCTCCAGCGAGATACAGCTACTCGCGCTACCAGGCGAGAGTTGCACAAAACAAGGCCGCATCACTGTGTATCCTGCGAAAGCGGGCGAGCATCATGTATCGATCTTGGTGGACAAAGAGATGGAAACCGGCTACAACTTGCTAGACCAACGGCAATCAACCCTCCCCGCCCTAATAAGGAAGGATGAGCGATCGCTCGTCAGCAAAATAATTCTGGAAGTTGGGTTGAATCCCGGGGTCAAGCGATCTTTTGGCGAAGTGGATAGCTGGGCTAACGAGGGAGGTCCAGGTCAACTTGAAGGAACTGAGGAGTCCAACTCTACCGAGTCCCGGTTATCTCGAGCTCCCTCAAAGTCTTTAGTGTACTCGGGACACTTCCGGGGTGTTCGCGACTAAAACCACCGTGATCCTCAGATTTTAACAAGGCTGTCCGCCTAACGCCAATCATCGCAGTATGGGTACCGGCTTCACAGTACATTTCTCAATAGAACTATATATACCTATCTTTTTTCCCCTACCTATACGTCCTCATCTCCCGATACCTAATTTGCGCTCGCTCGAGAGCTCCCTCGACCGATTCATAGGTGTAGTAAAGGAAAGGCTCTTTTGAAGTGTGGGCTGCCAATCAGCTTCGCTCAATATCGTTGTTTACGAGTGATTGGCTATCACGAAAGACAGGTTTTCTGGGGTAATAATAAGTACGCGCGAATTCAAGATATCGTGAGATTTAATCTGGTGTACTTCGGAGCTCTAGTATAGGAGTGAGAATGTCGATAATAGCCTCACCATAGCTCCAGTCTATCGGGTCACCGAGACCGGAAGTACCCAACCACTCCAATTTTGGGAAATGCTTCTGTATGAGCGCTGTCGCCTCGTCTGGATCGTTGAGGGGCCTACCGAACCAAGGAGACGGTTAGTAAGTAGTGGGGCATAGTATCGTCGTCATTGTGTGCATAAATCCTCTTCAACCTACCTCAGAAACGACAAGATCCAAGAGGGAGCTGACGTGCAGAGGGGTGAAGGCAACTAACGTCTAGTAAAATAGGTTGGTACTTACCCAGAGTATTCCTCATTGGGTGCTTGGATAGCCCCAATCTCGAACTCTTTGAGATGCGGAAATAAGATGTCCTGGCGAGAATCCAGTTCGAGCATTCCCAAATCCATCAGTGAGCGCATTCGACACTGCTCTAGCATCTTGCAGTGCTTGGAGAGGACGTTGAGGGCGCTGGGAGATAGTTCGCACGGCATATCGAGCGCTATCTCTTTCAGGTCAGGAAGGCGGCGTACGAGCTGGTCCAATTCGGTGTCGGTGAAATTTAGAATGTCACTGTAGCCCGAGCCGAACGTCACATCCAGCTTCTCAAGCTTAGTGAGCCTCGCCAGCGAGGTGATAGCAGCTGCCGAAATGTCGGCATCAAAACTATCATCTAGGGGCTTCACGTGTAGCTCGAGACTCGTTATATTAGGGACAAGTGGGACGAGAACTGGGACCGCCGTAATGGTAATGGTCGAAGAGAGATGTTGAATATTAGCAAACGGAACGGAAACCTGCGCGCGGATCTGATTTAACACGTCTGTCCCGATCATTTCGCCCCACTCGATGCTTTCCAAGCCTCGGCGCGCGGCCAGGTAACAGAAGAGCTCATCGGTGAATATGTGGCTATACTTCAAGGTGACCGCCGCTAGCGACGAACATCGAGCAACGAAGGCTTGAAAACTTGAGAGCGACAGTTTGGAGCTGAGACGATTAATGTACAGCCTGCGCAGACGTGGACAGTTGGATGCCATGAAATCCAAGGTATGTTCTTCAAGAGTACCCTTATAAAAGAGAAACTCTTCGAGGCTGGGTTGCAGATATTGGTGTAGGCAGAAGCGGTCGGGGTACTCGGGGTTATATTCGTCGAGAGAGACCAGACTAAGACGATCGAAGGTAAGGTTGTCGAATCTGACATAGGGGTCACATTTCGGGCCTTTGAAGTACAAGGAACAAATTGCAGAGGCGTACTCCTGGCGGCGACGACGGTCCTCGACTGCGGCCAACGCCCAGACGGGTGTCGCGTTGGCCCACAAGAGCGTGATTCCCCAATGGAACCAGAACTTGTTAACGCGGATAGCTCGTGTGAGATCGTAAGTATCGAGATGACCTAAGATGAGGATGAGCAGCTCCGGTAGTTCAACCACCACCTTGCGGGAGGGCAGAGAAGGGGATTCCATAGGCGCCAGCATCGTCTCCTCCGGTTGTGATTTATTACTCGGTAGATTTCTAGCGTTGTTGTTGCAGGGGATCGGGTGTCAGTTCGCCTTCACGTGAGTGCGACTACATGTAGATATATATTAGGTAGATGGTGGTTTGTGGATGGGGGGGGACTGATGCCACCCTCCTTGGAACGCTCAAGGTATTGAGAAAGAGGTAGGTAATAGAGGCGCGCCAACCAATCTTGAAATACTCGAGGTGGTTATTAATTCTTACAATTACGCAATTACACGATTTAGGTAGGTATACATTATGTACATAAGCAGATATTAGGTATAAGGACTGTAAAGTGTGTTACAGCGCACAGCTCCCTGTCGGATGAATGGGTTTATGTGCATATTGCATCCGAACGAACATGATCCAAGTGCACCCTTCTCCACTCCACCTTTCACCTCCTCGCGCGTCCGAACATCAAATTCGCGAGGAGCCACGCGGGGGTATCGCGCTACTCGGTCGCTCATATGCCAGAATCGTCCTGGATAATGCCCTTCTCGGCAACGTAGTGGTGCCAGTTCGCGCAGGTCGAATTGAGGCTGTCCATGTCGCATAGCTGGGGGATCTCCGCCTCCCGCTCGACCACCTGGAGCGCGAATCCTTGCGAGGCGTGCCAACCGATCTACGGACCGCACGGTTAGTCGACGCGCCGCGAGCAGCCAATAAGCAACCAGATCAGGCGCCAAGGGAAAACCGGATCGGATACTTACGTGACAATGCATGAGCCACACCCCCGGGTTATCCGTCAGGAACCCGATCACCAGAAAGCCGTTTGCCGGAAGCATGACCACGTCCCGCCGAGGCGGGTTTTTGAATTGCAAGGGCGTCGTCGCCGTGAAGTCCGCGTTAGCCTCTTGTGCGAGCAAGACGACGTCGTGCCCGTGCAGGTGGATCGGGTGTGCTAGCCCAAGACCGGCGGCCCCGTTCTCGATGACGAAGTACACCCACGCGTTCGTCTCGTTCACCTCCACCACGTTGGTCGCCTCCTTGAAGTCTGGCAGGTCCAGCACGCTCTGCTGGAGCGTCGGCACGTCCCAGTCCGACAGGAAGTCGGTGCCGTCGAGCGTCCACTTGAACATCCCATGCGTGTTGACGAGGAAGCCCACGTCGAAATTATCCGCCTCGGATGCGTCATCGATGTCGATAGGCATGTACGGGACGAGTTTAGACATCGGCTCGTCGAGACAATCCTCGGTGTACACGTACGCAGCCGAGGTCGGGTCCTGACGTGACGAAGCGTCGTACCGTACAATGCCCTTGATGTCGTTTACCATCTCGTTCGGAGCGCTGCAGGCCCCGTCAGGGTAGGCGCGCAGCCAGAAGTCGCCACCGCCTTGGTCCGCTTCGACGATCACGTCGTAGCGCTGGCCGACGGCGATGCTTAACACGTCTGTCTCGTACGGCTTGATTGGGACCAGATCTGCAGCGATGACCTTCATCTTGTGACCGTCGATCATGAACTTGAAGTGGGTGTCGATGGCCCCGTTGACAAGGCGTATCCGGTGGCGTTTGCCGGCGGCAAAGGTAGTTTCGAACCTCTTTCCTCCATCTCCGTAGATGTTGGTCCCGTTTATGAGACCGTTTTGCGCCGGGGGCAGGCCACCGGTCGACGCCGTCGTGGCCCATAACGTGTCAGTTGTCTCGTGGAACCAGTCGTTTAGGAAGAGAATGCCTGTATCCACGTCGTAAGGCGCCGAGCATGGTCCGTTGATGACGATACCGCCGAAAACGCCATTCCATGCTTGAAGAGCGAAGTGGCTATGATACCAGGTATGTCCATATTGCTCCGCTTTGAACCGGTACGTGATAGAATCGCCGGGCGCTACTGGGCACTGGGTGATCGATGCGACACCGTCTTCCTGAACTGTATTGTTTTGTCGTATGCCGTGCCAGTGCTATCCCCGTGTCAGTATTTACCGTAACGATCATTTCTTTCTAGAACCTCGGTAATCCCCCATGGGATACAAGGATAAAGGGGTAAAGGGGGGTAAAGGGGGGCAGGGCGTTGTGATATTCGACTCATCCTCAGATGAATCCACCCGACATCTCTCTCGCTAGGATGAAAAATTTCACCTACGATGCTAGTGCCGTTATTCTCCAAGGCATTGTGCACGTGAATAACGAGCCTATCGCCCCAATCTGCAAAGATCGTAGGTCCCGGCACCGATCCATTAACCACCAAGACCACGCGCTCAACCCCATCGACCTTCTCCGTACGGTTCTGTATTTCCAGCCAATATTCTCTTGTGACGCCGGTATCCGGGACCTTGTCGTACCAATTCGTCGATAGAGAATAATCACCCCAGCATTGCGGCGACTTTGACGGATGGAAGTTACATTTGCCAGTATGGCAACCCTTCCTAGGAGTTGCAGCAGCAGAAACGAGAGACGTAGCAACAAATGTGCTGAAGGCGGCCAAGAACGCCGCTGGCCGCATATTTAATTATGGTATTAGGGGACCACGAATGGAAAAAAAACGAGTGGCGCGGACTGAAAACGTCCTGGTTGACGGAGAGGAACAAGGCTTGTCGTGGTCAACGTGCTCAACAGCAGAAAGACACCTACAAGGACGGAAAGCATGTTATAATAAATACTATGGTATTAGTCGGTAGTGAGAAGCGTACTTCTTGACGATGTAGGTATCCACTTGAAGTCATCGTAGCGCCCTACCTTCCCCTGAGCATCGTTCGACGGCGAAGTGCAACCATTAGATCTAGGCTATACGAAATAGCGCTTGGAAGGGCTATTCTCAGAAAGAAAAAGGGGAGGGCGAGGGGGACAGAGTCTCAGGACTAGCACCAGCCGCGCCGTCGTCCTTGGTAGGAACCATGTGGCCTCAGCCGCAGGGTGTCATGACGGGAAGCGGCTGCTGCACCATGCGGATGGGGTTAAGAGGCAGAACCGCTCTCTTTTCGAATAGATTGAGGGCTCGTATAAGACTATGCTATCCGTACCATCTTCATCCAACGGTCTGCTACTTCTCGTATGTCGTGATGTCACGGCTCGGCTAAATCAGTAGGACTAGGGATTAGATTTCGCGATAGACTTGAAACATACGACCCATAGATCCCGAGGGTCAACGGCGTAGTTTCTCCCCTTGTTCTATACATATACCTGTCCTACGCAGGGACACTACTTGCTACGCTAGCGTCGAAATTCTCCGGACTATCCACAGTAGCTGTTTACCTAAGTCCGTACTATTATTATCGAGATACGGGAGGTTCCTCTCCAAATTAGGCTTGATGGAGGTGATAGTAGACCGGCACCGCGTCTGGCTCGCTAACGAGCGTCGGCGACGTCCAATCGGGACCGCGGCCTTGACACGCACGGCTGTTCAGGTCCTGGCTTAGCTCCCCCCCAGCGGTCGAACGTCGAGCCCGCTAGTCTGTCGTTAGCCAGAATTGCCCAAGACGCGCCCGCACGTGCGAGTTCCGCCAACCCGGACCTCGAGCACTAACGCGCTTCCTAGGTGCAAAAGGGGCGACGAGACACGAGACGGCCCAAGCTCTGGAGTCCGCAAATGGACGATCCAGGCAGCCTCGATTGGTCTTGCCTCCCCGCCGGTTCTTTGGGTATTGTGCCCGCCGCAGGCCCTATCGTACATACATTGCTCGTAGCTGCGGTCCGATGTTATCCGCATCGCCCGAGTCGCGAAGGCCAGGAAGTCGGGCGCTTGTCTGCGTTGACACAAGCGGATAGACAATAGGCATTATTCTCCGAAGTCTTGTTAGTGTATGTATTGTTTCTAGCCTCTTTTCGCGCTCTGGTTCTTTTGGTAGCCGGGAAAGAAGATAGCAACGCAAAGCTAACACGGCCACTCCGTAGCCGAAGTGCTAGTCTAAAATGGGAAGATTCGGTTAGCTTTGACGGCTAACTACCTAGACGGCGTCAGGCTTTGCTGTGTGCTGTGCAGCAGGATAGCATCCTCAACTCCGTATGAATACCCTCGGTCGGTGCCGTGGTATTAACACACTACAACAGGTCACGCAACGAGTAGACGGCAAGACTGACTCTTGGCTTCCCGAAGAAGGAAGGGCTACTTTTATAAAGCGGTCCGTAGCCTTCTTAGAAACGCCACGTTCATTTCCCCCATAAACCCCATAGGTAATAGATGGGACCGCTGGGGGCGATGCGTTACCGCGGTAGAATACGTAACGTACTAGTAAAACTGTGCCACCGGACGGCTATCAACCTCACTAATATATGTGTCTACCTCTTTAAATAGACATTCAGGGAAACCCCATGGGTTCTTAACAAAGAAATCCCCAGTTATTATTATACCTATGTGTCGCGTAAAACGTAGACGCCTACATTCACGCTTTGCGGTATGTAGGCTTATATAGGCTGGTTCAATTACTACGTGACACTATGTAAATGTGGCTTGTAAAATAAGCGAAAGAGAGCTGCATGTACTGACAAGGTTTCTAGATCTCGTGTGACGCTTGGCAACCCCTATTATAGGGAACCTCGTGTATGTGATATCGACGCAACTGGTTTCGTTACTTGGAATATGTCATGTAGCCTTTTCAGGTGAGCTACGCTTAGGTGTGCACACTTTCGCGCGTACAAACGAGCAAGAAAGGTGCCGGACGGGAGAGGCTAATTAAAGGTAACTACATCTTGAAACTATGGGAGAATTGAGAGAACGAGAGCGACGGAAAGCTATACACAGTGCTCTCCGGTGCTGGGGTAAGCTAAGGTGCACAAAGGTAGGCAAAAGATGGTGAAGGGAGGCAAACTCCTACGTGATAGAATATATGTCACAGGGGAACACACCTCCAGTAGCTCCCACCAACAGAGAGCCACTCCTTCGTGGAGAGCAACTTGGCTTGCTCAAGTTGGTTAAGCATATAGGTATATATATAGGTCACGGCTAGCTTCGAACTGTTCCTTTCCTTCCTTCTTAACCAGGTCATCAATAATATATCACCCTTTACCTAGGTCCTCCAACATTACCTTACTTGAGGATAGTTACGTGACAATATATTAAGCCCGGAAGTCATGGTCTGTTCGTTAGGCGACACCGTAGACGCCTGCATCTCCTGGTGTGAACGTGTAAGTCGTTATGCTATGCAACTTCGCCCTAAGAATCTACTTTTTTCTTAGTTTTTACTAGATTTCCCCCCAGCTCGGCTAATAAGCTGTTTTGCTTTTGTCGCGTAAAACGTGGGCGCCTACATTGTACGACTTATAGTGTGTTGGCATATTAGGTCTGGTTCAATTACTACGTGATAGTTTTTAATATACTTTTGGGGCATTGTCGGTGTCTTGATCGCGAAAAGTTGCGAAAGCAGCGCAAGGGGTAAGAACAACAGAAGCGAAGAATGGAGAGTCCAGTTATATTGTCAATCAGCTGCCGAGCTATTAGCAGGGGAAATCAATGAGCGAACTGTTAGCTTAGATATGCGCCTCTAATATAGCTAGCTAGCTTAGGCAGGTAGATTTGTGTACCTTTCCCAGCGTAATGACTAGCCATCGAAAGAAACCGAATGGAGGCCCGAGACAACCAACGAGCTGTTCTGTGGGTCTCGGGAGACATCAACGACGCGTCCTACTGCTGTCTCTCGGAGTGTGTTTCTTCGATGACCTTTTGGCATACCCATGCTCCTCATCCTTATATTTCTCCTGTCTGTCTCGACGGCCTTCGCTCGTTTTTTGTTTCCCCTTTCGCTTCTCCTTTATCGTAAGTAGGTCACCCGAATCTTCTTCGTCATCTTGGTCGTCGTCGTCTCTTCTCCTTCTCCGTTCACTCTCCAAGTCTGATGGATCACTCGAATCGATACGCTTGTTGCTCCCCTCACCGTCAGTATGGCTCTGGTCAGTATCGTAGGAACTAGAATCTCTCGCTACTGCTCTTCTAGCCTGCCCCCTCCGGTAGGTATTTGCCGACCTCCTGCTATCGTAACCACGTGTGTCAAGGTTCCTGCCCTCGTTCGCGCGCCAGCCATCCAAACGCACACTTTTCTGTTTGGCGAGCTCGCTCTGGGCCATCCCTAATACCGACGTCAAATAGTCGTCGAAGTTTGTGCTAGCTTCCTCCACAAGCCCGAAGTGCCGTGGCCTCAGCACTGGCTCGCGCACCTTTTTATTGCTGTTTTTCTTTGAATCCATGTTCTCGATCGCCTCGTTCTCCGCTAAAGCGACTGCGATATGGAACGCGTTGCGGATCTGCCTGCCGTTCCATCGCGTGCGCGGCGGATTGTGATCGTAGTGGTCTTCGGCAAATGCTTCAATCTCTTCCTTCTTGACCCGGATCTGGTTGACTTTACGCCTCTCGATGAGTTTGATGTTCTCACGAAAAATGTCCAGAGTTGACTCCTTAGAGAGAGGGGGGTAGTAGAGCGAGATGTGCACACGAGACCGGAAAGCCTCGTCCATTTTCCCGACCCGATTGGTGGTGAGGAAGAGGATACCCTGGTAATACTCAAGGACGCGAAGAAAGACTATGGTTTGGAGCATTAGCAGTGCATATTCGCCATCTGGTCGGTTTCGGGTCTCACCGGACACTAGGCTGTTGTGTTTGACATTGTTCTCTCGTTGGCTTAGGAAAACATCGGCCTGCGTTTTGGTTAAGTTTGACGTAGCGAGGAGTCCTGAGATTTGGCCGGCTAACCTCATCCAGTAGAAGAACGCATTTCCATTTTTGGGCTTGGACAAAGATGCGCTTGAGATGGTTCTCGACTTCTTGGGCAGTAATGCCAAGATCACCACAGGTAATCGGATAAAGGGGTCGGTCACACAGCTCCGCTACGCATTCTAGGTGTAGGGTTAGAACAAGTTAGGGCCAAGTAGTGATTGCAATGGTTTCGGGTGTGCTAACCCGCCGTCGATGTTTTCCCTACTCCAGGGGCGCCGTGGAGGAGAATAATCAGCCCCCTTCCTGCCATGAGAAAGGTAAAGTATCAGCAAGTTGTTAAAACACGGAGACGATGGGCGCCGGTACCTTTTCCGCGAATCAGATCTACCGGTGCCTCTTCTTCGAGTCCCCCTTGGCGCCTCGCGCGAAAGTGTGCCTGGACGAGGGAATAGACCATCGATTTATGACCTTTCGGCAATATAAGCGACTCCCAACCTTTATACCCCTGCTGGGCCTTGTCATCTATCATCTTGACGTTGTTAATATCAACGACAGCTAGAAAGGCAGTTGGTATTAGCTTTGGGTGATCACTAGGCAGTAGGCGACGACATACCCCATTTCCGATCTTTGAGAACAAACGCGAACAGCTGGTGTGGAAAAAGGATCATGTCTTTCTCGTCGATCTGATCAGGGTCGTCGCTGAGGTATCTCACATCAGTGGTGAGGACCTTCTTGTCTTGAATGAAGCCTTCCATCCGTCGGTAATCAAGATTGATATCATTATACACGTGGTCGTTCTCGCAACACCCCTGCTCCCGGCACCCGCCGCGCGACACCATGACCACCTCAGCCGAGTCGGCGCTAGATGGGGGATGGATCCCGAAATCGACGGTGTACTGCCAACCGTGATCTTTGTCCTGCTGATCGGACAGGGCGGCATTGAAGTCTACGATAATCTGACTGTCGAGATTCTCGACCTCATGCAAGTTGGGCCCTCGGTATTGAACATGTCTACCCCTACACAAGCGGAGGAACGTATGACCATTCGATTGAAGCTTCTCCCTGACCCGCACCGAATCATTCGCAAATTTCAATGGATATATCTGCAGGCTCGTGATGTCTCGCTGGTCGACATACTTTTGGATTCGGAATTCTCTAGTAACAGGCCCAAATTTGTTTCCGTCGAAGTCTATCTGATAGCAGGTCACGACAAAATCGCCCCACTTCTCTGGGATACGGTACGGTTTCGTAAAGTCGTTGCTCTCCTCGTCCCTCTCTTCTGGAGGCGAGAGATAGGGGCGGCCGCCAGTGACATGCAAGACTCGGTAGGCGTTGACAGGGCTTGTTGAGGTAATAACCTCCTCACCTGGGTGAAATATATGCCACAGGTCGGAGAAGTAGATGCGACGCGCTAGTCCTTTCTCAAATTCTGTCACGATTTTTAGATCGTGGTCCATGAACTCGATCAGACAACACAGCTCCTTGTAGGCTTGTTCCGTGCCGCAGGTCTCAAGGAGATTTTGACCGCTCTCACTCGTGAAGGAGTCTTCGCGGCCGCCATCTCCCTGACCCTCTTGATCACGGGCGGCAGTAGTGCTTTCGGCAGATTTGCTGCTTGTTTCTGTGTCTGTTACTACTTCCGCCGAGTCCACAAACTTTTTCCTCAGCAGCCGGTGGAGTTTCCTGATGGCAACTTCATAGTGCAGTAGGACCTTGAAGGGCTTCAAGAATACGATAGGTTTGTCAGTTGTCTCGATACCCAATTCCAAAGCCCTGTCTAGTAGTTGTATAAGTGCGTTTCCGTTCAAGCGGATCCTATCTGGCATTGAGGAATAGGACGGCGCTGGATGCTGGATAGGTTTTGTCTCTGCAGGAATATTATCCCCCTGAGTCTTCTCAGGGGCTGGCTCTTGGAGATCGCGAAGGTTCCAGGAGCGGCCAATCTGTCGAATATGTATGGGCGCCTCTCGTAACGACCGGTTTCTCCAAACGTTGTACGGAATGATAGGATCACCTTTTAGGACGTCGATCGCGTGCTCCTCCTTGATGTTTCGCTCGGAATCGTGATTGCGCTTATAGTCAAGCCATGTAACACGATTTAACGTTGGCGTTGGAACATCGACGTCGACCCATTCCTCCTGCTGATCCCCAGCATCAACCGCCGGGTTGGTCGGTCCTGATAACGGCACTTGTAAAGCGTCATAATAATCACCCGCACCCCCTCCCGGCGATGCTGTCTCTAGCGCTTCCAATCTAATTTATTTTGCTGTCAGGATTCGTATGATTAAAATTCAACTTTCAAGCCCATTCTTACCTATCATCAATCAAACGGAGATATGCCTGGAACGCAAAGGACAGAAGCTTGGCTCGTCCGGTTCTCCATCTAAGAGGCATCGCATGCTCTCGCCTAAGGATAGAGTCGTGGGCCACTCGTATATTTCGTACGTTCCTCGGGGTCATGTCCTCCGACGTGTACATTTTCCTGTTGAGATCGTTATACAGTTCTAAGAAGGACTTCTCAGCTTCCATCAGTATTGAATCATTGTCCGTGGCGGGTTCCTGGCCATCAGACAAGTCGTTGTCGTGTGGTGGAGGGTTATCTAGGGGCGTGTCGGCTAACGATTCTCCTTCGAGAATCTCTGAAGGCTCACCCCGCCGATACACATGTTGGTCTTTAGGTTCGCATTCGGTGGTGACAGCCCTGTTTTCCTCCAATAGGTTGGGTGGCAAATTAGGCACATCCTCCGAACTGGTGTTGGCTGTCAAGTCGGTGCCGGTTGCAAAAGACATAGAACCACCATTAGCAGTGGATAGCGGTGCTGTAGATGATCTAGGCGCCTCTGGGTAAACGTCTACTGCCTCATTAGCAAGCGTTCCTGGGTCTGTAGAAGTCGCCATAGTTAGCATTAGAGGCGCAACGCTGTCATGTGGTTGAGGTAGCAGGGCGTAGTAAGAAAGTAAGGGAAAGATGAAAAATATCTTATGGCGAGACGAGGGAGGTGCCTACGGTTTGACCTAACCTTTACAATAAAAGCGTAACGGAGAAGCGTAAAATGTAGCGAAGTAATTTAACGTATATTAACTAGTAAGCACTATCACCGTAACAACACACCGTTTCTAATGCCTTTCATTCGACATCTTCCTACAAGGGCAGGCGTGCCAAACTGCATAGGATCATCAAGTGAAAGGCATGAAATAGGAAGTTCAAACTCCTCCAGTCCTTGACTATTCCACTATATCCCATGGACCGTTTTCGTTGCTACCCTAGGCAGGCTTTCAGCTTAATATACCCATGTAATACACCACAGCCACCGTTTTTGATGCAGGGCTAAGCTGACAGAGCCTGCCTTCTTAGCCGCTGTTCTTGCTGGTGGATATCCCTGCCTGGTCTCTTGCTTTGCTGATCAGATATGCATGGTGAAGGAGGTCGTAGACTGATAGCCCAACTCATCCCCTACCTATACCTCACCCCAACCTCTAACCGGATTAAGCGAAAACCCCGCTTTGTATCGAGCTTTAATATTCTTGATCCGTATGGGGGTTTTAGAAATCTCCTTTTAAATGTATTTCCAACTACCGTACGAAAGTGCACTTAATTGATTCTTCTTCACGATGAAAATTGGCCTTGGAAGCGCGTCTCTGAGTAGTGGAATAAGTTGTGGTAGTAGTAGTGGTGTGGTAGTGGTGGTGTAATTGACTTGGTGGTAGTAGGTAGCAACAGCAATAATGGCGGTAGTGGCGGCTCAAATAATCGAAAAAAAAACCTCAGGCTAACCAGTTAATAGAGTACTACCTGGTTTTCTCAAAAAGAACCAATAGAATCTTCAGAAAGCTGCGACCCGCCTTGGGGTAAGGTATAGGGGACTAGTTGGGCTGGTCTGTATACTCCTTGTGATGGTGTGTAATATTATGCAAGGCTCTCGGATAAATATCAGTCTTCAACCCATAAGCCATACGAGCTGTAGCCTGGGTGCCCAACAAGATTACGAGATGAGTCGTTTAAGCACGACGCACTACACATAGTTACCTCCTCGAAGTTATCCATAGCTGACAGATCCATATTATCGATGTTTATTATCTTGCAAACAACTCTCTCCCTGCTCTCCCCCTGCTGGTCTAAGCAAGTCATACCTGGCCATGATTTAAAGCATCTCACTCAGAATAGGTTAAGCTGCTGCTCCACAGGCCGCCCCTTTACGGGCAAGGCTCCTTGTATAGGTTTATAAATAAACGATTTTTTACGGAAAAAACGGTTTATATATCGTATCAATGGTGCGGTGAGACTAGTCCTTATACGGTTTCGGATAAGTACTTATATAGGTCTCGCACTCATATTATTTTCATCACCCACACTTCAATCTACATCCTACATCAATTACCGCCATGTAGCGCAGATAGTATTACTCTTTCCATCGCCATCCTCGTCGCCGTGCACTTCGTACGAGCCCTGTCCTTGTGACTCTGTCTTCGCCCGTCTTCTCTTAGCCAGCTGTGCTGTTCCTATCCATTCCTCCAACAGCGGGCACACACAGTTCCACCTTAATATGAACCTATACCAAAAGCCTGGTCCGTGAAAGCGTGGCCCGGGGAGGGGTGGTTTAGCTTACTTTACAATATCGACAGTCCCATCGATTCAAAGTGACGATTATCATTTTCTTTGAGGGTGCTCTGCGAAGATCAATGATACCACTCAACTGAGACCATGTCGAACGCACAAAATAAATCCCCTGGCAGGCCGGGACTGCCAGACCCAGCTGCCGAGTTCCTATTGAAAATATGGTCAAGCATGTTCCCTGGCATGGATGATGAGATGGTTTATGATGAATCCACCAGCGAGTTCATCAACACCCAAAAGGCCGAGGCTGAGTAGGTTCTCTTTGTTGCCTCCACCAAAAGCGCGCTGATAGTTAAAGGCTGACTATCCAAGGACTGCTCGGAAAGCCACAGAAGATAAAAGAGCCCGATTCGTTGATATCCTAAACGCCTGGGATGGGGCGAATGACAAATGGCATATGGAGAATACTAATAAGAAGAAGAGCAGCAGAGACAACCTCATCGCCAAAGTACGGGCCGACATATCTGCCAAGCACAGCTGGGACGAGGTCTTCGCGTCGCTAAGCAATGCCGAAGATAGTTATGAGAACCCTAAGGGTATTGGGAAATGGCGGAAATGGGGTCGGAAAGCGGCGGAGAAGTCAGAAGTCGTCAAGCCTTTGGTGGATCTTATACCTGGTGGGGATTACACGTCGGTGATCTGTGGTGGTCTCAAATTTATCCTCGAGGTGCGTCTTTGGATTGATGTTGCTACTCTGCGGGCGAAAAGGTCTTATTACTCGGCGTGAATAGTGGTATTAGCGCAATTCTCTTCGATCTTCGAGGATATTTTCGTCACAGTTCTTTTCTAATGGCCTTTTTTTTGGTTACTGTAGGCATGCTCCGCAGCGAGAAAGTCTCGGGAAGATATCCGCGACCTAATCAACAGCCTCCCCGAAGAGGTTCAGCTTGCCAGCGAGTATGCTGAGCTGTATAGGTTGGAGCCTGCAATTCAGATCGAGACAAATAAATTGTACGCTGCTGTCCTATCGGCAATAGAAGCCACCATGACACACTTGATGAAAGATCACAGACGTAGGAGAGCAGTTTTTCCTGATGTTGTTATCGTCCACGATGCTGATCAATTCCCAAAGTCGAATTCCTCAAGCCGCTGTTCCTGCAGAACGCATACGCCCCCTTAGGTCCAAAAATCGAAGAAGTGAGAGAAGCCTCGAAACGACTCGAGACTGTTTTGCAGTTCTGCGATCGGAAGAGAATGGTGGATATGAACCATGGGGTCGAGGGTATGCGGCGTGACATTGCCACAATCAAGAACCTCTTCTTGAATATGTTACGGGCGCAGACCAAGCATGCGAGTTGTATGTGCTTCACACTCATCCGGGACGCCGATGTTCCTGCTAACTTGAGCAAGGGCTGATGCTGTGGCTTCAATGGATACAAGAAAATGAAAACTGCGAGCAACCTCCCCGTAAAGAATACATCTCCTGGCCAGAACTAGTCCGCCTCTTGCTTCCTCGCCTGTCTGACATAGTTGAAGATGTCTTGCTTGCAGATAAGGTCTCTCAAAACGAGGTGGTGGAACAAGTGCTTAGGGCGGGGTTCTCGATGGATAGAGACAAGCTTGTCCGTGCAGGCTGGCTCATGTCTAACAAGAGGATACACCGCTGGTTCAGATCGCAACATTCGCGTGGCCTCCTGGTTAACGGCAATTCGACCCTCGACCGCATCACCCCAGTTTCCTTCTTCTGCGCTATGCTGGTCAAAGGCATGATGGCGATGGGGCCCATCGTGGTACTCAGCTATTTCTGCGGACTCAACACTCCGGGAGCGGACGGAGAGGGAGGGGGTATATACGGCGGTACGGGCTTATTAAAGGCCTTGATAGCACAACTAGTCACACAGTGCAAGCCCGGTAAACTCACCTGCCTTGGGCGAGAGGAGGCCGAGAAGATCAAGCGAACCGCCCCCGACCCCAGCCTAAGACTTCTACGCAGCGTCTTCCGTAAGCTAATCGTGGCTGCCGAGAAACCAATTTTCATCATAATAGACGGCATCAATTACTACGAAACCAGCGAGCTCGGCAAAGACACCAGGGGGGCAGTGGGGGAGATAACACGCCTTCTCGAGAACGAAGGGAATAGGCCACTGGTCAAGGTGCTCGTCACGAGCGCGAACCGATCGTTTGAAGTGGATGTATGCTTTGACGACAACGAGAAGATCCGGATACCCGACGAGGTCTCCGGCGAGAAGATGGGGTTTGTTGATAGACAGTTCGACTTGGACTTCGGAGAGGATATGTCGCGGCTGCAGCGTGATGCTCGCCATCAAGACTGATGGCATAGGGGGCAGAGGGGGGTGTTCGAGGACTGCTGTCCGGCATGCACCGTAGTCGCGTGCTCGTCTCGGTCTTCTTCTCCCGACAACCCGAGGAAGACCTACGCGGCGTTAGTGTATGTACTATGACGCTGGTTGGTATCCATGGATGCACCCGTACCTACCTAGGTATAATATATGCCAATGCCAATACTGGAGTAACCAGTCACAGATAGCTGCCTGCATCTACCTTATTCGTAGCAAGATCAACACCAAGAGGCTACACCGACGACGACGACGACGACGACGCGATCGAATGCGATAGGAGATCGGGCCAATGGTGACTCTCGCTGTCTGACTGGATTCCCGATGTCGGCCTCAATGATTGGTGATAAAGCTGAGTCGGGCCGTGGGGCTCCGCACGAGAGGGAAGACCCGGACTGGGGATTTTCACCGGCGTCAGGCTAGCCCAGCTATGCAGCGATGTGTGGATGTGCATGCGGATGTAGGTACAGGTACATATGAGTTAGGGCAAAGTTGGCAGCCCTAAGAGCGCACGTGGATTAGGTAGGTACCTACCTCTAATCCCTGGCCAGCCGCTGGGCATTCCATCAGTGGGGTTAGCGCTAGGTATCACCTAGGGGCTACCCCCTGTTTTTCATACAGTGCAGCCTGTATGGTGATTACTGTGCAGGTGCTCGCGCGCGATTCCGGTTCCCAACCAGGTACCACAAGGGAAACAGCTGCCTTACCCCCTATACAGAGCCCCGCTTAGTACATCTCCCTACCTCTTCACCGGGTTGCCAATTGCTCTCGACTTCACCATTGGTGTGGGCCATCACACCGACTGCATCTGTCCCGAAAGAGGTTGTGCGCCAGCTTTGGTCGCGAGATCTCTCTGCTACTTGCTTCTCTTGACGCGCTTCCCGGGGGCGGGGGTTCGTAAAAATGTCCCCACTTCTTCGGACCGGGGCGAGGCTCCCATTTGAGAGAGAGAGGCAACGCCATTGCTACCGTAAAATTCACATCGACGCTTCGCTCCTGTGCGAGGCGTCCCGACTAACGGCATCAACGGCACTAAGGTAGCATACCCGGCCCATGCACGCAATACACAGTTCCTCCCGACTCCTCTACGACGTATCCGTGTGCGCAAAGCTTTTGCCGACGCAAGCCAGTCGGGTTGATAGCGGCCAGCCCTGACCCTCTCTCTTTACGCCTCCGATATCTACACCGTCACGATCGCCCCACGGCGTTGGGATGGCGGGAAGGGGGGTGCGATGGGTCAGGGAGCGGGGATGAAGACGAACCGGGACTCCTCTAGTCCTCGGGACCCTGTTCCGTTCGATACCCAACAGGCTCACGGAGTCAAACGCGGCGTTGGTGCCCTACCCGGTTCTGTTTGTCTTTTTCCTGCTTCGCCTCGACGAATCCGTGGATTGGCCCTCGCGTTCCCACCGCCGGGAATAAGAGCCATGTCATCTCGATGGCCCGCCAAAGGGCTCCCTGTCGTCATGCGACTTGCTTGTCCCGCGTGGACCGTTACCGTCAGCGATGCCCGGTACGACCTCTTCATATACTGCCTAGTAACATTGGAGGCTGATTCCCCACGTCTGTGGCTGCTAGAGGACCCCTACCCAGTTGGTCTTCCTTCAGACGGGTTTACTAATTTCATGACACATTACTGCTATTTCCGGCCCGCCAGTAGCTTTCCTCGGCCCCATCCCCCTCTGTTGTTTACTCGATCCTCACATATATGTGTATATGCTTTTTTACTCTTGTATATTTTCAAGACCGACTTCCCCTGGTGAGTTTAGAACGAAGTCTGGCCGAGCGTAGTCTTCTCTTACTATTCTACCATGTCTGAGTCAAGCGATGCAGAAAGTGGCATTGCGCCGCAGTCATTGCGCGTACCTACAAATGTTTCTTCGCGAAGTCGTAGGCTCGATGGCGCCTTCGGTCATTTTGCGGACCTGGTCCAGACCATCAGCAACCAGGATGCGATAACCAGGTACAAGACGGAAGAGGCAGATAATGGCATCCCGATCGGCGACTTGACAGACACGGGTCAGTTCCGCGATGCTGAAGGGAGGACCATTCTATCGTGGGAGGCCGGTGACAAGGAAAACCCGTACAACTGGCCCCTGGTAAGAACCTGGTTCAACGATTATATTCATTCGACGCTGACTCTATTCGCAGTGGCGGAAGAACGTCATTCTATTGACTACCATGTTGGCCGTCAGCAATAGTACTATGGGTAGTGCTCTGCCGAGTATGGCCATCCCTTTCATCGCAAGAGAATGGGGAATCACGTCGCAGATACAACTTGTCCTCCCGATTTCGGCCTACCTGGTCGGCTACGTCTGCGGTCCTATGATATGTAAGTTGCCGAGTCACCGTTTCCCACGGCCATGATCAGCTAGAGGGACGAGGAAGCTCGAGGAAAGAAGAATCGCTAATGCGTTTTCGCGTTACCGCTAAAGGGGGCCCACTGAGCGAGCACATCGGTCGTCGAAATTTGTCCATAGGAAGCTTTTTCATGTTGACGGTCTGGACCCTAGCCTGCGCCCTTGCTCCGAACTGGCCGGCACTGCTTATATTCCGATTCTTCGCCGGGGCCAGCGGTAGCGCGCCGATCGCCATCGTTACTGGGATATTTGCTGACATTTACGATGATTCGGTTGTCCGTGGCCGAGCCATGGCATGGTTCATGGCTGTAAGCCCCTTCCCGCTCCATTTCTTCTCGACTACCAAAGAATCTATCTATGAGCATTGGTTCATCTAGTGCTAACGTATCCTCTCTCCTCTTCTCCCTCCTCTCTCGGGAAGACGACCGTCTTTGGCCCCCTATTTGCCCCCATAATATCCGGTTTCTGCTCTACAAGCATCGGGTGGCGGTGGTCCTTCTGGGTTGGCCTGATGTCTGCCGGAGCAACGCTGGTGCTAGTGTGTTTCCTGCCCGAAACCTACGCGCCAGTCCTCCTGAGCCGCCGGGCGGCCAAGATCCGAAAGGCGGACCCGACGGTGCAGGTCTACTCCGCCACAGAGCTCGACCCGCATGACTTCAGACAGCTAGTCACTCGAGTGTTAACTAGGCCTATTCGTATGCTTCTGACCGAACTCATCGTGACGGCGACTTGCTTGTATCTCTCGCTCGTTTATGCGATTTTTTACATGTCTTTTCAGGCCTTTCCCATCATATTCCAGAACGTCTACGGATTATCTCCCGGAGTCACGGGTTTATGCTACCTGCCGATCGGGGCTGGCGCACTTCTCTCCCTGCCCGTTTTCTTCTCGTACGACTACGTTCTCCTGAATGCCAAGGCCCGTGGCGCCGAGTGGGCGCAGAAGGAAGAGTTTCGTCGGGTTCCATTGGCTACCCTCGGCGGTCCGCTATTCGTCGTATCGCTATTCTGGCTCGGCTGGTCGGCACGATCAAATGTCCCGTTTGTCGTCCCTATGCTCGCAGGCATACCATTTGGCGCAGGCTTCAGTATGTCTATGCCTTCTTTTCCCCTGTCCCACCTCTTATTTCACCGTTCTGGTGCATATTTTTGACCTTGAGGCCTGTTTTGTTTGAAGGCCGCGCCAGGGCACCTAAGAGAGTCACTCTACGGGCTACTCTTGAAAGACAGGAAAATGCTAATTTGAAGTGATGCAGTGTTGATATTTATGGCACTTCTTAACTACATCACAGATGCTTACGAGATTTTCGCCGCGAGCGCCAATGCTGCGGCCAGCTCTTGCCGTTCCGTATTCGCTGTCATACTCCCGCTCGCGACCAGGTCCATGTTCGCACGGCTCGGCATCAATGGGGCCTGCAGCCTGCTCGGCGGATTGAGTCTAGTTATGTGCGTTATCCCCTTCATCTTCATCTGGAAAGGCGAGGAAATTCGAGCACGATCAAAATTCTGCTTAGCGCTTCGCGAACAAAAGCTCGAGATGGAACAGAGGAACACGAAGCTGAGGAGTAGGAGGATGAGTAAGGCGGGCGATAGAGAGCGTGTGTCGGAGACTAAGGAAAGCGTCTAAACACTTGCTGGGAGCGTTCTGACCAAGGTAAGCTCGCTGTTACGCATCCTATTGCTTGCTTGGGCCAGTCTTGCGATCAGATTACCAATACCCTTGGAGGGTTCGAAAAATGCTCGAAGAGTACACAGCGGTAATGATAATGAATGGCATGAGCAATTAACGTATTAGGTACTATATTAGATATTATGATAGTCGCTCTCAGAACCTTGGCACATTTAACCGTCGTGCTGTGGTGGCCGATGCTTATGCGTGGCAGCCAAGACTCTGCCCGCTCGGCCGGTGAACTGTGCGAGTGAAGACGCTCTGGAATAACGAACTCTTCTACCCGTGAGATCAGGCCCTGCCGTCAGGTTCAACTTCGACGGTTCTGCAAGGGAGTGTCCGTCTACGCCCATTTTCTTTCTCCCCTGAACATCAGGTAATACGGACGCGATGCATAGTCTGACATATTACTTGTACCCAACTTCGATCGGACGGGTTCTAGTCTGATTGGCTTCACTTTCGAGAGCGATCTTAACTTGGCCAGGTAGACACACCTAGCTACACGCTGCTGACGGGCCGAAAACGCGGGCGTTGTTGGGTGGAAGCACAACTCGACAGCTTCTAGCAGAGAGTGATCACGGACGGGAGCCGAACTATCTATTCTCAACAGCTAGCTAGCATTTTTATTCTAGAATATACCCAGCACCCGAAAAGCAAAGACTGTCCACCTCGCACCGAGATACTGAAAATTGTCCGCAAATCGCCGCCAAAGAAAAAAGATGAAGGGAGGAGAAGAAAAGAAGAGTTGTCGCAGCTACTGGAGCGAAGCTGGCCCCTCTCCGTCTGCTTAGGGAGAAGACGAAGGAGGAGGGTCGACAGTGAGCCCGTCGGATTCCGGCGGGCCTTTGTACACTACGCGGTCGCGGCTCGTCAGCTCCCGTCGAACGGCAAGGAGACAAAAAAGAAAATACGCGGGCGTGGCGCATGGCAACCTGGGGGGGAACACTTACCCTTACGGGCGTAGACGGCATACCACAAGGCGCTGAGGGCCATGAAGCCGAAGAAGACGACGATGGCGTAGTTCATGCTGACCTCGGAGACGGGGAGGGCGGTGGGCATGGAGAAGAGGACGACCTCGAAGGCGATCCAGGCGAGGGCGACGAGGTTGATGGCGGGGCCGAGGCGCGGGCCGAGGGACCAGGGGGCGACGTTGACCTCGCGGCGGGCGTGGAGGAGGGAGATGGCGACGGGGATGCCGTAGGAGACGGCGAGGGAAATGACGCCGACGGAGACGAAGGCGAGGAAGGCGGACGACGAGCCGAGGTTGACTAGGCCCAGCACCATCTCGACGAGCGTGACCAGGGCCAGCGCCCACACGGGGGTCCCGTGGCGCGCGTCGACGCGCGACCACAGCCGCGCCAGCGGGATCGCGCCGTCCCGCGCGAACGCCCACGTGCACCGCGACGCCGCCACCGTGATCGAGATGGAGCAGAACAGCGTGATGACCAGCACCAGCACCGTCAGCGCCAGCCCGCCCGCCGGCGTGCCCATCACGCGCCCGAACACGTACGGCAGCGCCTGCCCCACCGGCGCCTCAAGGATCTCCGGCAGCGCCGGCAGCGTCGCGCACAGCGGGATGATCTACTCGCCCGGCGAAGACGCGGGGGCGTCGGGACCGGTTAGAGAAGGAACGTATCGCCGAGGCAAAGGGGGTCGCCGGAGCAGGCGGGGGGGCGGGGCGGACACTTACGAAGAACAGCCCCGCGATGCCGCCGACCGGCACGCAGAGCGAGATTGCGTTGGGCAGCTTCACCGTCGGGTCGCCGCACTCCTCCGCCATCGAGGAGATCATCCCGATCGCGGAGAACCTAGGTCGCGTTAGCCGGCAGTCCACGGCGAAGCGAGGACGCCACGGTGTCGCCTTCCAGAGGGCTTGCGCCGATACCCGTGGTTTATCCAATAAGCGTATCTATCGTCCGCACCGGGGCCACTCCCGAAAAAAAAACTCACGTATATGCTGAAGGCAGGATGCCGATCCAGAACGAAAAGCCGTTCCACCCAGACAGCGAGGTGTCATAGTGTCCCTGGAAAGCGAGTCAGCAAGTCGGTCCCCTTCTCCTTTCCCCACTACCCCTTTCTCTCCCGACCCGTGTCGAGACATCGGCAATCGGCCACCCGTCACGGAGGCCGGGACATCGCCGGCATATTCGGGCTTACCAGGGTGTAGCCGGGGTCGTGCCTGCCGGCGGCGGCCTTGACGGAGAGACAGACGCAGACGACGACGATGCTGATAGCGGTGAAGGCGGCGCAGGCGGTGTCGACGAGGGGGAGGATGCGGTTGCCGAAGGCGGCGAGGAAGAAGGTGAGGAGGCAGATGGCGTAGAAGACGAGGAGGAGCTGCCAGGGGGCGAGGTCGGCGGCGAAGTCGGGGGCGTAGAGGGCGGCGGCGGCGGCGGCCATGGAGGCGAAGCCGAAGTTGACGGACAGCGTGATGGTCCAGTTGCCGACGAGCCAGGTCCAGCCGGTGACGAAGGAGAGCAGCGCGCGGAAGCGCGGCCCGGCCAGCTGGAACGACCAGTAGTACGGCCCCGCCGACGTCGGGTACCGCGACGCGAGCTCCGACAGCGACAGCGCGATGCACTCCGCCAGCACGAGCACCACGATCCAGCCCAGGAACATGGGCAGCTGGCCTGCGAAGGGGGCGCGCGGGCGCGCGGCCGTCAGCCGGGGAAACAAACTCGTAAGCGGTCGTAACCGCGCCCGCGTCCGGGGAGCGGGCGGTCCGGGAAAACTCACCTCCTCCGTAAATGGCGCTGATCAGCGGGCCACCGAAGCCGTACGGTATCTAGCCACCACCACACACACACGAGCGTGTAAATATCGGATCAGACGAGTCGGATGGTCGAACTGTTCTTGATGGCAGGGGGGGGGGGGGAGATGATGATGACGGCCCGGTCGAGTGGACTTACGGCGGCGATCGCCAGAGACTGGAACAGCAGGGTGAACATGGAGCGGTTGCGCTGCAGCTCGGGCTTGTAGCCGAGCAGGGTGAGGTCGTGCACGTCGTGGACGGTGCCGAGTTGGGTCTGCCCTTGCTCGAAGTCCACGGCCGCGGCCGGGCCCGGCGAGGGCTTCTTCTCCTTGACGGAGCTCATGGCGGAGCCGAGCTGTCTCTGCTCTCCGTCCTCCTTCGTTTCCTTCGTCTTCTTCCCGCTCACACGGCGCGCGAGAATCGTCCGGGCTAGGTGACGGCTAGGTCGTAGGGAGGCGCGCCAATGAGGATTAGTGATCTCTAATACCGAGGAGAGAGGGGGGGAGGAAGAAAAGCAATTCTCCTCCGCGGATAGGGGAGGGGAGGTGAACCCAGTGGCTTATTAGAGCACATCCCTCAGTTCACAGAACAAGCCACCAAGGGATACGATGCTCTTATCGTGTTATTGTCATTCGACGGCGTGTGCTCCCATCCTTATCGCAGAAGGGCAATTCAGAACAGCGGCTGAGCTATCTGTAGGTATGTCTTGCCGTCCTTATCGCGAGGAGGCCGCGGCGGTTCGGGAAGTTGGACGATACGCATTATCTCCAAGGGGTCAGAGATAAGCATCACCTTGTACGTACGCGAATCTACAAACGTGGATGCGAGATAATAATAATGGCGACGATAATGACGGCTTCAACAGAGGGGATAACACCGCGAACTTGGTTTTTGTCGAGGCGAGAGAGCAGCGGAAAACACAGGCTATTCACACCTACGTCTGAGACACTTACACTTGCACTTGCACTTGCACTTACACTTACACACACACACACACACACACATGCCAGCCACACTATCTATCCAGGTCTCCGAACGCGTGGAGCATCGATATCGCCGCGCTTCTCTGTCCCTCGGCTAGCCGAGGCCACGAGAGGGGGATCTGGGGAATACCGAGAGATCGGCGTGTCTTGCGTGGCCGTATCACAGCTGCCGTACTAAGCTCGCGAACTAAGCGCTCTGGCTTGGTCTGGAATGGGAGATAAGAGACCAGGGGGGGGGAGATAGAAGACGCGTTGATGGCTGACCGCCAGAGGGCGCCATCGCTCCCCCGACCCCTTCGATAAGAACGTGGAGCTCGTCCAGATAGCTGCGACAAGAAGAATTGGTAAGAAATTTACCCCGCGCCGCCTCGATCGTCGTGCTAATAATACCGCCAATCAGGGAACTTGTGTTTCGTTTCCTCGTCTCCCTCGGCATCGTCAAGATCGCGGTATCAAAGCCTGCCGCCGAGTAGCTGGCATAGGCAATATAGGTATACCTACAGCAGGTACGTAGGTATCGCTTCGGAAACCCAATATCCAGTGTTGCAGCGCATCGGCGCTTTGGCTCGAGAGATAGGCCCCCCCCCCAAATCACAGTAATATCGTCGTGTCTATTAAGCAACGGAGCGGGAGACGGCTAACACGATGAAACATCACATGGATGGAGATCCAAGCGTGGTGCTAACGTATCATCACCAGACAGAAATCGCCCGAGGTATTTTCATCCTGCGATTAGACGCGATAACAGCACCTATTTCAAACATACTCGCACAACAAGGAAGACGTCATCTTTCCGGACGAGCACACGATATCCACCAGACGTCAAGAGTGCGGATGATAGCTTTCAGACTTCCACCGTGTCAAACGTCGGGCAGAGTCTTCTGGTGCTCGAGCACAGCAGGGTGCGCCACCACTCCAGGGTCGATAGCGTCGAAGTTCAGATCGACGCCGCTGTCGATATCCGGGTAGGGACCCAGCGGCGTGATGGCGAGCGGGTTGATGTCGCTGTGGCTCTTGGTGTACTGTGCAGACAAGCGCCGTTGTGGTCAGCAAATCTCCAGGTGTCAACCGTCGGGCGTGTTCAAGCAGGGGAGGGTGGAGTGCAGCCGTAAATAGTGGTCCGCTTACGTTCTCTTTGATGTGTTTGAAGTTGGTCGTCTCGCGGAAGCCGGCGACGTTCCAGTACAGGTTCTTCAGCCATTCGAGGATGACGGGGTAGTTGCCGCGGATGGTGCCCAGGTTGAGCTTGAAGTGCTGCACGTAGACGACGTCGAACCGGATGACCGTCGTGTAGGCCAGCACGTCGAGCTCGGTGAGCTCCTTGCCGAGCACGTACGGTCCGCCGTGCTTGCGGATCAGCTGCTCGAGCTGGTTGAGCGCCGCGAAGACCGGTATCACGTTCTTATCGTACGTGGCTTGGTCCCTCGCGAATCCCGCCCTGTACACGCCGAGGTTGAGGTCGCGCGTCACCCACGCCGCGACCTCGTCGATCTTCGCCCGAAGGTGCTCCGGGTACAGGGTCAGGCTCCGCTGCGGGCTTCCCTGCGGCAGGATCTCGTCGAACCCCGTCTGGAACCATCGCAGCATCTCGATGCTCTCGTTATTCACCGCCGTCCCTTCCTTGGTGTCCCAAAGCAAGGGGACGCTGTATTTACCCTTGTAGTCCTTATCGGCCCGGAAGTAGACCTCGCGGAGGTACTTGGAGCCGAAGAGCTTGTCCGGCGTCGACCCCTCGTACGTGTCGTCGGGCCCGTTGGCTCCGGGAAAGGACCAGCCGGTTTCTCCCTTGGGATAGGCCTTTACTACCGAAATGTCGATGGCCGAATCCAGGCCCTTGAGTACGCGTACCAGGTTAACGCGGTGCGCAAAGGGGCAGAAATAGCCGATGTACAGATGATATCGACCGGACTCGGGAGCAAAGCGCGATGCCGGGGCCACGACACCGTGCCAGCCATCCTCGGGACCGGCGTGTACCAGCTTATTGGGCTCGGACGTCATGACGACGGCGCTACCGTGTATTATTTTTGAGGTCTGTTGTCGATACCCTACGAACCCTGGTCTAGAGTTGACAATTCATCAGTTACAGAGAAACTGGAATCTGTGCGAGTTGTAGAACAAGCTGCCCTCGACTCTTTATAGCAACAGCTGCGGGCTCCGCATATCGTAAGACGCCGGCGAATCAGAGCAGCTAGTTTTCTAGCGTCATATCTCGTATATTTTGCGCATTACTCAGCACTGCCATCTTGACCTCGAGAGGGCGGATTACGGAGTGACAAGACTACTCCGTTACTCTATCCCCGTCGGCTGGTTCTCAATCGGATTATGGCACCGTCCAAATCGTAGTTAGATAGCGTCAACCGTCGATTTAGCTTCGTAGAGCCATCGGGATCGATGCTAGGCGAACCCAGAGTATTGATTGTCGCCGAGGTCGGGCTAGTTGCACGCGGGACCTCGGCGATCAAGTGCGGGCCACCCCTCCACGAACCGGCTTTTTATAAAGGTACCTAGGGTTACATACAAAAACCTTCACATTGGTTCAACAGCGGAGTCCCTGGCCTGGAAATTTTAACCACGCCTACAATGCAGCCCAGCCTGTAACCACGGTATCGATCCGCCTTGCCCCATCCCAGTATTAGAAAAGATTGGAACTCGCCGACGTTCTTAGGTGGTGTTTGGAGCTTCCGGCATGCTAGCGATTATCGCCTAGCTATACGGCTCCGTAGTAGGCGCCTACATTTGAGCGAATCTGTCCGATGTGAACCCAGCGCGCATCACCCACGTCCTCCTCGCCCTCTCCCTACCCTTCACTCTCCTCGGAACCGGCGGGCTCGCCAGACCAAATTACCACCACGGGAGCGATCCGGATATTGGGGGTAGCCGGAGCTACGACTCTAGTGATGGCAGCAACTGCTGCAGAGCTGAGTGCCTCGGCGGGCCCCATCGCCATGATGCCTTTGACCAGCATAGGGCAGAAGAAAGCTGGGGTGATGCGGTCGAGGGTTGAATTGCCGTTGACTAAGAGGCTATGCGAATTACATATCATAGAATAGACAAGACTCGATTGAAAAAGCTGGATTCTCCCAGGTTATGACCACGTATCCTTTCTAACTAAGTAGCTTAGACATCCCTGACTAAGGCGCGACACGAATGTTGCGATCTAAACCAGCAGTGTATTCCTTTAAGACAGCATGATATAGAATAGCAGACGGGGCAGTGTCCAATATACTCGGAGGAGCGGTCTTTACTCCTCCCTCCAGCATCTTTATTCTCCTGGTCCCGTCCACACACAGCAAAAAGTATTTCGTCCCGGGAATTTCGTGTTGAGATTGCCTCGCCCACTTTGAAATCAGCTAGAAAGTCGTGGGGCTTCTCTGATCTACCATCGCGATTGTTGCGACACGGACAAACGTCGAGTCGTCGCCCAACATGTAATGTGCTGAACAGGTGCTCTTGGCACCAGTTATATAATGATGATAAAAAAGAGCCCTGTGGCTCAGGGGCCCTCAGGGAAGAGAATATATCGAGAGCTAGGTCGCGACATTTTCTGTTCCATTAAGGATTTAGTTGTAAAATCTGGCTCGCTAGTCGTCCCGCCTCTCTCTCAAGCAGATCATTAGATGCAGCCTTCAAATGCAGTAGTCTAGCCTAGGGCAGCCGATAGAGGTATCGCTGTCATCGGCCTCTCCTTTCCTTTCATGACGGAGCAGAGCGATCCGTGCCGCTTTTCTCCTTATTTCGAGTATTAATGGGAGAAAACACGTGAAGATTATAGAGCGACTAGAGCCTGCTATTGTCAGCAGGTCAGTATCGGATCATTTTCCCCATTTGTCACGTAGAGGGCCACGACAAGACTCTAAACTGGTCGGATAACCATTGGATGACTGCAACCTATTGGCTCACAACGCCGACCACGTAGCTCGAAGGGGTACTCACAGAGGAACGCAGAAATGCCCTCGTGAGCAACGAAGGCACCGGTTGGCCGAATAGAGCGACTGGAAGCATTCGCCAGTCGAGCGGTGCCAGGCTGCACTGCTCGTGCATCTGTAGCACAGCACATCGTTGCGAGGCCCACTCTCCTCCGGGATGGGCGGAAAGGGCTCACCATCAGCGCCACCGGCGTTGGAGGCTCTCTCGCCAGTCGCAGAAAAGGGCTCTGCCGCACCCTGAGAGCTCGATCGCTTGGGTTCTCTCATTGGATCACGGGCGGATATATGGAGCCTATTAGCTCTTAAAAGGATGTCCCAAATAGGAGGGAACAGGACACAGAGTCAACTATGAAGACGGTACAGCCCGTGTACCAGTCTTGGTTGTCCGCAGTATGAAAGACGAAGGTTAGGCGGATGGATTGGGTGACGAGGGGTCCGTCGCCAACTCCGCTGAGTGACGAGGGTTCTGGAAGGTCCGGGATCTTCGCGCGAGGATAGTGCTTGGCCAAGATAGGACGGCTTATGAGTGCGATGGGGGAGCAAGTGTTGGGTGTAGTTGTTGGAAATAACGAAAAAAAGGTAGCGAACCTGATTCCGTTGTTGGCGGTGTGGGAGTGGAAGCGGGAGCGGGAGTGGGAATGGGTGGGAAAGTCGGAAGAGAGTAAAGGTAGGGAATTGGTAGTTTTATGTTGAATCATAAGACGGAAATCTGATTTGTGTGTATGAATAATCAGGATTAGTTATGCGTAGGAAAGGAGGTAGGTGATGATGACACACTGGGGGTTGGGTGTCTGTGTAAACAGCAGAACAACCATCCCGCAAGGAATTCCGCGTACATGCCCACCTAAGGGTGGTACGTATTTACATGATAACAGCTAAGCATGCCTCTATCTCTTCTAGGAGGCTACCTACCTCTTGCCTGTAGAAATACCTAGAGTAGAAAGCGCAGCACCCTCAGGCCTGGGTATTACCTTCACCCGGGAGTTACCACTAGACTTCGTACGTTAAGAGAGAAACAGCATTATGTACAATATTTAAAGCACTATATTCACCTACAGGGAGCCTCCGTGACGCCTAATTCGGACCAGGACCCCTACCCCCTTTTTTGCCTCCTCTTACCAGGCTGGTATTCTTGCCTCCCCCGGTGGGCAGCGAATAAGCTATACTTGCTTTAAATAATACAGGCATAGGTCTTCAGGATTTGCAATGTCAAGCAGGCCCATGGAGGTGCTTAAATTGCTTCGACGGTATCGTAGTAACGTCCCTCTAGAGAGCGTCCTGGTTAGGTGTTTACTGTAGATAGCAACATTGATGAATATTATACACTGATATGATACGTAGCAGTGGTTCCTCCTTGAATATAGGTAGGTGAGTAGGCTATGAAAGCAGGGCTGCTCTCGTCTACGTACATGACACGACGCCGGAAATATGAAAATATACGCATAAAAATTATCTTGTGAGTTGAGAGAAAAATGCCTTAAGGTCACAGCCAAGGCACAGCCAAGGCACCTCTACTTATTATCGAACAGGGCGGGATAAGTGCCTACTCGTTTGGTAGGTGTTAATACCGTAATATATTTTACTGCACGGTATACTCTTACTTCTCCTCAGGGAAGGCGCGTGTTCAGAGCACAGGCGAGCCTCTTTCCTTTTAAATTGTTAGTGGAATGAGCAGGCAGCCAGCCATCTGTTTACTTCACTGCCTCATACCACGTCCTGGTATCAATATAGGTATGTGAGAGTAGTACACCAGCAGAGTACCCTCTGCTATCCTCTATTTACCTAATACCTAAGATTAGTTCATCGCGCTTTCCGTGACGTCTGCCCTGATATCTGTTGCGATCGTTGCCTAGGGAATACCCAAGGGAGGCATGTTGTGCTAGCACATGCCTCGTTACTCCTCCTACGCGCCGGCGAGGTCTTGTGTGTATCAGCTCGCTTCTGTTACACTTTCCAAGAGAAGCTATGCATTTTGTCACAACAAGGCGACTTACCTCCCATCTCTTTTTACCTCTGCTTTGGCGCTCGTCACTCACTCGCTGAGCCACTCCCGACCTCTGTCACTCAAGGCATCCTTGGGACCTCAACACGAACAAAAGGCCGTGAATCACACCCTGTCTGTATTTGTTCCCATCCCCTACAGGTAGTGCTTGTGACTACCTGCTTGTCCCTTACGCCGCTGTGATCGTTCATTCAAGCTGACACCCATGCATCACAGTGTCTACTCCTCCCCTCGTCTCTTTTGGCCCACACCGTCCAACGTCTATCACTCTCACCTGGGCACGGAAACGACGCGTAAAGATGCTGTTGTCCAAAGTTTTGCTGACTCTCCTCTTCTACCTGGGTTGTTGCACCTTCGCCGCAGCCAATAATGTCTTTACTTTTGAACCAGCAGAAACCCCTTCTGATGATGTTGCCTCACCCGTGGATCCCTCATTTGCGGGTTTCGGTATCGAAACCTCGAACCTCTTTTCCTTCACGGGCGCGGAGCATCCAAATAACCTCACCTTGAACCTCCTTAACAATTTGGCCAACTATACAGGAAACCCTCCCCATATTCGAATCGGCGGAAACACCCAGGACTACATGCTCTTCCATGAGGACCAGGACGCGTGGGCATGGACACAGAATGCCCCAGGATCTGCAGTGGACAGCCATTCTCGGGCCAGCAGCATGTTGATCGGTCCGCGTTTCTTGGAGACTGCCAACCGTCTGCCTAAGGGCACCCCGGTGACCTGGGGCCTGAACATGGCGTACGAACTTTCCGACTTCAATGATCAAGTCGCTTTGGTGGCAAGCAAGGTCCTGTCTTCTTGCCCTAACCTGAACATTACTTCGTTCGAGATCGGAAATGAGCCCGACCTTTACTACAAGTACGGCCTTCGCACCGGTGAGTGGGGCGGCAAAGTCTACACGGAGCAGTGGATTGATCGGGCCACCACCATCTGGGAGCGAGTCCTCCAGCCGATGGGATATCCAAGCAATTTCTTCGAGGCAGGTTCAACCGCGTCCACCATCGGCACCGACTTCGAGATCAAGGATCTCGTGAGCTTCAACATCAGCCAGAACGCCAGCCAAGGGTCGTCGAAACCGTATCTTAGCAGTTGGAACCAGCACGACTACTACTATTACATCGGCGTAACTGACACGCCCCTGACCCTGGAGATACTCATGCAGTGGCAGACAACCGAGGACCAGCTCACCGCCTGGCTGGATCAGGTGAGCCAGGCCGCCCAGACGCCGTACCCGTATCAGCTGCGCGAAATGGGCATCGTGGGCCCCATCGGGCTCGAGAACGTGACGGACACCTTCGGCGCCGCGCTATGGACCCTCAACTTCCTCCTGTACAGCGCCAGCAACGGCATCGCCTCGGTGGGCCTCCACATGACGGACAACTCGGCGGCGAGCGCGTGGCAGCCGATCGCGATGGGCGGGCAGCCGCCGCACGTCCGCCCCGTCTACTACGGCATCGCCGCGTTTGACCAGGTCATCGGCCGCTCGCGCGCGGCGCAGGTCGCGCGGCTCGACAGCAGCTCGGACCTGTCGGCCGACTACCGCGACTCGCTGCGCGCCTACTCGGTGTACCAGGCGGGCGAGCTCGCGACCGTCGTCGTCGTCAACGGCAGAATGTTCAATGTTTCGTTCGCGACTCCCGCGCCTCGCGACAAGCCCTCGGTGCAACTCAAGCTGCCCGCCAAGTTCGCCGGCAGAAATGTCTACCTGTCCTACCTGACCGGCCCCGGCGCCGACGCCAAGAACGGCACGACTTGGAGCGGCACCAGCTTCGACCGCACCGGCGACGGCAAGCCGACCCAAGTCTCCAACGGCACGGAGACCGCGGTGGTAGACAAGAGCGGCATCGTCAAATTCCGGATCCGTGACTCAGAGGCGGTCGTTGCGAGTATTGGGGGAATAGCTAGCAGCACAGGAGCACCCGAGTCTACTTCGTCTTCGCTCCCGGCCACGGCTAGTCCTACTAGTAGCAGTAGTACTACTCCTGCTGCTGCGTCCGCCGCGGTAGTTAGTTCCGGGACGCCGTCCCCCGATTCGTCTGCCAGTACTCTCCGGATTAGTTCCGCGTTAACCTCAGGACTCACGATGTTGTATATTGTCATGACGGCATTCTAGTGATGTGTCGTATCCGCTAGACTGTGGAAGGATGTGGCAGTATAGGGCGGAGATAGCAGGCATCCAAGGCATAGAGGCGCGAGGAGCAGCACCGGCCTGACCAAGCCTCCGTCCGCCCTCGTGACGGGATAGAACCGGCCTATAGGACACACTGGAATATTAGAAAGCTCTTAATACTGGCTACATAGTTCAGCCGGTTATTCAATTGAACAGGAAGTATTTCGATTAACCCCCGTTTATGAACTATTTAGCTGTTGCTTGACGCCTCCCCCGTCCCTACCGCCGCCTTCCTAGGCACGCCGAGTTATACCAAGATACCACCCATTGAGGTCGATCCAAAGCCAAATTGAATCCGTAACCGGGATGCTGAATGCACTCACGCCTCCTTTGTGCCCTCATACACGCGTAGCCGCGGAGAATAATACATCCATCGTAACATGCCCCCACCCCTTAACCCAGGGTCTCTCGTTCCAAAAACTTACCCCTATCCGATGCACTCGCCTATCCGGAACTCCCACTACCACTACTACCACGAAATGTCAATATGCGTGCCCACCCACCGTCGTCGGGACATTAACAACGCCCGAGGTCTGCCGCGGGCTTGACCCCCTGCTCGCTCCCCCTTTACCTCGCTCGCTCTCTCGCCCCAGCAGGGCCAGTCTAGCCTGGACCAGCTTGTCTTCTGTAAGAGGTGGTGAGTAAAAAAAATATGGGAATAAAACAGAGCAGGACAGGACAGCAGAAGGAAGGATATCAAGCTATCCAATCCGACTTGTAAACTCGCCGTAAGTACGTCTTGTCTGTCCCCTCGGCCAGACGACTCGGTAGGTATCCCATCTATTGCGTATTCCCCACGCATGCGGATCCTCCTAGAGGATTGCTTTCGAGGCTCAAAACTCGTCAAATTTGCCGAGGTCCTGCTCCTTTACCATCACCTACCTACTTCAGGACACGGGATCTCCCCCCTGCTCCGGTTGAAGACGGCATAAAACAGTTGGGGAGTATACCTACGTTCTACTATCACCATCACGTCAACCGAGATTGCCGTTGCTCTCTTTCTTGAACCGAGTCACTCTTGAGAGAGAGAGACACCTATCTGAGGCGGTTTAGCCTGCTAACTCGTTCGCTCGCTCTCCCAGGGCCTCCTCCCCGAAGGCGACCAGGCCGACCGGCTAACTACCAGTTAGGTTCGAAAGTTAACTAGATCCGATCCAATCCGTTCGTCTCTATCTTTCTGCCTCTCTCTACCCGCAAACGCACATCCGTTATCTAGCTTAGAGGGACGTGGAATCTTAGCTGTAAAATCATGTCATCGTATTCATCGCCTGCACGCCTCTATATACCGTGACCCACGCACCTCACACGGACACACGATCAACCTTGGAATTCTTGCACGTTGCTCTCCTCCCACCGACCGGGGACGAGGGCAAGAGGGACGATGCCAGAGACGTGCATCTCAGGGCCGAAGATCTTAGCGTTGAGACCTAGCTCTTGTGTAGCAGCCTTCATGTTCTTCAGGCCCTCCTGGTAATTGGGGCCCGCACGACGCACCCAGATCTGAACGTTGTGCTCGTTCAGCGGCTTGGCATACTCGCGGAGCGCCCGGATGACGCCCTTGAAAGTAGAAGCCACGTTGGTGAAGTTGGCGATACCTCCACCGATGAACAGAACCTTGCCCTTGGGGTCCAAGGGCGCGCGCAGCATTAGATCTAATACCGTTCGGGCGTAATAATAGGTCTGAGATTCAGTTGGGGCACCCGAGTACTCGCCGTAGTTTGCCAAGTCGTCGGCGAACCCAGCCGATGCGATGGCATCGGCATAGACAACAGAGGCACCACCACCGGCGACCAAGGTCCAGATTCGGCCGTTCGCATTCAGTACGGTGAGTTTTAGAGAAGCACCCGTCTTCGCGTCTAGTTCTGCGATGTACGCCTCCTCCTTAGAAAGCTCACGACCGAAAGGCGCGGGGAACTCCATAGGCGGGCCAGCATCAACGCTGACCTTGTCACCGGCGCTGGAGACGGCAGTGATACCCAAATTAGCCGGCGATCGAGCGATGGCCCACTTCACACCGCACTCGAAGTCGGCAGTTTGGTCAAGCTTAGCAGCAAGATCGAGGAAGTGGACCTCGGCCGATGTCGCGTCCGCATTGGGGATGACAACCAAGGGGTTGATCTCGAGGTAGGTGAATTGGGAGTCGACGTATACCGCGTACAAGCGGGTGATAAAGTCGACCAGGACGTTGTGGACGCCCTTGGGAACCTTCTTCAACAGCGTGCTGGCAATCTCTTCATTGGAAGGGTACTGGGAGAGATCGACAGGGATGAGGAGTTTCTCAGCCTTAGCGTCTACATCGCCAACATCAACACCACCTTCGTGGGTAAAGAGAATCCAATCTCCCTATAATTTCCAGGTTAGCATTCGGAGATTAATTGGTGGCCGACAAGAAACAGGCACGAAAACACTGAAACCAGAGACCGGTGCGAATAACGGTATCCGTATCAGTGTGACAAGGAGGGGAGGCAGGCGGGGGGATGGAAGTGGATGCAACGACGTGTGCATGTGGTTTAGCCTCCGTTCGCCCGTAGGCGCCGGATCAGTCCAGAGCGGCCGAATTAAAATAAGAACGCCGCAATGCCACTCGGGACACGCATTCTCTTGGATTTCCCATGAAAGCCTTGCGCTCTCTCTCTTTTGAACACAATTCCTGCCTGGTTTCATCGAATCCAATATCCCTTTTTTTTTCGTACTCGCTCTTCTCCTCTACAACGCTCTCTCACACTCTGTCCCCTTTTCTTCGCCCAGCTGCAGTGATGCATTTATGCCCAGCGTCGGGGGAGAAGACGGGCAAGCAACAAGCTGGACTCAAAAAAAGGAAACCGTTGCACTTACATCTCGAACTGAGTTGATGTTGATGTAGTACTCAGTGCCATCTGGATGAGGTACAAAGGGCTCTACGAGGAACTGGCGCAGAATGCCTTCGGTGTGCTCGACCTTCTGGACCTTGCCGGCACGCTGGGCAATCCAGGCCTTGGCCTCGGGCCAGGTCTTATTCAGAGCCAGGAGGCCGCTCTTCCCTCGTCTCTTGATGAGCTGGTCGGGCTTTGCGACAAACTTGGCGTCGGCGTGGAGTAGCCAAGGGTAGGTGATCTCGGCCTGGTCCAGCACCGCGTTAACATCGGCGTCCTCCGGGAAGTAGAGCGAGGCTAGTCGCGGCGGCGGGTTGTGTGTGGTAGGCCTAGGGAGAGGACTCGGCTTGATGACGGGAGCACGAGTGAGGTGGTAGTTGAGGATGGCCTTCCCGTCGGCCTCGAGGATGGACTTTGCGGACATTGCGGTGCGAGGATGGGACCTATGCCTGAAAGGTACGTGTGCTCAATTCCGCTCGACTCGGTTGTACTTGATGAGCTTTCCTATCGGGTGACCGAAGTTAGCAGCTGCCTCCGTGGGGATCAAGATGGCCCCGTCTCATTCCAAGTGGAATTACAAAATCTAACGACCTAGGACAGAAAGGCCAGGCGCCCGAGCCCAGAGGAATTACGTCCCCCAGCTGCGAAGCAAAGGAAGAGACGTGCAGTACACGTATTCTTCGAGCCCGGCTGCCAGCAGCAGCGCGGACAGCACGCGGATGGCGGGTGATGGGGGTGAGCAGGAGAACCTCCGCCCTTATTTCTCCTCTTTTTATTTTTCGCTTCCTTCTTCTTACCTTGTCGCCGTCAGGATCTTGCAAGCGCGAGAAGCCCAAGTGGTCGAAACTGCGCAGAAAGTTGGCCTCGAGGTGAGAGAGAGAGTGGAATGACGAGGCAACAAAAGTGGTGTTGTTAACAGCAACGGCGAGGATGGGAAAGATGAGTCTGTCTAGTCGACTTCGAAAATCCGGAGAGGTGCGAAGTTTCCCCCACCAAGGTAATTCCAGGTCCAGCGGCTCCTCTTTTTTCTCTCTCCCACGCCCTGGCCTGCTCGGACCCTCCCTCCTTCCACCTCTTCTCTCGACCGAAAAGGAGAGCACGAGTACAAATGGGTACCTGGCGGGACTTGACTGGACTTGGACGCATCTCTACCTCCAAGCTGCCTTCCCGAGTTCCCTTTTAGCGTGGAGCTGCATGTACCCATCCGCGGTGTCCCGATGTATGGTGTACCTGTGTCGGGCCGCACATGTCCAGCGGCAGGACACCGCTGCGCACAGCCATCCATATTTCCCGACAAGTACCTCGATACGCGGCTCGGTACCTGGGCAGGTACTTTGGGTACCCAACTAATGGAGCTGGAGCTCAGGCAGGTACCCACCTACTGCCACCTGGTGGGTGTTGAGTGGGTACCTGGCGGTTTGGAGGGGCACTAGAGGGAAAGCGGCATACGGGGAACGCTTACCACGCCAAAACCTTTGGGGTGATCCAGTGGGAAACATCGAAACCCCAGCCAGCAAGCGGTCGGATGGCCATTGTACAGACGAAGTACCCCTCAACATCCCCGATCAGCAGGACCACACCACGGCCGGTACCCGGCCTGCCTCTCGATAGTTATTTCGCATTTAGGTCCGTCGACCGATAAGAGAGGGGCCGGTCCTATAACGACCTACCCGTCTCGGTGACCTTACGGCCTTGTCATCGTCTGTATACCTAAGCGGGAGGCATTTATCTTCGTATCCCAGGTGCCGAATGCTGGAAGCGGGCTGCGACATTTCCAGTCCACGGCTTACGCTACACGGTACACCTCCCCGCTACACAGTAATAATGCCTCCTCGATACCCTCGATGCCCTCAGCTTACTGGGGCCGCGGTAGTCACCAGTCTCCCGAATACCACCCCTACTGCCCGTTGTGGTCGCCATCGACTCGTTTTGGCCCGGCCCGGACATGCTCCCAACCCGCCCCTGGCTGCTTACCCGGGGGAGTTCGCGTGTGGCTTTGCCGTCTAAGACCTGATGCCAAGGCTCCATTGGCCAGCTCTGGGTTGGGAACACCCAATCCTTCCCGGATCCCATGTGCGCTGCTTATCAGGACTTGGCGCGAGGGGACGGAGTAATTGACGATGCGAGGAAGCGCGCGCCGACTTCCTGCGCCGGCGATGGAGATAATGCACGAGGCGAGAACCCTCGCGGCTGACGACGTTCCGGAGGTGGATCTTGGGGACCATCCGGGCCAAAAAAAACCATCGATATGCGTTGACGACGGTGGTGCTCTACATGCTTTTCCGATCGCAGGGGGCGCAGGGTAGATTCCGGTCGCGAAGACGGCATGTCGACAGCCTCGGTTGCCCTCCGGGCCTGTTATTGTCGCATGATTATTTCGATAGCGCTCGGCGACTATTTGTCTGTCGGCGGACACATTCCCCCTTGCCGCGGCACCAACCTCGAATTATCCGCGTATCACGCCATCTAATCTGTATACGACCCCCTGCTGATCTGGGGACGGGCAGGACAAAGTCGACTTAGACAGATTACTCATGCGCTAGAGCCCATGAGGTAAGACGCGATGGATCGATGGTAGGCGGTGAGGTACCGATACATGGCTTTGGACAATCCCGCGGTCGGAGCATAGACCGGAGCACAACTTGGACCGGCTGGAAGAGGGAGCGCAGGGATATATGGCAAGCAGTTGTTCAGACTTGTCGCTGCAATGGTCTTGTTGGTGGGGTGAGACCCGTCAAGGATGTACCGGATTGGTACATAGGGCCTTCCAGCTCCGACCCGGAATGCTCCCCAAAGGTCGCCCAGACGAGCGGAAGCCAAAAGTACACCACAATTGGACGGTGAGAAAACATCGACGAAGAAAGGGGGGGGGGGGGCCTGGATTCAACGCCTCAAGAAAATTTACCCCAACTAATCCGACTATGGGGGGCCGTTTTGCCGGACAATCTCGTCGCCAATTTTCGAGTTACATGGATTTCGGCGTTGGCAAACGGCCTGGAATTCCTAAGGTGCCTTGCCAGTGTGTGGAATCCTTCCACTCGTACCCGTGCGAAGGCTCGGGGTTAAGGTCCCTTTCCTACATGACCGAGTTCCCAGGTAGGTATCTCGGGAATTGTTAGAACAGGTATAGCGGACGATATCCAGGTACCCGAGTCATCGTCTGGAGGAGGAGGTGAGTTGAGTACACGTACACACCTCCGCACTACCGCTGCGTAGTACAGGATCCACCACCGAAGGTCCTCCGTAAGCGCCTCCTAGGTTAGGTGCTTTAGGCTACCTCTCTAGCTACCGGTTTCCTCCCCAAGGCAGTAAGTATGGGCGCCTGTGCAGAGGGTATGTACCTACAGGTATACATACCTGCGTTATGAGTCTAAATCTATAAAGCACCTACACATCCTGCATCTGTAGGTACCTCCTCCTAAGCTACGTTGACCCGGTACCCAAGACACCCAGGGGTTATTGGTGAGGTACCCAGGTACCACATGTACCTAGTTGTACCTGCTTGGTGAGTTGTGGTGGGGCGCTCCGTCAATCAGGCTTCAAGCTGCCGTCCGCTCTTCTTTCGAAAATGCCCATCCAAGCTCACCAACCCCGAAAAAAAATCCCACCTTCTTCCCAATACACACCCGGCTCTGGGCTCGTCGTAACGAAGGCTTATCTGCTCTCCTCTCTCTCTTCTACGGTAAATTTGGTGGCTGCTCTCCCGTATCTTGCCATTCTTTTCCTCTTCTCTGCCTCACAAGGTTCGGTGCTGGCCGTCATTCACCAATTTAGAGGTATGTTGGATTCGAAGCCCCTCTCTCCTTTTGATCCCCGCCATTCGTGTGGTTTTCGCTCGACTCGAGAGCACAGTCCGTGTTGGCCATTTCGGTCCTGCACCGCTTGCCTCAAGCCCAGTCTACGCCTGTTGAGCTCCTCTCGTGAAACGACCCCTTTGAAGGCTTCCTAAACACCAATTCAAGCAGGGGCAGGAGCAGGTGCCCTCTCGTCGTTTAGTTCCACCTTGTTTCTCCCAATACTCATTCTCACAGGTTGCACTCCAAAGCGTTCTTGGGAACCCTTATTCTAACACCAGTCTCTAGTTAAACAACGAGGCGAGGGTCGAATTCCGCGGAACCAAAATGTCTTCGTCTAGCACCAACGGTGCCAATGGCGCCCCGGCAACGGGCGGGTTGTCTGCTAACGACAAGATCGCCCGCTTTGCTGCGCCGAGCAGACCTCTCAGCCCGCTCCCCGCGCACGCGCTCTTCAGCAGCAAGACGCGATGCTTCGTATATGGCCTCCAGAACCGAGCAGTACAAGGCATGCTCGACTTCGACTTCATATGCAAGCGACCTACGCCCTCGGTTGCAGGCATCATCTACACATTCGGCGGTCAATTCGTCAGCAAGATGTACTGGGGGACGAGCGAGACCCTGCTTCCAGTCTACCAGGAAACCGCAAAGGCGGTAGCCAAGCATCCCGACGTTGACGTCGTGGTAAACTTCGCCTCGTCGCGAAGTGTCTACACCTCGACTTTGGAGCTGATGGAGTACCCTCAAATCAAGACGATTGCTATCATCGCCGAGGGTGTTCCCGAGCGAGTAAGCCGAGACTCGAGTAGCCAAGGCGCCCGCGAGGACTTGCTAACATGACGCATAGCGTGCGCGCGAAATTGCCCATGTCGCTCGACAGAAGGGCGTCACCATCATTGGCCCAGCTACTGTCGGTGGTATCAAACCCGGTAGCTTCAAGATCGGCAACACCGGCGGCATGATGGACAACATCGTGGCCTCAAAACTCTACCGCAAGGGCTCGGTCGGCTACGTCTCCAAGTCTGGTGGTATGTCGAACGAGCTGAACAATATCATCTCGCAAAATACGGATGGCGTGTACGAAGGCATCGCCATTGGTGGTGATCGGTACCCGGGTACCACCTTCATCGACCACATGCTGCGATACCAAAAAGATCCCGAGTGCAAGATTCTCTTGCTACTCGGTGAAGTGGGCGGGGTTGAAGAGTATAAGGTCATAGACGCCGTGAAAAAGGGCGTCATTACCAAGCCCATTGTCGCATGGGCCATCGGTACTTGCGCGAGCATGTTCAAGACGGAGGTGCAGTTCGGGCATGCTGGCTCATTCGCCAACTCGCAGCTCGAGACCGCCGCGATGAAGAACAAGCAGATGAAGGAAGCGGGTTTCTACGTACCTGACACCTTTGAGGACCTTCCTCAGACCCTCAAGGCGGTCTACGATAAGCTCGTGGCGGAGAAGACGATCATTCCCCAGCCTGAGCCCGTCGTGCCCAAGATCCCCATTGACTACTCTTGGGCCCAGGAGCTAGGCCTCATCCGAAAGCCGGCTGCCTTCATCTCCACGATCTCAGATGATCGTGGCCAGGAGCTGCTGTACGCCGGTATGCCCATCTCGGACGTTTTCAGGGAGGACATTGGAATCGGCGGCGTCATGTCTCTCCTTTGGTTCCGTCGTCGTCTCCCCGACTACGCTACCAAGTTCCTAGAGATGGTGCTCATGCTCACGGCTGACCACGGTCCCGCGGTGTCTGGCGCTATGAACACGATCATCACGACCCGTGCCGGCAAGGACCTCATCAGCTCTCTGGTGTCCGGCCTCCTCACTATCGGCTCCCGCTTCGGTGGTGCGCTCGACGGTGCGGCTGAGGAGTTCAGCAAGGCTGCCGACAACGGCCTGAGCCCCCGAGAGTTTGTTGACACGATGCGCAAGCAGAACAAGCTCATCCCCGGCATTGGCCACCGCATCAAGTCGCGAAACAACCCCGACCTCCGCGTAGAGCTCGTAAAGGAGTACGTCCTAGCCAAGTTCCCGAGCCACAAGCTTCTAGACTACGCCCTGGCGGTGGAGACGGTAACGACGTCCAAGAAAGATAACCTCATCCTAAACGTCGACGGCTGTGTCGCCGTCTGCTTCGTGGACCTGATGAGGAGCTGCGGCGCTTTCAGCGGCGAGGAAGCGGAAGATTACATGAAGATGGGCGTGCTCAACGGTCTCTTCGTGCTGGGACGCAGCATCGGTCTCATCGCCCACTACCTCGACCAGAAGAGGCTACGCACCAGCCTGTATCGCCATCCTTGGGATGACATCACCTACCTGCTCCCCACATTGGCTAAGAACGGGCCGGTGGGTGAGAGCAGAGTAGAGGTTTCGGTGAAATAGATCATTGCTTAATGCACAGGCGCACTCGCGGAGTATCCAGTCAATTTTCCTTGGCTCTAGATATGGGAAGAGGGTGCATGCATATTCAGAAGTTGGTCATAGTGACCTGAGTCTCATGAGGAGATTCGACATGAGATGTAGTATACGGACGGTTCGAGCTTGTTTTCAGGCTTCTACTTATAGCTAGCTTTCTGTTAACCTCGGGCCAAGATACTAGTCGATGAATGAATTCGTAATTACGAAATAACTGCCTGCCGCGGGTTCCAACTCAGAGTCTTGGGCGTGGGTTGTGTAATCTACTAAGGTAGGTGGCTATTATGTGTCTACGTATCTATCCCTATCTCATTTACTATTAGGATCCAAGCTTAGGTAATGCATCCGAAAGTACTCGTAATATGCATTTTCAAGATACCTCCTTATCGAGTATCTTAAGTAATCTAGGCAAATCTAGGCCGAGAGCTTCCCCCACTCAGAAGCCAAGTGCAACCTTTTTCGGGGGTTGAGAATCGCAACATGGGATGACAGCCATCTCCAACTACAACTATGCCCATAACCACACCGTGACAGCCTACCTATTATCCGCCCACTCTCCTTGACATCCGAAAACACACAAGCCCTGTAGAGGTTGTGCTGGTTAGCTGCCCGGGGCTTCGAACCACGGGACCAGAAGCAGCAAGACGCCCGAGATAGGCAGGTACTGGCTATTGCCCATCAAGCATCCATTGAAACGACTTCTCTCCAACTAACACGACGTCGCGCATTCTAGGCAGATCGATTTGGCTCGACGCGAGACGGGATAGGAACCCGTCATACCTGCGTATCGTTTCCCGGCCGCGCCCTACGCAGCCTCCGAGACTCCCTCATCCGTCTACCGCACGCAGGTCGCGGCGGCCAGCTCTCCCTCTCTCTGCCTATCTGCGCGCCGACCCGCGGCGACCACCCATCCACCCACAAAGTTCCCCGACTCGCTCGCCGGGCAGGCGAGACCGCACCGACGCCTCGCGACCGCGCGCGCAGCACGCGCGGCACACGAGCAAGCGGCAGGCGCAGAGGCGCAGCACGCGCGCGGCCATGTCCTTCTTCCGGATCACGCTGCACCGGTCGGCGATCGGGATGCCGCGGCGGACGCGCGGGGTGCTGGCGTCGCTGGGGCTGCGCAAGCGCCAGCAGACGGTGTTCCACCCGGTGTCGCCCGAGTTCGCGGGCAAGATCATGCGCGTCAAGGAGCTCGTGCGCGTCGCCGAGGTCGACCGCGCCCTCTCCCCCGCCGAGCTCCGCGCCGAGCGCGCCCCCGAGCCCGGCTTCTGGCTCGAGCGCCCCGTCCCCCGCAGCCCCATAACTCCCGTCGGCCGCGACGTCGCCCCCCCGCCTGCCCCCCCCGCCGCGCAGCCGCAAGAGGAGGCACGCCCTGAGGGCCCGGGCGCGTAGGAGGGCGCGGGGAAGGGGCTGGGAAGAGGGAGGGGAGGGGAAGGGAGTTGGAGGGGAGCTGAGGAGGAGAAGGAGGAGGAGGAGGATGGCGACGACTGCGAGGGGCGGAAGAGGCGAGGCGGCGACGCGGGTCCGAGAGGGCGGTATGTGCACCCCTTTGCTACCTCCAGGCTATCTACGGATTGCTGCGAGCACTAGGGGCGCAAGGGGGGGAGGGAGGAGTTCTCGCTGGTGCTCTACCCCGCACATCGAATCTCCCGGAACTTCGAGGAATTGCCGGGTGGATGCACGTTCGAACTCAGAGAAATACACACATGACACATCTCTCCCCAGATGCGCGGGTACACGTCACATCCGGAGTCGTGCGTGCGGACAGCGGGCGAAGTGTAAACCGTGTCAAGAAGGAAAAGACCCAGAAAAGTTAAGGGGGCAAGGGGGACGTGGCGGACGAGCAGCGCGGGGGAACCTAGTGACACGTAACCCGTCGTATACGCTTTGCCTTTGGTATCACGAACGTAAGCCAGAGTCAAAGATGTAAATATATATAGATTAAACACGCAAGCCCCCTCGCAATTACCGACTCATCTCTATTTGCAATGGTCTACGCTAAGTCCCCTTATTTAACACCTTATTGTTGCCGGAAGAAGGGCCAACGCCGGGCGATTCTGTTGCCAGATACCTGGACAGACGATATCTGCATGCGTCCGGCGTCGGGTAAACAGTGGTGAGATGACGCAAAAACCTTTCCCTCTCGCTGCTGTAGAGGGGTAATAGCGGATAGACCCCGCAGTGCTAGCAGGTCCCAGGCCGCTCTCTGCCCACGACGACTACCGCAGCAGCAGGTACTAACAGTGCCGCTCCGGCTGACGGGACTGGCGCCCTTCCGCCATCACGAGGGTGACAACGGACGCCTAGACGGGCTTTAAGATATAAAGGTGATAGTGGTGGTGCATAGCGTAGTTGGGGAGGCCGTCGTGACATGTACTCGCTAGATCCCTTGCGCAGACTGACAGGCAACTCGTTGAGGTAGTCCTTGAACTTGACCTAGCCAATCCGGCCAACCTGAAAAATCGCCACACGCGATGTATCTAGTCCTTAGCCTTCTGGATGTACTCCTGAGAGGGCGTCTCGTACTGGCTGACAAAATAGTCGACGGCGTTCTTGGCCAGCCAAGTGCAAAATTTGGATAGCTCCTCTCGCAGGCGGTTCGCAGACTGCTGGTCCATATTGGTCTGAGCGACAAGCTCTGGCAAGGACACTTCAGACGATTAGTTACGGCTGTCTGTTCACAGTGGGAGCTGGCCACTTACCTAAGAGACGCATGAGGTGCTCCGGCCCGTAGGTGTCGCTCGGAGACTTGCCCTGGAACTCGGGGTCGTCAGATATCCACTTCTTGTGTATATCCGCGAACTGGGGCCGTTCGAATCTAAAAAGGCTTAGAAGGATGCACAGTGCGAAGTAGGTTAGGGGTAGAGGTGACTCACCGGTAGAGCAGGATACGACCGAGTGTCTTGTCAAAGTACTCCTTGAGACCCGCCACAGTCTCCTCGAGAATGTCGACTTGAGAGGTGTCGGCCGGGCGCTTTGGGGTCTCATATGCGATGTAGTCGTCGAGGATCTTAGTGACGGGGTGGGGATGAGGAAGAGGAACAAGCTGATTATTCTTAGTAATATTCTCCCAGTCGTCGACCAGCATTGCCTTCAACGCGTCAGGAACAATCAGCTTAATCGAGGGTCTAGCATGAAAGGTTTCTTCCTGTCGACCAGCGTTAGTGATACGATGCTTTGTGATGCGAGTGAAGGTGTTCTTGGTAGTCAATTTGACTGGGGGGCCGCGGGGGGCGTAGGGCTTGTTCGATGGTATTCCTGCCACTGGGATATGGACATGTCGAGGCATATTCCTGTACCAGCGCTCCTTCTTGGGGGTCCAGGCGCCTTGTTTCGCAGCTTCTCTCAGCTTTGGATGATCGGGTTTTGATTTGGAGCTGAATCGATGATGCGAGAACTCAAAACCGCCGTTATCGTTCACATATCGTGTGTTGGGTTTGGGAATCTTCAAGAGGTGATCCCTAACTGCATGCGTCTTCGCGTAGCGTTTTTCACGTTCTGCGAAAGCATTCTGCCTTGTCTCGAGGTCTTTGCCAAAAGTGACACCAGATGTCGACTCTGGACCGGTCGGCAGTGTGCCATATCTAGACACGCTCTCTGTGACGTGTAGTCGCGGCAGAGTATCTGATAGACCCCCGGGTCGGTTGGTCTGGGATGATTGATTCGAAGGAGATTGGGCTCTGGGGAAGGTGGGGATAGATCCTAGGGGAAGTCCAGTCGACCAAGACTGGTAACCAGAGGTGTTGAAATTATGAGGCGAATCAGTTGATGGGATGTACGCTTGGTCATGGGTCCACGAAGGCGTCTCTCCCTGGCCGACCATCGAGGCACGGCTCTCCTTCCCCTCCCCTTTGCAGGGCGACAGCACCATAGTAGAAACCGATGCCATTGCCATTTTTCCGACGCCAAATCAGGGGTGACGGTAGGTGTGCTGTTCCAAAGTCGAAAATTTTTTCGTTTCGATCTCAATAAATCTTGGAGGTGTACGCTCGTCTCGGGGAGGCCAAGGCACTTTTGGCAGCACCAAAACAAGGTCCAAGTGATTGTAAGCGCGGAGAATAGAAGAATTCTCCCGGCTATCCACCACAGCGAATCCGGGGGTAAAAGTATCTCCCGGGCGGTGGCCAGACCGGGAAATTCCCATGCAGTAGATGCAGAGAGTCTTGATTGAGTGAATCTGGCCTGGTGCAAGGCAAGTGGCCCCTATTCCCGGATGGAAAATGGTGTAGATGGAAGATGGCTCCCAGGTTTAGGCACGGTGAGGCCAGCAGCCCCTGGAAGGTGATTGCTGTGCTGAAGGGGGAAAAAAAATGGAGGGTGCAGGAAATAGGTGGTAACAAAAAAGGAGAGGGAAGAGGGTGAAGAGGGAGGCGGGGAGGTTCAGGGTGAAGTAGGTAACAGATAGCAAAGGCAAAAACCCAAGTACTTACATTCTCAAGTTCGTAGTCACGGCCTCTTCTGGGCCCTCTACCGAAGCTTGAGGCTCCGGCGACACGCTCTTCGCTACCGCGGGCGGAGCTCATCTCGGAGCCGTTAGCCTTGGGGCCACCCTTCTTTCCCCCCTTGTGGCCCGAAGCTCGCATCCGGGCTTGGGCCTGCAGCTGATTGGCAAGCTGCTTGTTGTCGTCGGTGAACTTGCGAATGCGGTCCTGGGAAACCCAGTCATCCCAGCTGGCCTTCCAGCCCTTGTAGTGAATGCGATATTGAGCATCCTCCGGTTTCTGTCCAGGCTTGGCCGAGACCTCGATAATCTTGGCCTCATACATCAGGTCGCCATGGAAGCACAGCACCTTCTCATCCTTAGTGTAAGGAGGCGCCTGATTCTGTCGCGAGGGGGCCATATTGACCTTGGGACTACGACGAGCGATAAGCAACAAGCTGTAGTAACCACCACATGGTGACAAAGGGGGAGAGGTGAATTCAAGGAACTAGTTACCTGGGGTCTTCAAACGAACAGCCGGACTACAGTATAAATGAAAAGTATATGCAGCCGTAGATAGCAATGAAATAGCAGAGTGGGTTAGGCGTGGCCTAGTGATAGGCGTCGGAAGAAGATGAAAGTTGCAAGTTCAACCGTTCATACGGCGAGTCTGTTCCAGGTAGCATTCTGAGGTTGAACCAGGGGAAGGCTACATTGCCAAGCCACACCTCCTAGGCCTTACGTTAGACGCGTCTCCGGACGGACGCGCTCCTCATTAAAGTGCTTCCGCCCGATGTAGGTACAATGTACACACATACTACACGTATATACTCTGTAGATGCATATGCACAATCCACAACAAATACCTGTAGTACATGTCCCGTGCACCACACCGCTGGGTATACCAAGTACTCGTATGCTCGACGAGGTCCGAGGCACTAGGAGGTAGGTATTCCACGATATGATATTATCCGATCCCCTCACCTCTGAATTCATAAAAGCAGCCATTTCCCTAAAATTGTATGTATGATCACTCAATTGATCGTGGCCTAAGCACTTTGTTCCCTTCACTACCTCCTATCGCTAACCCAACCCTACCGCCTTGCCTAGGTATAGTCCAGGCCGTCGTCAAGTTTCTCCCCTCTACCCTGATCACCTCCCCTACGTCGCAGAAACCAGCCAGCTGTGATAGGCTGCACCGAGCCCAGGACCCCGAGAGCAGATAGTACGGAAACCTCTCACTACCCTCCCTCATTCCTGATTCCTACCTGGTTGAGGGAGGTCCTCAGAATCCTCCAACATGGCAACCAACGAGGCCACCATTTTGCGCAGCTACTTGCTCCTCCCGGCCCGGCTGCCTGCCATCATCACCTTGCAGGAGTTCACTTCTCTCTTCCCCAAGTCGCTACGGCCGTCGCCCCAGATCCGAGCCCTCTACCGAGATCTCCAGCAGCAGCGGAACACTGTCGTTGATGCCGTCTCCCAGAATATCGACGCCCAGGTCAAGCAAGGCAAAGCTCTGCGACGAGAAGCCATCAAGGCCCGTAGGGAGGCCGAACTGGAGGAGCAGGACGACGAGGTCGAGATCGAGCGAATGGTACGTCACCTACTCAATGCGCGATAACGGGGAGCGCTGCGGCTAATTCGGCCCTCCAGTTGTTCGGGTCTACTTCTAGCACGCTACGGCCCAAAAAGCACAGCTTGTTGACCATCCTACCCGATATGGAACATGCCGTGGCTGATATGGAAAGTGAGATACAAGCCATAGAGGAGGAAGAGGCCGCAGTTCTCGAGTCTATCAAACAGGCCGTCGGCAGTATGAGCGACCTCCGCTATGGCCGATTCTCCAATCCTCAACTCAGAGACGAGGTTCTTGACGGTCTTCAAGGCATCCAAGACGTGTGTAGACGCAAACTATGAAAGGAAGAAAAAAAAAAACCGGACAGGGTCTCTAATTCATTAGACTACTGCCTGACTACGTGGCTACGACCGATTACCGCAGAATACTGCGAACCATGCTGGAAAGCGGAGCTTCTTCTCGGGTAGCGCCCCGCATGACCCGCCAACACGCCATATTCCCAACAACCACCACCTGTCATATTGATAAGACTAGCGCCTTTTATCGACGCCTGATTACCTGCGAGGTGCGTTTTGGCCGGCAACGGTAGGGCGCTGGCCACCATGGACTTGGTTGTTCAGACGGTTGGACCTATGGTGCCGTTAGTTAGTTACCTGCTGGCGGCGGAGCTTCGGCCGCGAGAACTCACATCATGGATCGGCTGAGCATGGAAATGAGTACCATGAACGCCCAGCTAGGGAGAATGTTGAAGGCCCAGATGATGTATCCAAACGGAGTCGACAAGCCATTCTTCGCAATGGGTCCGTCAAAGGGATGGAAATACCCATCGTGCAACTTGGCAGAGGACTTGTAGCCCTCCTTCCGGAATTCTACAATGTCGTCCGAAGTTACGGTCGTCATGTTGAACCGCTTCGCCCAGATATTCACCGGCGATGGCTCGGGTAGGACCTCGAAAACCCAGATGGAACCGACGGGAGCTGACCAAGCGTTGCAAAGCACGGGTTGATTCTCGCAGTTGAGGAGGGCGACATGCGAAGCGTCTTCCGGCGCCGCCGCCCACTTTGCGGCAGTCTCGTTGAAAGCGGCCTCGACCTTCCCACAATGACCTAGCGAAAGTTAGCGGGTCTATCGAACAGGGCTGGGTCCCAAGGTGTGCGGTGCGGCTCCTTACCGAAGCAGGTTCTATTTCCGCCGGTAATCAAGACCCACCACTCCTCGGGGGTGGTGCTTCCAGACTTCACGGGCCCATAGAGGGTATCTTTCCAGTTATCCAAGCTCAAGATATCTATTTTCAGAGGGCCGGCCTTGGCTTCGGCGGCAGCGACGGGGTCGTGCTTGTTAGGAAGGGGAATCTTGGAAGTGACCTTGGTCAGGAGGGATTGCGCCTGGCCCAGGTAGTTCTCGAATTGGGCCTGGTACTGGGGGGTGTCTGCTGCCGCCAGCAGTGGCAAGCCGAGTAGGGCGGAGGCGGTAGAGAATCGCATATTGCTAGAATATGGGATGCGGGATGCGGGATATGGAGCGGGCCCGGCTCGACGGTAATCGGGTCTGGAGGGTAGTGTAAGCCTCGCACAAGGCAGGGTAAGAGGTAAGACGAAGAGGACAGACCGGAAGTCGGATGCAAGGGGAATAGAATATAGAATCTACCTCGGACAAGAATGATATTGACGGCGGCGACGGGTCTCAGCAGGACTATGTCCAATTGTCTCGAAACTACCGCAGGGTTGGAGGGGGGAGATGAGAGGGAAGGAGAAAAAGCGAAAAATAAAAAGGCACAAGAGATAAAATGATGGGTAGTTGACAGATTGGACAGACGAAGGCGCCTAGGTCCAGCTACCAGGTAGGGAGGTAGGTAGGTAGCCTCGGACGCGTCCCCGGCCACAAGCTCCTTCGTCCCTTCGGTTGGAGGTACTGCATACACCTAGAGAGGTGAGATGAGCACATCATTCCTCTCCCCTCAGCAAGTTGGTGTGCCAAGAGTTCTTCCTCGCCCACCCCTAACGGCGCAATGTATTTTTTTTTTCGGTCGACTAGAGGTCGGTACCTAACCTACATGTGCATTAGGTTGAGTCTGATGTACCCCCTCCCTCACTATACCTAGGTATGTAGGGCTCTGCTCAACTGCATACAGCAAAGTAAGGAGGTGACTACGACGTGCTACAGGTACCTAGGTACGTAGATCACACAGTACCTACATTCATGTAGGAAGGTCGGCACCTCGAGTCCGAGTCGTCTCTAAGAGGTACCTCGGATCCTAAGGGTAGGCCATTGAGGTAGATGGTTATACTCATAAACCTCCTTGTGACATATACAGTACGCGTTGGCGTGATTGGGGACAGTGTGCGTTTTGGCGGGCGGTTCCTTTCATGGCCTCGCTGCCTTAATTGTAAGGCACGCAGGACGAGTTGAAAGGTAAACCTAGTTGATCAATTGAAGGTTTTACGAACAGTTAGCTGTTGCGTGTTTTTCTTCAATTCCACCAATCACAGGGCTCCTTTCTTGATGCCTGATTCCTCAGGTGCCACAACAGCGCCTTGGATCTCGTTACCAGCAGGTAGCCAGTCATATTCCGCTGTTTGATAGGTAACATGAGTCCAGCCCAAGGTCGAAGCAAGACGTGTAGAGGTACCTATCAACCTGGGTACCTAGGTACGTAGCAGGTGGCGGCCAGTGGGGGATGAATGACTTACCTGCCCTCGTTATCGATTGTGCTTATCGGCGATAAGACAACGGTAGAACGGGTCATTGGGTCAGACATGCTTTAACTCCTAATCCCCACCCACCATCATCAATAAACACCATCGAGGTAGGGGTTGCAAATAAGAGGCCATGGTGCGTCCGTCCCTATGCTAGGGTGTTAACTTTCCAGCTTACAATTCCCAGGCACCCGAGGCGGCAAATCAGAAGCGCAAACGGGGCCGTCCGCCGAACGCGTCGCGCGAGGAAGGCGACGCGTCGGCGTCCCAATCTCGGCTCACGAAGCAAGGCCGGCTAGCGACAGCATCTCAACGCGCCGGCGAAGCAGAGGCAGACGAAGCTCCACGTCCCAGAAAACGCGGTCGTCCAAGGGCCGGAGAAGGCTCGCCCGGAACACAACTCGCACCAGCCCAACCGTCACGAGGAAAGAGGAAACACAACCCGTCTCCGGTGCCACAAACCAACGGCAACGAGGAGGAAGCGCGAAACGAGAATCCAGAAACTAAAGTACGTCGTAAACGTGCTCGGCTTCAGCCACCGGAAGCGAACGATGAGGACGACGTCGAAACGCGCAGTGCTTCGAAGCCCGTAGAGCAGGAAAACGCACCACCCAAGAAGCGTGGACGGCCACGGAAGAAACCCGAGGCCGCTCAGGATAAGGCCGTGGGGGCAGAAGAGGCAGACGATGAGGACGAGGGAAACTCAAGCCTCCTCCGTCGAAGCGGACGAGTTCGCCAGTCTCTAGGCGCATCAGACGGACCGGCGAAACACGGGACTAAGCCCTCTGACGAACAGACATCGGCCGGCCGGGGGCCAAAGGCGCGAGCAGGGAGGGGAAGGCCGCCATCGGACAGACAGAACATAAACGAGACGGCACAAGACCCCCCCCAGCCGAAGAAGAAGCGCGGTCGTGTTTCCATCAATCGTTCCTTGACTGAAGAAAACGCCAACCGAGAGCCGCAGCCGCAGCCGCAGAAACATACTCGTACCTCCTTAACCGGCGAGAGCACGACGTTACCTCCGAAAGAAAAGGGAAAGAAATCTCGCGGTCAGCAATCGCACGATCCCGAGGCTCCCACCCAGGAAGAAGACCAGGCTGAAAAGGGCCAACCGCCGAAATCAACGAGACGCGGCCGACCGCCCAAGACACAGAGCCACCCGACCTCCCGGCCCCCCTCTCCTGATTCTGCCGCCTCGCCGCCGCGGTATCGGCATCTTGCAACGCGGACGCACAGAGTGCCCCGCAACGTCATCGAATCCAAGTGGACGTCGCTCGAAGCGCCGGCCATATCCAGCGTGACGACGCTGCTGCAGTCTGCCTCCCGGCCCGTCCTCCTGCGCCTCACAAACCCGCAGAGGCACGGGTATGCAACGGCGGCGCTCAACGCCGTGAGCAACCAGCTTCGGTCAAAGATCTCGCGCGGCATGCCATTCCCGCCCGCCACCACGTCGACGCGCCGCGAGGAGGAGTTCGAGTTTGAGCGGACGATATCAGGCATCCAGGCGCTCGAGTCGCAGCTGGACCCGCTCCTCCATAGCGTGGAGCTACTGAAACGAGAGAAGGCAAGGGCGGAGAAGGAGCTCGATTGGGAGTACAAGGTGCTTAGAAGGCTCAGCTCCAACGCCCGAGCCGAGGCCGCCGACCGGAGGCAGAAGATGAAGAAGATGCACGTCCTGGTGCCCGAGAGGCCGCCGGATGCGCCAGCTCTCGTCGACGCGGCCGATCAGTTTTCCCTACCCGCTGACAACGCCAGTAGCGGCGTATTCTCCGATCTTCAGGACGAAGAATTAGTCGGCCTCGCCGGCCAGGTCGCAAACCACATGGAGAGCATGCGAGGCAACCTGAAGCAGATAGATGGAGTTTCGCCTGCCATAGAGAAGAGCCACGCCCTGTTGAGAGCAGCGCTGCAGTCTCGCTTGGACCCGGAACAGTGGGGAAAGACTTTGCTTGGGTAGCCGTGAAAGAATGTAGAGTGTGGACAAGCCACTCGGGAGCGAGCCGGCTTCTGCTTGAGGATAAAACCGACAGGCTATGTTTTAAGGCCTCACTATCAATGATTATCATGGCCCTTGTTAACCTCCGACTTTCCCGATGTTGATGCGACTAGTAGTACTTCCTCTTCATTGTCAATAGCAGCCCGTCATCACCGGGACAATGAGGGTCTATTTAGACACATGTATTACAGAACCTGACTTTTAAGACTCAAGAAGGGACCCTAACACCGCTAACGCACTCACTTCTATGCTGTATAATACAGCAGAACGTAGCCCACAAACGGATACTCTTCATCTACCCATCTACAAACATTCTCCTTCCAGGCTTCCAGATGTATGTGTCTCAGGCCCAAAGGAAGTGAGCCAGTATAGGCGCAGTTGACGAGCTTTGTCTAATCAGTCAAGCGACAAGGGATGAAGCTCAGCGCACTTTGTCCGGCCCTCTCAATATGTTTCGTCCTGTCAGAACAATTGACCCTCAGAGCAAAGCACGCACCTGCATCAGAACAGCTCGTCTGTTCGTCGATCTTGAATAGAGCATCAGTCGTAGAGGTACTATATAATGAACACGATGTCTCTAGGGTTCAAGCTCTCGCCTACCCAGTCTCCATCAGGTCACAAGAGAACCAACACAACAGGCACACACCGATCCAGATCGTGAGCTAAGCTACGCCGCCGATTACAGGGGGCATATACACAAAAATCAACTGAATCAACGACTAGAAACACGTCCTTGCAAAGGCCTGAAATAGCACACGTATCTGCGTCAACATCCAACCAGCACGCGATGAGCCCATACAGCGGTTGCGGCAGTACCAGCAGCAAGCTAGAAATCAATATCGAAATGCCGACAAACCCCGAGCCTCGCCGCCATCGCGAAGTCCCGCCCACTCTAGACGAGCCTCTGGCGGAGCGAGGGGAACGGAGATCCCGGCGTAGTGGTATGGCTGAGCTGCCGCACACGAACATGCCTAAGGAGTACCGCCGTCCCCCGCCACTCTCCGTCAACCCTACTACTCCTCGTACCCCCACGGCCGCTGCCCCCGCCGCCGGGCCCCGCGATACCACGCGCCGGGATGATCCCTATCCTCGCGGCCCATTCGACGACAGCATGCGCGTGCAGCCGCTGCCCGAGCAAGCGGCTCCTCTCCGGGGCTTCGCCGCCCCCGTCTACGCTCCTAGCTTCTCGCCCCCCTTCGCCCCCAGCTTCTCGCCCGCGTACGCGCCGAGTTACTCTCCGGCCTACCCGCCGGGCTACGCGCCGGGGCCTCCTCTGCCGCCGTCGCAGCCGCCTTTCTCTCCCGCGTTCCGGGACCCGCGAGCCGCGGGGCCCGAGTTCGGGCCGGGATGGGTCGGCCAGCCGGGAGGGGGCGTGGGCGTGGGCGCGGCGGCAGCGCAGCCCGAGTTCTACATCCAGAGCCCCCCTGCCCTGCCGTACCCGAGCCCGGTCCCGCCGGGCGGCGGCGCCGGCTACGACGCGGGGCAGCCGTACTACGCGCGCGGTGGCGAGCCCTCGCCGCGCGCGCCTCGACGGCGGGGCGGCGACGCGCGGCCGGAGCCCGGCGGGGAGCCGCGGCGGGAGCGCTCGCGCCGCCGGCGATCGCAGGCCCGGAGCGTCGAGGAGGAGCGCCGCGAGCCGCTCCCGTACCCGCGGAGCCCGGCCTCCGAGGAAGACGAGAGGGAGCGCGCGCGCCAGCGGCGGCAGGCCCCGCCGGCGGACCCGCGCGGCGCCAAGAAGAAGAACCGCGTGTCGTTCGACCTGCAGGGCGTGCAGCCGGGCGACCGGCCGGCGGACGCGGCGCCGGCGCCGCGGTCTCCGGGGGCGCGGTCCCGCGGGCGGCGCGACAGCGCGAGCAGCGGCAGCTGGGTGGCGGTCGCGCTCGACGACGAGCGTATCCGCGAGGTGGCGGAGGGCCTGCCGCGCTACGAGCGGCGGCCGCGGTCGCCGGCCCCGTACCGCGACGCCGGCGCCGGCGCGCGGCGCAGCCGGCTCTCGCTCAGCCTCGAGCGCGCGCCCGAGCCCGAGCCCCAGCCCGAGCGCGCCGACCTCGTGCTCGACCTGAGCTCGCTGTGCGCGGCGCTGCCGGCCGCGGCCGCCCCCGCCGACGGCCGCCCCAGCCGCCGCTCCATTTTCATCGAGGTCTTCCGCGACGACGCGTCGCCGCGCAGCGAGAGGGGCGGCAGGGGCGCGGGGGACTTCCGCGACGGGTACTGAGTAGGCCCGAGGGGAGTGGGTGGGATGAGAGAGGGAAGAGGGGGGGGGTTGTCTAGCGCGGCCTTGCTGCGAAGACGGGGGGAGATGGGGCAGCGTTCCTGGCTGGTAGTTAGAGTGTGACGAGGCGTCTGAAGAAGAGCGTAGGCAATCAAGTGAGTATATATAATATGTACATGTGCGTGTGTGTGTGTGTGTTCTCTAGACCTAACAGAACCCGACTACGTAGATGACGCGCACATGAGGAGGAGCAGGGGATGTAACGACGAGAATGTACGAATGCCCGTGCCGCATCTGTATACAGCTTCTTTCCGTCGATTCACAAGCAACTATTACAAGCTACATTAGCAGTATCTGGCCAACGTCGTTGTTCACTGTGTCGAACTATGATTATAGGAAGTAGAGCCACCTAGCAGACAATGTTACCTCGGAAAGCGTGACTTCTAGTTCATGAGCACTCGTATCCTTCTCTCATGCCCGGTGAAGGAGGACAGCAGAGAAGATGAAAAGGATGCTGCGTAGGCCGCACACATATGCATCTGTATCTCTATCTAGAGAGACGCAGGCACTTGGGTTGTCCCCGGATGAATGGCGCATGACCGTGTCTCTAAATAGACGTTCAAGCTAGGCGCCAATCTCCTACGGGGCTCTCGGCTTATGACGAGGTCGCATTGTGCGCATGATACGGCTTAGCTTCGTGTGTGGAAGAAGCTGGCAACGTCGCGGTATTCGTGGGGCGGCTAGAGCTACTATCGACGGGGATATGCATATAGAGAAAAGGGGCAGACGGCTACCGTTGGAGCATTTGCGCGTTCCCGTATAGCTCCTTTCCGCTTCCCCCGTCTTCTCATCGCAGATTCTAAGTGAGCAACGAGGGAAATCCGGTACACTTCCCTCTTAATACACACAAATCGCGTAGACCATTACGTCCCAGTGCCGCATAGTAAACTGTCGGCCGAACCACGCAGTGCGTCCAGTGTTGCATAGACCATAGCCGGCCCAGCCGTGCATTTATTTCTTAGTAGCGCTGCGATGGTAGAGGAAAAGCTCCTCCCCGGCGAGACGAAGAAGAAAGGGGCAGGCGGAGACCCTCAATGAAGTCTCTCCTCTGCCCCCTACCAAGCCATGTACAGAAGTATGCAAAGCGCAGATAAGACCGTCCAAATAGCACGTACAGCAAGAATCGAATACGGGGCCGCGGCGTCCCGCACGTAGAGCGCAACGCGAGGACCCATCCACAGCGAGGTCTGTCCCATCCCAGTCCCTCTCATCAACTACCTCATCAGGCCCCCCCCGGGCCCGTTTCCATCGTCGTTTCTCAGCTCCGCCACTGGCACCACCCTGCTGCATGACCGAGGCTAGCGGCGCCCCGTCTGGGAGCGAGGCGGGGGGCGGGGGACCGGGATACGCGCGAAGAGCCCTGCGCAGGGTCGCACCCCTATTTCTCCCAATATCCCCTCCCCCCCCTGCCATCCGGACGCCCGCGCCGCAGCCTCGCCTCACCGCCCTCCCCCCCTCGGCACCCAGACCGACGGATGTACAGGCATGTAGGGGAGGCTAGAAGAGAAGACTAGGCTGGGCCGGCCAGACAGGGAGAGAGACAAAATACCTATGTACGCAGGCAAAGGAGACTAGAAGCAAAAAATCACACGTGCTCGCCCGAGGGAGAAGAAGACAAGACGTCAGCAGCAAGAGGAGGCGAAACCCGCGGGACAAGAGAAGAGAGTGGAGGAGAAAAAAGCCCAGTATCTTGTCTATACTAACCGCCAGCCGGTGGTGGCAGCAGCTCGCCGTCTGCCTGTCCGTCTAAACGCATGCCGCATCGTCCACACATCCCCCTACAACCGCCGCGCTCCCCTAGCGCCCGCAAAGCGGACAGGAAAAAAGAAATAAGGCGTACAAAGGAGAGAAAAAAGGCGATAGAAGAAGGTTATGTCGGCAACAGCAGTTAAGTAGTAGCAGTAGAGTCGGACAGCGCGTATGTATATATACCCCGATCCGAATAACACCGCCCCCGCCGCTCCTCCGGGCCTACGCTAAGACTGCCCGCGGAAGCGCGGTACCAGGAACGCGCGCGCGGCCCCGCGAAAAAGGGGGAGGGAGAGAAATAGTCATGGTGTCGGGTGTCGACGTCGGGCGCAGCCGCGAGGCGGCCCCTCCGCACGCGATACGGCGGAGGACGCGAGAAAGATTCGCTTACGGGTGCGGCAGCAGAGTGGAGGAGACAGAGAGAGCAATTGGTATTCGAACTTGCAGGATTTACATACAAAAAAAGCGTGCGCGCTCGAGAAATAGGTATTTGTTATATAGGTGTGCGGGGCGGAGGGTAAAGGATTAAGAATCAACCGCTTGTCTCATCTGCCCGCGGGAAGCGCCACCGCGGGTGTTTGGTGGGTGGGTGGCTGGGGAGAATTTACTGGCGGAGGATGACGGTCGGGATGGGGGCCGTCGGGTAGCCGCCGGCCGGGAGGTCAGCGCTGGGGGAGGCTACGGGGTAGCCGACGGGAACGTCGCTGCTCGCGGCGGCGGTGGGGTAGCCGACGGGGCCCTCGTTGGTGGGGACGGCCGCGCTGGACGACGGCGCCGGGACCTCGACGCTAGCGGCGCCCGTAGGGTAGCCGACGGGGCCTTCGTTGGTGGGGACAGCGGCGCTCGGCGAGGGCACTACGGCCTCGCTGGTGGGGACGGCAGCGCTGGAGGACGGGACGACGGCTTCGCTCGTAGGAACAGCGGCGCTGGGAGAGGGGACGACGACCTCGCTGGTAGGGACAGCGGCGCTAGAGGAGGGGACGACAGCCTCGCCGGTAGGGACGGCGGCGCTGGAAGAAGGCACAGCGACGGTGGGGTATCCGACCGGGACGCCGTTGGTGGAGAGGGCGCTGCTAGAGGCGCCGATGCTGGACGGGAGGGCGGCACTGGTGCTAGAGACGGCGGCGCTGGACACCGAGGGGATGTTGCTGCCACTGGAGGCGCCGGCGGTAGGGTATCCGCCGAACACGGGGGTGCTGCTAGAGCCGGCAGCGGTCGAGGATCCGACGGGGCGGATGCCGGTGGAGCCGGCGGCGGTGGGGAAGGGGATGGCAGCGGTGCCGTTGCTGCCGGTGGGGTACGGGATAGGGACCACAGTAGCAGTGGCGGTGGCAGTGACGATGACGTCCTCCTCCTCAGGGGGGCACTCATCCTCGTCCTGGCCGTTGTTGCCGTTTCCGCTGTTGCCGCTGCCACCGTTGTTACCATTACCGTTGCCGTTGCCGGAACCGGTGTTCCCGTTATCAGCGCCGTTGTCGTTTCCAGAGCCAGTATTGCCGTTACCGGCGCCGTTGTTTCCGTTGCCGGAGCCGGAGCCGGTGTTGCCATTGCTGCCGTTACCGTTACCGCTGGCTGTGGGAGTGGTAGGGGTAGTCTGGGCAGTGATGTAGACAGTAGTGGCCGGTTGAACCTGAGTGACGGTGACGGTGACAGGGACACACTCAGCGTTGTTATCGTTACCGCTGCCGTTACCGTTTCCGTTGCCCTCAGCAGAAACGGACTTCGAGGGGAGCACGGTCACGGTGCGGGTGCCAGTGGAAGTCCTGGTAGTGGTAGTAGTGCGCTCATCCTCGCCGGCAGTGTTGCCGTTAGACTGAGGGACCGGCACGGCGGTGACAGTGACCAGGGCAGTCTGGGTCGACTTTAGGGTCGTGACGCGGACGGTCCGAGAGCTCTCGGGGCCGACGGTCAGAGTGAGGGTCTTGTCAACCACGTTGGTGGTGGGATAAATAGACAAGCCAGGCGCGGGCTGAGTACCCTCGGGGGAAACACCGGTGGCAGTGCCGGTGACATCTGAAGCAGAAGCCGTGGCGACAACTGTGCGGGTCGTGCCGGGGATCAGGCCGCTGTTGTGGCCGTCAACCACGGCGCTCGACACCGAACCGATGGCCGTGACGGGGCAGACGGTGGTGGTGAGATCGATAACCTCGGTGACCACGACGGGGCCCGTGCTGTTGCCGGTGGCAGCGGGGCAGTTGGCGATGGTCGGGGCGCACGAGGTGATGGTGTGAACCGTGGTGATGGCGACGGTCAGCGTGGTCGAGGCGGCGGTGTCATTGCGTCGCCAGTGGGCCTGGTGGAAGTGACGGGGATGGTGGTTGTAAGAGGCGGAGGCGATGCCGGCGAAGAGGCCGAGCGCGACGCTACCGGACTTCATCTTGACGTTATTCCGAGTTCCCGGGATCCCTCGATGTCTATTTCTGTTTCTACTCTTCCAAGGATTGTCTGATCTCGGGGAGGTCGTATGTACTTCGTTGCCGCCAAATGAGTGGACGTTTGCAATAGTGCAATGCGAAAGTCGATTTCGCGAGTAAGGGGGAAACGTTTGTGCAGAATCGAAGCCCGCGGGAAGATCGCAGGAATGAACTGGACCGACAACGACAAACACACAAAATGAGGGACTGGAGATAGACCTAAAAGAGAGGCACACAGATTGTGATGGAGGAGAGAAGGGAGGGAGAGACAATTTGTGCCAACTAGGCGGGTAGTGAGCCTTTTTACAGGACGGCCGCCCTCTGCCTTGGCGGCTGGCGCAGGAGAGAGAGAGAGAGCGTTTCTGTCCAGGCCTGAGAGCCGCTCCCCCCCCTTCATCGAGCATGGCGGCATGGCAACATGGGTTTCGCGATGACCCTCATCTATTGGGGAGGACCGCTACGACCCACTAGCCATGTTGGCGAAGGGCCATTGGATGGAACCAGCAGGGGAGCCATCAGGCACAAGGCCTCAATAACAAGCCAGAATGGCGCGAGGAGCGAGCAAGAGGAAGAGGAGCGCGAAGCGACTCGTCCGCTTGGCTAATGATGTTGCCTGGGGCCCCATGCACGCCAATGCCACATTTCCCCCTGTCGGTCGAGATGCAGGTACAGCATCGTGAAACCGGTAAAGGGACCAATAGATGGCTCACGGCGAGCAGCGCGGCGTGTACCTGGGTTGCTGCTGGACGGGTAAGACCTCGTAACCCCTTACTATATGCACCAGGCTTCCCGTCGTAACCAGGCACAGAGGGGCGGGCTGCAGGATGGGATTTCTCACGGCTGTCCACAGACGATACTTGTTTCTCAGCACGCACCCACGCACACCCACGCGCACACACGCACTCATACAGCATACACATACGCATACCTACATACATACAGACACACACATGCGCATCGCATCATGCCAGATATAGCGAGATCGTCTACGCAAGGTTGAGAGAGGGTGACGGGCGAGGGAGAGAGGGGAGGGGAGGGGCCACGGTGACAGACGTTGCGGATTGACGGCATCTTGGTCGATTAGGTTGAATGATCTGCGATGCGAGCGCCCCTACTGGGAAGCTGGCGAATTCTCGCCCTCGTTTTGGGACTCTCGGTTAATTATCGCAGACGTACTGGGTAGTTAGGACGGCCACGAATGGGCTTAACCGCCGCCTGCTTTTCTCCCTTCCTCGACTCTGCTGGCGAATTTCGCGACTTGCCCACCAAATGGCCGGTATGGCCGCAGCACTCGACCCCGCTCTCTCTCCATCTCCCTCTTTTCTCTCGTCCTCTCTCTCTCTCTCTCTCTCTCTCTCTCTCCTTTTCCCATGTGCCTACGTCGTAAGGTCGTAGAGGAAGCACAGGTGTGTACGTGCGCTACACGTAGGAGTCGCCCCCAAATCCAGGCCCCAGCGGCCGGAGAGGGCGGAGAGAGGGATGCACAAAACCGTAGCCGTCAGATTTCAGCAAGCACAGGCGCATCGTATACCTACGTGCTTGCGCGTCGTACATCGCCCTGGCTTGTTCCGTCTGGCCGTATCGCGATGCGCACAACCACCAGGCCGCCATTCTCGTCGTCTGGCATCATCCATCATCGGACATTCTGTGGAACGATAGCCGTATCGTGCGGCACGTAAGCGGGCAGACGAGAGTCGCATTTCTGCATCATAGTGAAAACACAAGTGTGCCCCCCCCTCTTCTTTTTTTCGCTCTCCCTCCCTCTTTTTTTTTCTTTTCTTTCTGGTACCTTTTTTCTACGTAGGTACTTTTTATTTTATTTTATTTTTCCTCGTTAGAGAAACGACTTGTCGGAAGCGGTAACGCCATGACCGAGACCCGCGCGCACGCACCAACAGACATCCACAAATCCACAACTCACATATACATATACGTCCACACACATGCACGCTCACCACGCTCTCACCAATGCAATACAGTGGCGCGCGCTCCCAGCACATTCCAGCGGGCGCATGAAGGGCGGCTCGTGAAATCCGCGTCCAATCTCGCAAAGCGCCCTAACGTGCGGTGGCCGTCCGAACTGGACCGGGACTAGCCAGCTCGTCGTCCGAAGGGCTCTCAGACGCCAACCCCTGGCGCCGCCTCTCCTCCTTGTAATAATGGCCCGCATAACACAATATATGTAGAATGTTCTACGACTCGCCCCTCCCTCTCCTCCCCCGGCTGCTCTCTGCCGGGGGGAACAAGGCGCAGGCCTTCTTAGCGAGCTGGCTGCCATGTTCTGTGCGCGCCCGGGAGTCGCTGTCCTTCTCTGTGCCCCCGTCTCACGCTTTCCCTATGGACACCCAGGGGGGTTTGCCCGCTACCGAGACCGTATTGCCATGGCGAGCGGCATATGAGTGTGAATTCATCCTCGCACGGGTTGCTCGCGGGTGTAGCGGTGGCGTCTTGCTTGCTTGCTACGACTACCATCACCAAGACCGCCACTATACCCATACGTATATGTATGTGAGTAGATGTAATATATACTCGACGCCCAGCGTACGGAATGAAGTAGGCAGGTCAACACGCACCTAGGTAACCTAATCGGCAGCTCCATCCTTTCTTACTGTAGCTACTTAGCCACCGAGCGCCCAACTCCACTTACTCGCTCGCTCCCTCGCTTACTTGTTTACTCCCTCGGGGTATATCATATGATTGTGGGTTCTCCCGGACCCGACGTTCTGTCATTACCGAACACTGCCTCCTTTTACGCTCGATGCTGGTTTCCTTGTCGAGGTGAGTGAAACTATATCCCCAGCTCAATGCAGAAAACCGCGGTGGGAACCGGGCAAGAAGTCTGGGTTCGAGAACAGGAAATTCGGGGAGGGGGGCTCAGGGGAAAAGGGGAAACAGAGAAACTGGGAAATCCTGGGCTAGCTCCCTGGTCTGACCAGGTTCGCCCTAAAGGGGGCCCACGGCCAGTGAGAGGCCCGCTTCCAGGTCAGCTTCCAGGTATGAGTAAAGCTCCTTGGTCCGAAAGGGCGGAGGGGCGGTATATTGTGCCGGCGGATATTATGAGAGGTAGGTACCTAAGGTATAGAGGAGGTACCTCGTACCGCGCCTTGCCCTGCTCAGGTACCTACCCACCTTATCTAGGTAGGAAGTACTCTAAATAGTTACCCATAGTTACTTTCCCCGATCCCGTCACATAAAAAGGGGCATCAACGCCCCAACTCGCTACCAGGTTACCTACCTAAATCTGTGCTGGACCCCGATTTGCTCCTTCCGATCGTTACCTACCTAGGTACATGGCAGTTGACGCAATAGCTGCCTCCCGAGGTACCTACCCACCTTACATTACGTGCACCTATACATCAGTGCGCATCATTATGAGCTGCCTACATAGGTAGGTACCTACCTAGGTACATCTGGTTCCGGCTCAGTTAGGAGGTACCTACCTACCTACCTTAGGTACTACCGAGCAACGGCGGATACGCAACATATCATTTAATGACGCTATTACAGCCTGTCAGGATGACTCGTCGCCTAACCTGTGCAAGATTGCACAACCACCTAACTAAATGCTCTCAATCTGACCGCTGTTGGAAGCGGACCCGATACCTACCGAAGCCAAGTGCATACATATATGATGTCTCTGATTACGTGCGACAATGCTTTTCGTGTTGCCTGGAATTCATTCACGCCCCTACTCATACATACAACAGCGAGGTCTTGGCAAGACTGAGAGCATTATGAGGGGTACATTGATCTAATATCTACCTACATTCCGGAGCTGGCACGTGTGTGCGCCCTCGGATCCGACGACCATACAACTGGCAACGGGTTAGGTAGGTAGTAGAGATGGGTATATAGGTGCTGGGCACTCCATTACGCCACGCACCCCCACCCTCAACGTGCTGCGAATCGCCTTCGCTATGCATAACCAGTCACACAACGTAGACAAGAGGACGGCACGCAAGTAGCGGTTCCGGAAGCTTCCCTAGGGTACACTCCTCGCCCAGTTGAATTAGGCTCACTGCTCTCTGCTCATACTTCTACATTCGTCGCCTTCACCATCCTTCCTCCAAGGGAAGACTTGAACCAAATGCCACAACGCCGTCCACACCCCGGGTCCGGTTGATGGACCGTCTGGTATAATTCCTACCCTCCCTTTATATGCCTAATGTTGAATGCTACCAAATGCCCGCCGTCTTTCCTGTAGAACTTTTTTGGTATAGATCCCCTGAGAGAACCCAGCCTCGTGAAAACGCCGATGTTGAAATCGATTATGCAGTTCCTTTGGAAATTTTGTAACAGGCAACTCCCCGCAGCTCCATGCAATTATTCGTCAGCTTCGTTAAGGAAAAAACCCCCAAAAGCCCCTTAGGGTGAGTCCTCGGGTGTAGATAATGTAAAGGGGGCTCTTTATTTGGCGTATTTGGCGCGGAAGTACTTGGCAGCGTTGACCAAGTTAACCAACGCGGCCTTGGTCTCCTTCCACTGGCGCGTCTTGAGGCCGCAGTCGGGGTTGATCCAGAGCTGCTCAGGCTTGAGGTACTGAAGCATCTCCTCGATGCGGTCCTTGATCTCCTGCTCGCTGGGGACACGCGGCGAGTGGATGTCGTAGACGCCAGGGCCGATGTGGCGAGGGTAGGCCTCGTCAACGAACACGCTCAGGAGCTTAGAGTCAGACTTGCTGTTCTCAATGGATAGCACGTCTGCGTCAAGAGCAGCGATGGCGTGGAAGAAGTCTTGGAACTCCGAGTAGCAGAAATGGGAGTGGATCTGAGTCGAGTCCTCGACGCCGACGGTAGAGAGTTTAAAGGCCTTGACGGCCCAGTTGAGGTAAGCCTCGCGCTCCTTGCCAGCACGGAGCGGTAGACCCTCACGAAGAGCAGGCTCGTCAACCTGGATAACATCGACGCCCGCCTTCTCAAGGTCAACGACCTCGTCGCGGAGAGCCAGGGCAAGCTGCTCAGCCTGGACGGATTGGTGGACATCGTCACGAGGGAAGGACCACCGCAAGCAAGTCACCGGGCCGGTCAACATACCCTTCATGGGCTTCTTGGAGACCGACACAGCATACTTGGACTCCTTGACCGTCATGGGCGCGGGGCGAGAGATATCGCCGACGATGATAGGGGGTCGGACGCAGCGGGAGCCGTAGCTCTGGACCCAGGCGTGCGTGGTGAAGGCATAGCCGTCCAGACGCTCACCAAAGTACTGCACCATGTCGTTCCGCTCCGGTTCGCCGTGGACGTAGACATCGAGATCGAGCTCATCCTGAATCTTCACGTTCTCATCGATCTCCTGCTCGATGAACTTATCATACTGAGCTTCGGTGATCTCTCCCTTGGTGAACTTGTTTCGCTGCACTCGGATCTCCTTCGTCTGGGGGAAAGAGCCGATAGTGGTGGTGGGGAAGAGAGGTAGGTTAAGTTTCTTCTGTTGTTGAGAAATCCTAAGCGGGAACTCAGACTTGCGGTTATAGTCCGAGGGGACAATCTTAGATTGCCTCTCCTTAACCTGAGGGTTGTTGGTGCGGCTCGAGGTAGCACGAGCGTTCCAGGACTTGGCGTTGGCCTCCAGAACCTCACGGACGGAGGCAGGCCCGTCAGTGACAGCCTTCGCGATGACGGCAATCTCGACAGCCTTCTCGGAGGCAAACGAGAACCAGTCAGCGATCTCGGGGTCGAGCTTCTTCTCGCTGGCCAGAGTGTGCGGGGTGTGGAGGAGAGAGCTGGAGGTGGCGACGATGACGCGCTCCTTGCCGAGTTTCTGGATGGCAGTCTCGGCGGTCTCAATAGCACGTTTCAAGTTGGTCTTCCAGATGTTTCGGCCGTCGACGACGCCGGCAGACAGGACAGTCTTGGGACCGAGGGCACCGAGGACAGTGGTCAGCTGTTCAGGGTTACGGACAAGGTCGATGTGCACACCGTAGACGTCCTTGGGGAGAACGTCCAGGTTGTGTACGATATCGCCGAAGTAGGTGGTGAAGATAAGGTTGGGGATCTTAGCACCTAAGCTGGCAAACCTCTCATAGGCGGGCTTGAAGGCAGCCTTGGTCTTAGCGGGCAGATCGAAGACAAGAACGGGCTCGTCGATCTGCACCGTCTCGGCACCAGCCTCCTTCAGCTTGGCGAGGAGCTCCTCGTAGACAGGTAGGAGCTTGCTGAGGAGGTCAATGGGGACGACGGACTGACCACGGTCCGCCTTGCCCAAATGGAGGAAAGATACGGGGCCGAGCAAGACGGGCCGCGTATTGATGCCGGCCTCCTTGGCCTCGAGGTACTCGACGACAGCCTTGGGGTTGGCAGTCAATTTGAACGTCTGATTGTCCTGCAGGGTAGGCTTGACGTAGTGGTAGTTGGAGTCAAACCACTTGACCATTTCTAAGCTGGGGACGTCGACACCACCCTTCTGGTGGCCACGGCCCATGGCAAAGTATTCGTCTACACGGTCGAGGTTTGCGCTCGAGTATCGCTCGGGGACAGCCTGAAAAGGATCATTGTAAGCTTGGGACGGGCATGCCTTTGATAGAGGAATTTGATTGACGTACACCAAAGTCCTGAATGTGGGATAGGACTTGGTCGTAGAGAGCAAAGTCATTGCTGGGGATGATGTCTACACCAGCATCCTTCTGGATCTTCCAGTGGGCAAGGCGGAGACGCTTGGCCTCGGCAAGAAGCTCAGCTTGGGTGAGGTTGCCGGCCCAGTCTTCATTCCAGATCTCGTTAGCAATGCTATCCCAACTACGAGACCACCCCGGACGGCCCGAAAGTGGCCAGAGCTCGCCGTTCGTTGGACCACTTACAAGCTTCAGTGGCCTTCTTGAGGTCACGGTTCACACCCATGCGGGGGAAACCAAGAACTGCAGATTGAACCATCTTGGCGACGATTCGCAAGAGAGCCGGTCGAGAGATTTTCTACTTTGGATGGTGCTTCTATCCTTCCGTCTTGCACGCTCAAGCTTAGCAGGACTGGGGTAACTGGAGGGAGGGCAGTGTACAAGACCGGCTGAACGCGGGGCAATGGAGGGGGAGGAAGGAGTAGAAGAGGAAGAGAAGAATTGGGTTGAAGAGAGAGAAGGGAGGAGGTGAGAAGAAGAAAAGGAGGATGGGAGAAAGTGTTGAGAAGTCAGCAGAGCGAGCGGTCAGGGAGGGGTTCTTATGGGGGGAAGCTTCCTGCTAGGTTGGGTGGTTTTTGCTGGTTGCTCGAGAGCAGGTAACCACCTTGCAGTTGATGAGGGGTTAACATATTGCGAGTTTTTTTTTCTTCTCCCCTCTCTGCTAGTCGTGCTCAGAGCTAGAGCATCGAGAACCAACCAGCCAGCCATTAAGGGCGTACTCAGGGTCCGAGAGCGGGGCCAGATAACTCCATCTGTGCCCTTCCTTCCGTCAGCAAGTCGCTCTAGCCAGTTCTTGTCTGTAAGCGGTTCCAGCACGCATGTACCCGGGCCGCCCACCGCACATACAAATTCGCACAGGTCGCTACTTTCACGGAACAACCCCCCTGTGGCGCGATGGCTCGGTACGTGCGCTACATGCTGCACCCATGGATCACACATCTGCAAGCTGGAGGTCCGCGGTGCCCCTCCACCACTTCCCCAACACCGACGGTACCAACAACGCGAGCTCAGATAAGGTACCAATTAACACGGTGCATTACTGCATTAAGTATTTTCTACTACGATCCTGCTATGTTCGGTACCTCCGGGCCTACCAAGGTGGCCCTCCACGTAGGATGCAGCATGTATATATCCAAGTACCTGACCTGCCTCGAATCCAGGCCGGATCGAATCGGGACCTACTATCCTCACATTCTGTCTTTCAACGTACCCCAGGTACCCGACCGAAGGTACACGTAGCACGCCCTGGATGGAAGAACACCGCTTCGACCTCGTCGACCCGCATGTGTCGAGCTGGGCCGATACTGCGGACGGCTTTGGCAGTAGGCGTACATCTCAGATCTGTCCTCCGAAGGCACGACGCCTTCGGCACGGCAGGATGCAGAGGTTGGTAAAATGATGGTGACCGCAGGTGTATTCAAATCCCTCAGTGCCCAGATTGGTTAGTTACCTCGTACGCGATGGGTGTTAGGCATGCTAGTAACCTCATAGGATGTAAGTGCATGTAGGTATACATGTCGGATACGGAGGTCGTGAGACGGCCACCATGTCATCATTATCTCCCTCCCTGGCCATCCCGCAGTTGTGGCTATCTCATTGGTCCGCCCGCCATCCTGCGCTCTCGGGCTTCACGCAGCCAATCCGGCGGCGAGTGCCCCCCCGGCGAGAGCGATTCCCCGAGTCGCACGCATGCCCATATCTGTTTCTCCGGTCGACGCAACCCTTGGTCTCGTCCTCGACCGTCGGAGGTACTTGCGTGGTGGACGACCGGCTCGAAGGGATCATGAAGGAATTTCATGTGTCAATGGTGTCAGTCTAGGACCCCTGCCCGCATGTAACCGTACCAATTCCGCCCTGGCCGAGCCGTATGTCTGGGTGCGTGCCTTATCGCCCGTTGCATTCTCTCGTCGTAGAGTGGCAGCAGAGTCGTATCAAGTTGCCACCCTATTCGCGGGCTAAGTCATTTCGGTAATTAGCTGGCAGCCGCATCGATAGGTACCGGCATAGCTGGCCTAGTAGGAAAGCCAAGGTATCCTTAGTACATTGAAACCCGTCAACGATCCCTCCGAGGGGCTCCCATCGAGCTTCGGGTTCGGCCGCAGGGAACTGGATTGGTTCCTCCGCATCGTCTTCGTTGGGGTGCCGACATTCCGATCTTGTGCTTCGCCGGCTCTCCCACACGTACGCATCTTATAGGATGGTAGGACGAAAAGCATATGTAGAAATAAGGCCATTTGGGGCAATTGGGCGGTGAAGCTGCTTGGGCCGAGTAGGATTGTATTACGTCATCTATTCGCGTAGGTACCTCCTTACCTAAGATAGGTAGATATGTACATAGGCCAAGCAACAAATCTCTACCTTAGAGGCAGGTAGATTAGTATCAACAACGACAAAGAATCTGTATCTACACGTCTATAGGCAGGTAACCTCTAGACGGTCGAGGCCGATAGACATATTTTATAAAAGCCTGGTGATATCCGCCTACTGGGGAGAAACAAAGCCTGGTTCTCCATTCGTGTTAGTGGTATCGGAAGGGCGAGGACACGATTCGAGACGAGAATCGTCATAATGAGCCAAGAGTTTCCCGAGGGACGTTTACCTACAAACAGTTCTAAGAAACCTATCAAAGCAATCGAATACCCATATTTCTCTCCCTCTACCTCTACACATTGTTGGTCGATGAACGAGTTTCGAAGAGTGATGCGAGCCTCGGGCTTTAGAATGGCCGACTGTGTACGCTTCAGTTGGGACGGATACTCGGTGATCTGTTTCTGTGCATCAGTTCCCCTGCATATTTGCCTCCCGACCTCGCCTCTTTGCCGCCACTCCTTATCAAAGTCGTAGGGAGTGTGTAGGACCTTTGAGAGGCCAGCCGGTGGCTTGCGGTTTGCTTGCTGCCCCGGCTTGCCGACAGGACCTACCTTGAGGCGCTGTGTGCTAACAGATGTACTGCACCGATGTCTGCCTACACGTACCTTAGCAGGTGTGCCGGTTAGATCTAGGCAGGGGGATCTCCGGGTTTCTCCACACACCAGAATCTATACCTAGGGATATTGCTTGGGCTACATTGTAGTAGGGGCGTGAAATCGACCCTCCCCTGTATCGACCGTGAGTACGGAATCGCCTCCCCGCGCAACTCCCTACCGGATTCACTCGCGGCATACGATGTTTCGGTCATGGCACTGGCGGGCGCTGCGGGGGGTAAGGCTGGGCAGAAGGATGGGCCGTCGCACAAGCCCCCTCCGAGGCACCCGGGTGCTAACCGCCTCCGGAATCCAATGACCCCTCCCTTCCACCGCGGTCGCTGTTACTTCGTACTCGTCGCTGCCGTTTTCGTGGTTGTCGCCGCCGTTGTGTTTGGGCAGGTGCGGTAGATGGGCAGCTACGAGGTGGTGACTTCCCTCACCACACCTCACCGTGGCCTCGCAACTGAAAGCAGGCGCTGTCGGCTGTCGCGAGATCCGACGGTTTGATGGACAGAAGAAATCTGCTATCCGTCTGCTCAAGCCCATTCCCTCTTATTCGCATCGATGATCCAAACACCATCCCTTGTGGCCGTGGAACCTGTCCACCTCCGGCATATCCAGACAACGCACTCTCGCCCGGGTTCTTCCACTTTCCCGGTCACCGGCAGATCCCACGTAAATCACCACCGGACATTAGGTCGTGGGCCGATCGATCTTAAACCAGGCTTACTCTTGCATTCAGCTGGGCGTCTCCGAGGATGTCTATGCTCTGCTGCTGCTGGGGCGGCCGACGAGGGAGGGCATCTTGTCGAGGAAATATTAGGCATCCCCAACACAAATATCCGTCTCGCGAGGCACAGGCTGAACTTTGCAACTCGCCTATTCCTCGACCCGATTGCAAGTCATTGTCGCCGCCAGCTACAGCCGTGCCGGTGTTGTTGACGCGACACAAGCGAGTCCCGAAAGCCACTGCCGATACTGTACCGCGAGCCGAGGACGGGACATATGAGGAAAAGTCTATGGAGAATATTGGGAGGCCCGGAAGCAGGACGCTAGGGGCGGTCACTGCCAGGCTTTAAGTTCGGGAAGACTCGAATAGAGGAGTTGTTATATAGCTGGCGAGAGCTAAGCTAGGGTTAATAGGTTGTTCGTAAAGGAAGTAATGGAATGAGGGTAAGAAGGTATATATTAACTAACTAGAAAAGAAGGAAAGCTACTAGAGAATATGGAGCGATTTATAGGTATATATAGTAATACTTAACTAACTTAGGTAAGCTAAGTAGTTCCTACTAGGGGTATATACCTACGTAATATACCTCTTAATTAAGCTTACGATAGCGAGGTTAATTATAGTCCTTTGCTTACGATAGTAGCCCAAGGGGTTATTCCTTAGTTTCGCTATGCCTCGTTAAGGTTAATCGATTACTAGGTACCTTATCTCGGGCTTCCTTATATTCCCTTATTCGGATATGCTCCGGTTTATTATTAATAGTATTTTCTCTTAAGTTATATGCTCTTCGTATCTCTTACTTAGTATTCTATAGTTTATTATAAATAAAAATAATTACTCGTATAATTACTTACTTTCGATTAAGCGGTAGTTAGCTATATAGGTAATATAGTAATAATAATAATAATAGCTTTAGTATTAATACTAGGATTTAATTTCTTTTGTTATTATCGCGCGCGCTTACGCGCGTTACTTATGCTAACCGATTTTACCGTTTCTCTTACGAAGGCGGTTAAGTATAAATATATCTAGGATTTCTCGCTCTCGAATTAAGCGTACTTTTTTCTTTCCCTTTCTTCCCTAGGTTATTTATTATAAGTATATATACCTAATTATAATTAAGTAATTTTATTAATTACGCGATCGTAAGCTAATATAATTAATAAAGCTTTATTAATTTATTATCGTAAGGTAAGTTTACTTTTTTTATAGTTTACGTAAAGCGTAGCTAGCGTATTATACGAATCGTAATATACTTTCATTAGGCGACCGTAAGATAATAGCTTAGCTTATTACGGTAAGGGTTATTATTTACGATTAATATATTACTTTTAGTATTAAAATATCCTAGGATAATAAAACGATCGTTAGTTATTTTATATTAATAAATAAAAGGTTATTCGAGATAATCCGTTTATTATTTATTCGTTATTTATCGGTAATAATATAATACCGTAATTAATAATCTCTTAATATATCCGATACTTAAGAGCTTCGTAAAATAATATTAGCGCTTTAAGGTACCGTAGCCTCGCTAGAGTAAAGGATACTCGGCCTTTCCGCCGTAAGTTCTTAGCCTACCTCCTATATTCGTACGAGAGGTAGCGTTAAAGCTTCGGCCGGTAGCTTTATTCGCCGCGGAAGGATATCCTTTATTCCCGGGTCCGGGGCCTTAGTTATCGCTTAGCCCTTTAAA